AAGAAAAGCAGCACAAAAAATGGGCACAAAGAGAAGAGGATAGAGTAGAAAGGACCAAAAAGATGAACTGGTAATTTGAGCAGCTGGCTTTCCACTAGTGAGAATCCCTCCTTTTTAGATCAGTAATGCCATTATTTGGCACTGAATCTCCCAGTTGTGACTCTATAACTGGGTACTGAAATATTGCAAAGCAATTTTCACTATTTGTCACTGAACTCACATACATAAAGGGTTGCACCAGGCAAAGTAGAGCAGAGCTGTGCTTCTGTTGTCACACTTTTAATGACAGTAGGCACTCCGCCTGTCTAATGATGTGTGCAAGTCATAACTTTTTTGCATCGTTATCTTACTTTTAAGATGAGAAGGTGGTCATCTTCTTGGAGAAGGGCAACCAAGAGCTGGGGAGGTGATTCTAGTGACAAAAACTCATAGGAATCAATCTGTATCTAAAACATTACAATCAGCAAAACAATATGATGGTTTGTAATTTCAATTCAGACTCTTAATGGTTCCCAGATTTTAATATTTGATTACGATAATTAAGAATAATTGTATTCTTAGATTTGTTATTTTAGCAGTGGAGTATACCTAGAAAAAGAATTGTGGCTAAACATTCCATAGACCTGAAAGCTGAAGAAGTTAGAGAAATCTTCATATTAAGCAGAGGTATTTCTAGCAAGAAGCGTCCAAAAACTTTCATCACATTCAATTTCTTTTAATGTACTTAGAGCATTTTTGTTCAATAATGCATATTAATATAATACCTCAGGCTGCAAAGTCAAGTACCTACAAACTGTGCCATCCCAGCATTAAAATTCCTCAGTTTACTTCTGCTGTGGTTACGTGAGAGTTTTTGATCATCTTCTTGCATACAAGAGTTATGGAAGCTACGAAACTCCAGTCCACGCAGAGGAAAGCAGGAATTCCCTCAGTGCTTTTTGTATGGGGCTTTCACTGTGGTTTCAGTGCTCAATAAGTATCAAAGATTTATCTTTATTATCCAACTGTTACAGGCAACGCTCTTACATTCATTTGGTAGATGGTGAACAGGCCATAAAACCAAAGGCTGAAATCATTAAACATGCAATGATTTCAGACGTCCAATCTGAGAACCCTGAGATTGGAATTTTTCAGAGTACTTGTCATTTTAGGAATGCTCCACATTCAAAACAGTGATCCCATGACCTCACTAGCAATAGAAGCTGTTGTTCAATTCAGATCTGCCTCTCTACCCACATACTCTGAAAATACAGGTTGTAACTAAGTTCTGCCCTCCTGTTTGCGGTCCCTCTCTGCTTCTACTTTCTTCCTTGTTCTCTCTCCTGCTTTGCCATAGTTCTTCTCTGCTTCATTTCTCATCTGCTTATATTCCAGTAATATTACTTCTTCACATTTCCAGTGTACAGAAAGTAGAGGAGAGCACTGAAAATCTCCTTGTTCAACTCTTCTGTAACCACAGACACCAGAGCTTTCATAAGCCATGACAGCTCTGTGTTTGTTCTCTGTCATGATGTGGTGATGTCTTGCCAGTTCACTCATCATGTATGACCCATGAAGGATGAAGGATATGTATTCTAGCCTGAAGCACTTAGAAGTCAAACAAGCCTTAACCAAATCTGGTCATTTTAGCAAAGCAAGAAGTGCCCTAATGCTGCCACAGAGACAACTCCCTGCCACAGGCTTCACATCCTTCCGTCAGGGCACAAAGGCAACAGGTCCTCAAAACAGCTGCAAGTGTCATCAACACGGACAGAGCAGCACTCCCAGAACCATTCCAGACTGTCCCAGACAGAAGTGACAGGGAGGTGGCAGTGCTGGGAATCATTAAGCTACTCACAGCAAATGCTCTTAGCCCCAGTTTGGAAGGGTTATTGGATGCTCACTTTTGGGTACATATCGAAAACTGTATTTGGCCCAAAGGTGGCCACCTGAAGTTTGTTCCACAGTGCAAAAAAGCATTTTGTTTATAGGTAACGAATGCAAATTTAAACATACCATACTCTGAGCTTAACAGTGCAGATTAGTTTCTGCTCTGATTGTCTTTAATATCATCCTGAACTCAGGACAGCTACATATCATGCAACGAGCAGCTCACCATATGTAGGGAAACTCATGAGCAGGTAAAAGATTAATGGGAAGGAATCTCATCTGATTGATGAATCTGTGACCTTGAGCAACAAGAGCACTTGCAAAAAATCTATCCACTATGAGAAACAAAATAAAGAGAGGCTCATATTTCACTCTCAGATCTCATTAGGCACCCAGACCTGAAACACCGACACCAGCACAGACCATCTGCTCCAGTGTTTGCGTGGTTACAGGTCTGATAACACTTGCATAGACCAAAAGTTAATCACACGTACAGATGAGCACCAGCACTTCTGCACAGGAAATTCCGTGCAGCATAACAGTTTCTAAAAAAAAAAACAAAACCACATACATGTTTTTACTTCATTCTGTTGCTTCCATCCACACAAGCAAAGAGATGGTCCAAACAAAAGCTGAAACAATAGGCTGTTATTCTGGACTCTTGTTGGGCTTCTGCCATTGTTGTGTGGAGGTTCTTTCATACATAACCTGGTGCACAACCAATAAACATACAGACATTACAGTATACCAAAGAGCTTAGCTATGTGGTGATTACACCAGAGCAGAAAAGATAAAACACTTACCCATATCCTGGGCTCACTTACAAAACTCCAGCAGAGGGGATCCCCAGAAAAGATCCTTCTCCACTGGTACTCAGCTCTTAAATGGGTCTAAGAGAGGTGCAGCCAGGCTCCACCCCTTCCAGCAGCACAGATGAATTGCCTTCACCTGTGCTCCAATAGTTTATTGCTCACCTCAGGTGATCAATCAGAGGTTCAGGCCATGATTCAGCAGCTCCCATACACCTGTAAAGTTACCAGAGAGTTAAATAACTTGAAATTTGCCAAATGGCTGTGATCTGTGATGGTCTGATTTTTGGGTGGTGCTGTGCAGAGCCAGAAGTTGGACTTGATGATCTACACAGGTCCCTTCCAACTCAGGATGTGCTCTGATTCTACTGGTAGCTTCTATAATGGGCAATAATACTGAATTATTTTGTGATTGATTTAATTCATCTAATTTTTTTTTTTTTTTTTTTTTGCTTATGTTGATTATTTGAGAATCATTTGTATTTTTGCCATTTGCTTTCTGTTTGCAACAGCAAAGGCCCTCCCCAGTGTCTCTTTCCAAACGTACTGCAATTTTACCCCACCATCTGCCCTTGGGGCATAAAGTTTCCCGGTAACCATTTTTAAGGGACAAAACCACTTGATCTTCCTTTGCCAAAAAGCAATTCCTGGAAAATCCTGCAATGCACTCAAAGACTTTGCTACTGCTTTTGGAGAACCAGCTCTAGGCAAAATGATACAGTCTATTGAGGCCATATCTGACCTAGAAAGTATTAACTGAAGAATGTGAGGGACAGCTGGTTATTGGAAAGAACATGCATATAGCTCAGAGAATGACATGTAGAGCTGCTCTGCTCTGTTCTGAATGGCTGTTGGCTCTGCAGCCAGTCTGGCACTAGTGCACAGCCCACTTTACATCCAGTGACCAAGCCAGCTCAGGTATCTGACACAGCCACGGGGAGGTCGTTTGCCATCCGAGAGCATTTCAGATATATGATAGGATAAGGCTGAACAGAAATCTGAAGTACAGCATGATTGTTTCCCAAACCAAGTGCCAAAGGACTAACTAAGCCTTTCTAAGGAGGATGTTTTACGAGCAGGCTGGGTACGTGGCATGCTGGGGTTACATTTCAGAGCGCTGCTCATGTTGGATACTGCTCAGATGTTGGTGTTCCTCAGAAGCACAGCCTGGTTCAGCGCCTTTCACATTGTTAGTAGAGAATGCCTCATTGCACAACAAAGGAGAGTGCCATTCATTTCCAGCCACGTATCCATGTATACCAAAACAGATGAGGCTTCAACTCTTAGCTTTCCCATTCCAGAAACAGAGTTGTGATCTGTGCATAATAGTATCGCAGCATATCCCAACTTGGAAGGGATCCGCAAGGACCACTGAATCCAAATGCTGGCTCTACAAAGCACCACCCAAACCCAAATTCAATGACTCATAGCAGTGCCCCAGTGCTCCCTGAGCTCTGGCAGCTCAGGGCTGTGCCTGGGCAGCCTGTTCCATGCCCACCGCCCTCTGCTGAAGGACCTTTCACCTATCCTGAACTTCCCTTGAGGTTTTCTCTTTACTGTTCCTTTTGCTGAGGGGATGCTGCTGCACCACCAATGCTCGAACATTCCAACAGCATGTTGAGCATAATGAGAGGGAATTCTCTTCATTTTGAAGTTATTTACAATTTTATCTGACAGCACCTTCCTGCCACCCCCTAACATGGCCTCGTCCCTCATCCCACCGTGAGACCTTGCTGCACAGCAGCAGCACTAACAGCACTTACAGCCATCTTCACTTTCCCAAGTACCTCAGTATGTATCCATTAACCAGTTCAAATAACAAAAAAGAAGAGGAGAGGAGGGGAGTTCCAGTGGATGGAAGCTGGTGGCCAAATCACAGTGCAGGATGTGGGGCAAGGATCTGCTGTATTATGGATATAGGTGTGGAAAAGACTTCTGCTAAACGCACCATCTACTCCTGAGGCCGTGTACGGCAACTCTGAATCGCAATTACATGGAATTTAAAGTTCTCCAAAAAGACTTTAATTAGGCTCCCTGGCCTCGCACTGGGAACTGCTTTACAGCTGTACACCGCTCAGAGTTTTAGAAAAACGCCGCTGACCCGTCACTTTTATCCACTTTTCCGTCACCCCGACCCACCCTTCCCACCACACGCCTCCGTTTGGGGGACACGACGAACCCCAGCGCTCCCCTCAGCGCCCCCCTGCGGTCCGGCCCTGCGCAGTCGCGGAGAGGGGGCGGCCTCGGCGGGCGGGACGGAGGGAGGAGGAGGAGGAGGAGGAGGAGGAGGAGGGCCGGCCCGCCCGCAGCCGCCGCCACCACCACCGCCGCCGCCATGATGCTTGTTTGCTTTCAATGAGTGTGAGGAGGAGGCGGGGGGGAGCCGCTCTCCCGTCCGGCCCGCGGCAGGAAACAAAGAGCCAGGCAGGCGGCGGAGCGAGGGCGGCGGGGGGACGGGGATGCTGCAGCCACAGGTAGAGGGGCTCGGTGGGGGTGCGCCCGCCGCGCCTCGCCTCGAGGGGGGGCTCGTGCTCAGGGGGACGGGGAGCGGGGCTGCGGGGGTTAACGGGGGCGGGGGGTGCCGGGGGGAGGGGAGCGGCGTTATTATGGCGAGCGGCGTAGGGCGGGGGGGATCCTCCGCTTTGAGGGGGGGCTTAGAGTTCGGTGAGAGGAGGGGGGGCTGTTTTGTTGGGTGTCAGGGGCGGGCGGCGGGCGCTCCGGAGGCGGCCGCGCCGGGCTTGGGGCTGCGGGCGGGGGCCGGGGCTCGTCCTGCCGCCCATCCGCCGCCAGAGCGAACTGGCAGCTTCTCGCCGGGAATCGGGCTGCGTTCGCATCGGAGGGCAGTGAAGAGGAATAAGCGTAACGGCATCTGGAAGCACCAAGTTCTTTACATATACGTATACATGTATTTATATTTTTCCCCCAACTGTTTAAAAATAATTAAACAAAGGCAGAGAGGGAAATGACATCAATCTGATAATGGTCCAAAGCGCAGTTTTCCAGCCATCTCGTTTCCCTTCCTTCCTGAGCCCTCCGCTCGCCGAGGGACGGCGCTGCTGGGGCGGCGGGGCGAGGCCTGCGGCTGGCAGCGGGCGGCCCGCGGCCCTGCGAGCGGCCGGGCGAGGGGAGAACCGCCCCGAGCGCTCGGCGCGTGATTGGCAGCGCCGGCGGCCAATGGGGGCGGGAGGGGGGCGGGGCTTGCGCTGACATGTGGGGCGGGGGGACGCGCACCTGAGGGGGTAAACAGGGGAATTGGGACGGCGCTTCCTCGGGTGCGGGGTGGGGAAGGCGAGGGGTTGTGGAGCTTGTGAGCGGGCACGTGTGTGAGCGCACGCTTGTGTGCGCCCCTGGAGCGCGGAGAAGTGGGTCAGCGGGGCCTGTGTGCCTGCAGGGAGCTGTGTGGCTCAGGGCTTTGTGGGGCCTGTAAGCCAGGATCCCAGGGGGCTTTAGGAGAGTCTGCGTCTGCACATCTGTCTCTGTCTTGGTGTGAGCACGGTGTGAGCACGGTGTATCTTGACAACTCTTCCACGAAAATTAAAAATTCGTATCAGCCTTGCTCTGCGTTCTGTAGTATGAAAGTACAACCATAACAAATACAGTCAAACTGGTTTGTTGTTTTCCTTTCACCCCCACCCCCATCTCTTTCTAATGTCTATCTCCACAAGTGCATAGAGACAGAGCACTGGAACAGGCAGCACAGAGAGGAGGTGTAGTGTTCTTCTCTGGAGATATTCAAGACCTGTCTGGACACTTTCCTATGCAACCAACTGCAGGGAACATGTTAGGAGGGGATCTCCAGAGGTCCCTTCCAACCCCAACAGTTCTCTGACAGTAACTCGTGCTGTAATTCTGCAGGCAGGTATTTGCTTTATAAGCAGAGTTGCAGATCTCCAGGATTTTTTGTTTGTTTGTTTGTTTGTTTGTTTATTTGTTTGATTGGTTGTTTTCTGGGGTTTATTTTCTTAATCTAGCTCTCACCACAATGGGTAACAAATTCAAAATTCAAGGGATTAAGGAGTACCTGAAGTATGTGTCTGGCTTAAATACAGAGATGTGCAAGTGTTGACTGGTAATTGTATTGTATCTTGCATTTTTTTCATTTTAGAGCAGGTCTCACAATTGGGAATTTATCAGCATTTCCACTGGGGTAATTTTACAGGATTATCCGCCCTCTGTTCTTCCTGCTGGTTCATCTGGACTCTGTGGAGTGTGCTGCTAGCCATGAAGCCTTCTGTGGGGGTTTGTTCATGCTATTACTGACATGGAGCCCTTCGCATTCGGATTAACTCTTTACTCACTTTTCATCTGAATCGTGTGGATCAGTCTGTTTATAAAAAGGACACTACCATGCATCCCTTTTCTGTTTGCATTTTGAAGTTGAACTCTCAATACAGACATAATGAGTTCAAGCTGTTTACTTCGCTTGAATTTTAGAGGAAGAACTGAAATATAGAGATAGATGAGACTATAATACTGCAAGGGCAGGTAAATGCTTTTGAAATTTCATATAAGTCTTGAAAGCGTGTCATAAAAGGCTACAAATTGAGTGAGCGTTGTACTCATCAAGGTAAAAATTACTAAGATCGGGCAGTACTGGATATTAGGAAGACTTATTCTTCTAAGCAAGTGCAACGTTTATGATGGAAAACACTCTTTAAAATGGGTGGAATACTCCTAAGATAAAGCAAACTGAAAATGCTTTCCCAACTCACCAACAAAGCATCCATTTTTTAAAGTGTGGCAGTGTAAATAAAAGCAATCTTGTTAAACTACCACTAAAAAGCTCAGTATGCTTGTTTGTAGTGCAGTGTGTTGTTATTTCGATTGCCACCATGCCTAGAAGGCTGGGTGGTGAACCAGAATTCCTCATGCCAGTTGTGCAGCACCTGCTGCAACAGAGACTGCAGCCTCCTGCTTCTGTTTGCTAGCAGGCTGCAAAGGTCTAAAATTAGCCCTGTGTTTTGTCGTGTAATTGTGTGTATGTTGGTATATGTAGAGCTTGTAACGTGCCATCCCTGGCCCAAATGGGGCCACATGAAGTGAAGGTTATACGCAGACTGTATATTTATGAATGAAGGTTATGTGCAGGCTATGACTTCATGAATGAAGGTGCCATTCAGTCTTCAGAACTGAAATATAGAAGGCACGTCACTTACACTTTGGGTTGTTTTTTTTGCTAGGAGCAAAGTGTAGCATTCAAAAGTAATAGTGATGTATGATAGGCTTGAAAAAGTGCCCTCTACCTTAAAACCCCGTGATAAAGATCTCAACAGATCCTACCTCTGGATTTTAGTCCTAGTTGCACGATGCATATGTTGACCTTTGCTCCGTTGCATACAAAAGCTTCATACATAAAGTAACCCAACTGAATCACTGCAGGGCTTTATCCATTTTGTATTCCCCCTTCAGTGCTGGTGTTTCACACTTGGAGCTGTGATTATTCTACAGTTACCATGCAAGATTACTAATGTTGTATTAAGCCATGTAATTTGTGTTCTCATGTTGAAATTAGGTTGTAGGAGTCCACTCAACAAAAAAGCTTGGCATGAGCTTGGGGACCTGTGCTCACATTTTCTGCATTGAGTGATTTCTGCAGGTGGAGCCTTAAAGAATACAAATGCCTAGGCAGGTCCCATAGCAAAAGCAGTTAAAATGCTTAACATGTCCTTTTGAGCTACTAATTACACTTCCAAGATGGTGCTTATTTAAAAAAAAGAAAAAAAAGTTGGCAACAACTCAATTTTCCCTATTGTAAGAGTGCACCAGGAATCCTGTTTTTAATGCCTCACAGAGCTCTTTTTAGCAAAGAAATTGAGGAGGGCCTAGGAGCAGAAATCATATGCATACTTGTTTATCTGAGAAATAAAATGCTTGTTAGGATCGTGGTTTGTGCTGTACTGGAGCTCTCAAGGAAGAGGGTTTTGTTTTTCTTGAAGGTGGGAAACATATTAAGTGTTTTACTGAGGCTGCTGTGCAGACATTGCGATTGTAGCTGCAGTGTTCTGGTTCTCTTGTGTGTCTTAGTTATGTTCCTGATCTGCAAGCTTTACTCAGCAAGTTAAGCTGCTTCTTACCTTAAGCCCGTCTGAAGGCTGTGGCCATGTCTAGGACGTGCCACAATAGGAACATCAGTTGTGTTGTTAGGGGACAGCCACCCACCCTGCTTAAGGGACTGAAGGAATAGTTTCTATACTGCATGTTACAAATTACCTGTGTAGTTTACTGCTGGAGATATTTTGTGGTGTATTAAGAGTGCAGCGTGGATCACACAGGTTAAATGGAGCTCCACAAAAGCATTGCTCTGTTTAGATCAGTTTGCAGGTCAGGGATCAGAAAATGGCCTGTGCTTCACAGACAGCTCCTTCCATGCGGAACTCCCTGAAATGACATCTGCAAAGACACCAAGGCATGAAACTGAACTAAAGCAAAACTAGGTTTGCACCCTTACAACCTGATCCGTATCACTTGTGAGGACGTGAGCCTGTACCATAAGTGACTAAATAATGAAACATACTGAAATGTTTTATGCTGAACTTCCACCATTAATACTTTTTAATCTGTTTTTAAAGAGTCTTAACAGTTGTCCACCCAACAGAAGAGCTTTGCCCGTCAAAACAAAAGTACTCTGGAATCAAGGAGAGGAATTTCAGTGCTGCCTTAATTACAGCCTGTCTGTACATAGATTCCTGAGTATTCTCAGCGACAAGAGCATTGGAATAAGTGATCTGCGAAGAATAATTAAAACTAAAAAGGGGTTTTTGCTGATGGACATCTTAAGACATGCAAGTCTGGAGATGAGAGAGCTGGCCTTACGATAACTACCTGCCACAGGACAGGTCTTTCCCACATGGAGCAGCCCTGTTGCCTTCTGCTGCTACTGCTGTTCCAGTAGAAGTAAGAAAGTAGCTGAAGACAATTCTCCAGTGACAGAACTGAGAAAACTGCTGCTCTGGTTGGTCATTGCAAGCTGCATCTGTACTGCCATCTCTGAAGCAGCACTGGAAACCAACTAGTGGCATGACCGACAGAAGGATTTATTTTAAACCACTGCCACCCTCATAGCTGGGTATTGCTGCTGCTCCAGCACAGCTGAGAGGGGGCGCAACGGGGGACAGGAAAGAAACCTCCAGTGGGTTTTGCTGCATGACAGAGGGGTTGTGAAACAACGTCTGCAGGCTTGTTGGTCTAAACTGAAGACAGTTTGAGAATAGTTCATCTTTTTCTATCAGGATGTGGCTAGATGGGAGAGGAAGAGCTGTAGAAGTGAGTGTCGTAATGTGCTGAACTGGAGTTCAGCAGCTCTAATATTTACAAGCATTTAAATGTCTTCCTAAAAATAATTTCTAGATAAAACATTTTGGAACTTGATACTGAGATCTGTTGTCCTTCAGATATAAAGCAGGAAGGCTGGAAATGAGCTCATGTCCAAATCTCATTTAAAATAATTAGGTTGTCTTTGACTCCAAGTCCTACTGCAAGGCTAAGAGAATAATGTGGGTGAAAACAGGAAGTCAGCATGCACAAAGCAGCAGAGACATGGAAATTATTCTGCAGATGTATGAAAGAAAACATGGTAAGGAACCTTACGGTATACAGGGCAGTATTTGAAATAGCTTACAAACACAGACAAAGAGAAATTGCCATATTTCAAACAAAAATAGTTTTTCATACGATGGAGAATTGTCACATAGGATTGTCTGGACACAATGGGTGGAATAAGGATTTGTATTTGTTGGCATCTTGGTAAGACCATTCTTCAACCACCTTCAGAAAGGCTGACCTCACCTGCTTTGGAGCCCTTGGTCTTAGCACTGATTTGCATTTTTTTAAAACTCAGAACATGAGGCTTTGGGATGGAACTCTTCCATTCAAAGTTGATGTCTTACGTTCCATCTTACTTGTACGGTATATAATATGCAATTAAAATGAATTCTTAAAGTAATTAGTAAACCCGACTGGTCTTTTAATGTAGTGGCATTTCAGAATACACTAAAATAGAAGATAAAACATTCGGAACGTTGCCTAGCATTCATTAGCTAGCCAAAGTGTTTCTGGGGATATCAGTTCAAGGTCAGGCTTTGCTTTGCAATTTAGTTTTGCACTAATGTTTGTTTTGTATACAGCAGCCTTCTACTATAGGCATAATTATTTATAATTGCTGATAATTAAGAACTGTGCTAACCATTTGGACTCTGTACTACACTTAGAACATTTGGAAGTAGTATTTCTAATCATTAGATGTTTTGCAGTCTAAGGGGTGGGAAATTAGTTATCAAAATCTAGCTGAAGTTTTATCAAGTAGATCTGTCTAAAAGATAGAGCAATCAAGAACCTCTGGGCTGAAACATGCCTTTCATACTCTGTGTTACACTTCTTTTTTGAGCCTAAACTGATCTTTATAGCAACTGAATGTGGAAGTGAGAATTGCTGCGTTGCACTACTGAACCTATAGTAGATGTTGTCACTCCTCTAGGCTCTGAGGGTTACCTGTACTCCATTAGAATATTGTGCTTCAGGTTGCCTGTCTGCTGGGAAATCATGATTGCCAGTGGAGTGCAGGGGTGGCAGGGCTGGGGAGGGGAGCTGTGGGTCTGGAGAGCAGCAGCCTTGCTGCCCCTGCCATGCACCTCAGCACCAAGCAACTCATGTTCCTATAAACGCAGAGTGAAGGAGGACAAAGAAACCTTTATTACATTTTAAGTACCTGAAGGTTAAAATTTAATAATGTGCTCATTTTAAAAAATATGCATTGACTTATTTTTAGACTTAATGAAATGGAGCCTGAACTGGTTAGGTACTACAGCTCTGTGGTCTGATCAGGCCTTCAGGATTGGAAAATAGCAAACACACCCTGCAACTTTGTGACTCGGCTGATAGAAACCAAGATGCTTTGTTCCCCCCCCCCTTAAAAAACAAAATTCCAGGGAGTTTGACTCCCATTCAACTCCAGTTAGAGTAATTCTGCAAAGCTCTTCATTTCCATATAGATTTTGTGAAAGAACACTAAGGCACATGTCAGCCTCCAAGTTTTCTGTAGTACAGCTTATTTGCTGCACGTATGCAAAACCAAGTAACTTCACCTGATTACCTGTATTACAGATACTCACTCAAGCAGCATATGTTGACTTAATCAGTACCTTACACATAACTGTGAGGCACGCTCACGTACCTTCATGGTATGTAAGCCTGCAGAAGAGGAAGGGTTCCTTATTGCCTTGTATTGGCAGCCAGGTAGAACTCTGGTTTTGGAGCTCTTCAAAATATGATGAGGCAGCATTACTTCCCTGATGGAGCCATTAAATGTTAATACACTAACAGCCCCTGAAGCATCATCCCACTGAGCGAAGCAGCACTTGAAGTGAATCAATTGGCTTTGTGTTGGGTACTCAACATCTTTTTTCCTCCCCTTTCTTGATTTAGATTATTCCAGCATTAAGCCATCAGTGGGTTAAAGGAGTCTTTGACATTTTCCCACACATTAGAGACGAATCTCTTGGGGGTGCGGGTGTGTTCCAGGGCTCACATGTGCTGCTCCCCCATGCCAGCAGCGCTAACGTGCCATCATCCTCACTCCAGGGAGAAGAAAATGTAAATCCCAGGGTGTATTCTGAGAACTCCTCATTACTGTTTAGCAAGTTCCCTGATCAGTGATTTTTTCCCCCCCCCAGTTTTATGTTTTCAATGCTATATACCTAAAAACCCTACTCAAATATCTTCTATAAAATGCCAAGAATGCTTACTCTGTTCAACAAATGCATGTTTACACAGACTTTCCTCCTCCCTGTATTCAAGTCTTACATAAATATTAAGTGTTCTCATAGAGCTCTTTTATGTGTATTTCAATAGAGCAATCATATTCACTCAGTATTAAATGTAAGGTTGCATTGCAATAGATAGGCAAGTCCTCAAACTCCTGAGTATTCAACATGAAAATATTTGTGGTGTTCTGATGGGCTTTAGTCTGTTTTCTTCCTCACTGGAGAAAACATTTCTGCACTTTGGTGTATCTGTTTGCATAGTTATGCTTTGTAGCAAGATAGAAGCAGAAGCAGTATTACATAGCAGGGTGCAAATTGGCTTTGTGTGAAGCTGTGAGTGGTTGGGAAATCCAGATATGTACCACATTGAAGCTTTTTTTTAACATCATGTATCTGAACTATAAGACTGTATAAGTTTAAAATGATTTGTAGGTATATCAAGAATTAAAGAACTAAATGCCTTTCTCTGTACAAGTTCTGTGGGGTGTGCATGCAGGTATATTTGTGTCCCAAATTTGGAATAAGAATTTAGCTAAAGTACATTGAATTTGCCTCACGTGGCACTTGAGGTCCAGCTGGGATACACTGGGCATGTTTGCTTCTTTCCCCTCCCTCACTGCCACATCTTGCCTACAACTACTTCTTCCATTATTTTCCAGGATTAATGCCATTAACTAGTTTGTTGTCCATACATGGTATGGACTGAGGGTAAATCCAGGTATTGCCTCAACTCATCCAGTCAAGAGTGTGTGAAGCTGTGCCATAAACCTGCTCAAGCTTCTGTTGTTTTCTGTAGGGAAACAGGTGTTGCACCTCGTCATCCCAGCCACGACAGCAGCCATGTGCACAGGGCTGTTCCTTCATTTGCCTGTACTTCAGGCAGAAACATAGTTCAATTCCCATAGAAATCATCACTTACTAAGTAAAAGGCCAATGCTGAAGGGAACATGAAAGCAATAAACTTAATTCTCTTTGAGCAAACACCTCCTTAAAGAGCAGTTAGTGCTTTGTGGGAAATGCACAAAGCGAGTGTACTTGAAAGAACAAGCTTAGTAAACTTTAGGTTTTATAGTGACCATAGGAATACAGTGTTATAAAATTAGCTTAACTTCCCCCCTCCCACAGTGGAGTAGGCATCTTTTAGCTGCATTTCTGTTGTTCCTTCTCTTTAAAAAGAGATCATTAATTACAGTTCAAAGCAATAGTTTCTGTTCTCCCTAATAAAGCTCAGTAGAAGAGATATTAACCCTTCATTCACAGGCTAACATTTTTGATTTGTCTATACATAAGGACTAGTATAGTTTTGTTATCTAAAAAGCGTTGTACTTTGACTTCATGTAGGATTTTAGACTTTGTTCAATGTTACTATTTAACTAATGCCTAGATGATGGCAGGTGGAAGCAAGATTTTGCTTCCTGCTGAGCAAGAGAAAATTTTAGGTATGGCCAGAGAAACAATGACATTGTTGTTTGGATTTCAGTCTGTGGAAGAGCTGTGCTGCAAATACACACTTAAATTACTACTATGAGGCAGGAAATTGAACTCCCAAACACATTCCTTCTTTTTTCCTCCCACCCTCTTTTGGCCAGTGAACATCTCTTACCCAGCTCATCTCCTTACCAGAGAAGGATCAGTGTTGATGCAAGAGTGAAGAGGAAACAGTGCTGAGGAGGGAGGAACCACAGGAGGACCAGCTTAGTTCTGCATAGCATGAAGTAAAACCACGAGGCAAGCAGCTGGGGGTGAGGAGAATCCCAGATTAACTTTGAGTTCAAGGCTCATCAGGCAGTGCCAGAATCACTAATTTGTGGGGAAAACCTTTGGATCTGATTTTTGAGTAAAGTTTTGGATTACATGAAGAAGCTTCAAGGTTAAAGGCACAAAATTACAAAGGAGTGATCTGCTATGAACATCCACTGTTAGAGTTTGGAGAGGGGGGGGAAAAGAAGGCCTCACAGGTTATAAACATCTCATTAGATTTTTGATTGACTGACTGGTTTTACTGTCTAATAAACATAGTTTTAGTACTTCAGCCTCTCCTATTGCTTTCAATAGATGCAGTGTGTGTCTACTGCACTGGCAAAAGGAAAACACTTCAGTTACCTGCTTACTTCCAACCTTATTAGACTTTGATTTCTATAGTTTATTCACAGTTTTGACATAAAAAGAAACAAGTTTCATTATGCACTCAATCAGATGTGGTTTTACTTTTACTTCTCCTTTCCAGAAGCTTTTTGGTCTACATCAGCTTTAGCATTCTCAAGGAATGGAGAAAAGGAAGTTCTCAGCACATATCAAAGAGTTTCAGAAGCAGATTCCTGCTGCTTCAGCCTAGCATGTTGGAATTTCTAAGGGTACTCACATATTTGTGAGTAGGCTTTGCAGAGACTCTTTCATATATGCTGCAGTAGTTCTTTCAGAATAATGGATTCAGTCAGAGGAAGTTGAAATGGTATTTGAGTATTAACTTACACTGCTTTCATTGGTTCAGTGTTTTATATAGAGCTTTAGAATAAAAATTTCCTTTGCCTGGTTTAATGTCTGCTATGGAAGAAGTTAAGACTTCTAGAAAATACTTTATGAGGAACTTAACACTCATAGTAAACTTAATACTTGAAGGGTGGATAGTAGATTTGGCTTACAGGAGCTGCCTAAAGCATTTAGCTTTGAAAAAGAAGTCATTTATCTGTGGTGTTTTGGATGTAAACCTGTAGCTTTTTGTTCTCTTTATTAAGAAGAAAAGCTTTACCTCAGTTAAATCATACTTTATGCCATTTTCTAATTCCATAAAACTAGCAAAAGGGAAAGACAGGAGGAAGAAAAAGCCATCCTCTTCCCTACTTTGTCACTCAGAGCAGTTCTCCCACACTATCACCCCTCTAGTTCAGAGGCATTATTCAGCGATACCTTCTGGAGTTGTTTGGATCATTAGCTGCCCCATAGCCCAGTTTCCACCTTTTATTTTGCTCTAACATAGGAGACTTACCGTGCCCTGGGGCTGTGGTCTTTTCTCATCCTTCCATGGAGAGCAGTGCAGCAGAAACAGCTTGGCCCTTAGACAGCTCTTCCTTTTTAGGCCACTAACTTTCCCTAAGCCTGCACACCCAGTAGTGCTGGTGCTTTGGCTATAAATGCTCTTCGGCAGCAGAGCAGCCCCTGCTTAATGGAGCAGCACACCCACTCACACAGCTGCTGGTGATCACAACTCTTTTCCAGGACAGTTCTCTAGAACAGCTAGCCTGGCTCTTAATCACCTGACTGCACTCATTGCTTTAACCTGGAGAGTTGGGCAGCAACTGGCACAGGTGCAACTCAGCCCTATGGGAATTTGGTTTGTCTCTAGTGATCTTGAGAGAAGCCCAAATCAGCACTCCATCATCCGTTTGTTGCATTAGTCACCACTGTCAGCACTCCTAACAGTTTGGCCTCCCTTGACTTGGCAATCTTCAGTATTTTTCTTCCCTTTGTTTCTCTTTTTGCTCTCTTTCTCTCAGAGCCATTCATGCAAACAAAGGCTTAAAATTGTGTCTGTGTTGAAGGTTCCCGATCTGATTTCCTGTGTCAGATAGAGCTTTTTGCTCTTGACATCATCAGCCTGGTTTAGCTCAGCTCCTGTATGGTTAGGAGTGTTAATTCTGCATTGGGATTGAGTGACTGGGGTAGGAGTGGGCAGCTGTCCTCCTCGTCAACTCTCAAGCAATTTTGTGTTTCAGCTTTTAAATTTAGTTCTAACAACTGGTACAACATAGTAAACAATTTAATTTGCTTTTAAACATCATTACATGCCCTTCACTGCATGAATTTTGGTTGCGTGGAATGCATTCTGTTGTCTGTGTCCTATCGTTGTTGGTAAACCATTTCTCCCTTGCCAACCAAGTGGAGTGTGTAACAGCTGAATATTCAGTGGTGCTTTCCCCAGTCTGCTGGTGCAACTGAAAATTACAGGTGGTGTAAGCTCTTTTGAAAATGAGATGTAAATGATCGCTGTGTTAAGCTACATTATTAGAGCTGCACTTATCAAAGGCTTTAAGGATGTCCAGCACCGTTTTTATGCCTCTTAAAATTGCTTTAGTCTGACAAAACCGTATCCCTTCATCTGACGTTTACCTCAGCAGGTTCTAAATTTGGAATGGGGGAGGTGGAGAAAGAAGAGGAAACAGTGATTTGCAGAAAGCAGTGATTTATCCAACTACTCCCTGCTGTGCAGTTTTGAAATTTAGTTCAAGATACCACATCTGTGTTCTTTGGTGGCCAGCATGACCCACATTTACTCTGGCTGTCAGGGCCTGGGAAATCTTCAGCTCTACCCCATGAATGAAGGTGCACAAAGATCTCGTGGGGTGCCTTCCCACGTCAGTGCTGCACCTCAGAGCCAGCACTGCTCCTTGAGCAAGGCTGCCCAGTCTGCACTTACTGCTTTTTCTGCTGTGGGGTGATCCTACGCTTAGGCTTTGCACTTTGAAATGCAGCAGTGGGAAAGGGAAATCTGTCAAACAGGAATGCTGAGAACGGGTCAGATGGTGACACTGGCAGGACGGGCTCACTGATAGCCTGTGTTAAAACCTGCAGTTGTTAAATCTCATCAGTCGTGTTACTGTGCATTAACAAAACCCACTGGAAAAGTATGTCATCCTCTTTTGGTAGCAGGGAGGCCATGTAGCGCTGGTACCAGCAAGTCTGTTAATTAGTGCATGTGATTGACTGTGCTCTGGGGAGCATTCGCATTTCCGTACTGAATGAGATTTCTGTCTCTAGTACTACCTGCTTTCGTTTTTAGAAAGTGGAGCACGTTTATTAAGTGCAGGAGATGCAGGAAGAGAATGCATCAGAGGAGTGAAGGAGGGGAATGCTGCCTGGAAAGGCACGGCGGCAGCACTCTGTGGTGACAGCCTTTGTGAAAGCCGTGCTCATTTGTAGCAGTTTCAGAGGAGATGCTGTATGTATTGTTTTGCCATCTAGGATTGCACTCATTAAATAGCTACTACAAGGTAAAGTTACATTTTTACCTTTCTGGTGATTTTCAGTTGAGTCTTACCTATTTTAATTAGCTTAGTTTAAAAGCGTAACACTTAATGATTTTAGCATCCTCAGATCTCAGGTATGGCCATTCTATAAGGAACCCATCCCAGCTGCTATTTATAATCTCAGAGCTTTGCCCAGAATTCACTTCTTAAAGAGGAATTTCTTTTCTCTGGGTGGAGCTGATTCTGCCCAGCAGTGGGAGTGGGAAAGGGAAGAGGTGTGAATCAGTAGAAGAGCTGTTGCATTACAGTAAGCAGTTGGCACTAGATAACTTTTGTTTTAATGAAGTCACGTAATCAGCTGTATTTTGTTTTTTAATGTATGTAGTAAATAACTTCCATTAAATAAATGGCAAGTAGGTCTGGCTGGTGGCCTTGTGAGGATTATTGTTAATGCTCCAGTGAGGTGCAGTGCTTTTCTGATGTACTCAGTTTGCCCAGGGCTGAAGAAAAGACTCGATAGAAAGCCTTGCTAGGTGTGATAACTGGGTGTTATCAGGGTGTCAGCTTCTCTGCATTGCTCTTATGTGTTTTGCTCTAGTAATTGTATCGCTTTGCTTCTAACATATTTGTAAATATGTTTTGAGTGACTGATGTTCAACTTATTGCGCATAAATCACTTCCGTGGTTCATGGCTTGTGCTTCTTGGTGTGGATACTTCAATGTAAGATGGGGAACTTTGCCATGAAAGCTCTTATGTATACATGGACCTGTGTAATAGCGTGTTTTGATTTGTGGTAAAAATGATGTATGTTGGGAGTCCTTTGTTACCTTAAAACATGCAACTAATGGGTAAGCTAATACAGTATTTATATAAATCAAGGTAAGTTTAAGCTGTTTTCCCTTTTCAACTGACCGAATCCCAAATATATTATTTGTGAGGTGGAAAGAAAGCAGTACTGCCTTTTTCTCATTCCTTCTCTGTGCACGGAGGTGGTACTGGTCTGCTGCCATACAGGAATGCTGGAGGGAGGGCTCTGCCTAGAGGAATTTTTGGCAGTTCTCTTCCACTGTCCAGGCTGGACTGTGGTAATGAAGAAGCACTGACCAGAAATGTTTCTGAGTTTCTTATCAGGAACGATGAGGAAGAGAGTGAGAGAAGTTCAGATCAGTTAGATGCTTAACGGTAAAACTTAAGAAACTAATCAGAATCTCTACGTTAGAAATAATGTTTTTAGACTCAGAAGAGTAGGCTAAGGCTTGGATTGCAGTGCTGTTGTTCTGCAGACTTGAAGAATTGAGGATCCTTTTAGAAACATTCTTTTCTTGGTTACTGAATTTGTGTCATGAGTTGAGAATTGCAGTAAGCCTGGAAGTGATGGGTAGACAAGAATAGTAGCAAACATTTTCTGTAGTTTGTGCGAGGGGGAATGTGGTGGTGGTGATCAATTTCTGAAGTCTCGTTGTTAAAGAATTTGGATATGGTTGTTATTCTAAGCAGCTTTCTGACCAGCTAGGAGAATGGAAAGTCTAAAAGTTTCTTTGTCTAGCTGTGGTTGCTGGAGGTTTTGCTTCTGTAGGCCAGTGGCGAAGGAGACTGCAGTGTGATGGGGTGTTTGCAGAGCAGCACAGGGGTGTACTCATGAGGGGTGTCAGGATGGAATGTTTGTATTGCATTACAGACATGGTTAAATTACTGGGGGCTGGGGTTGGATCTTTGTCATTCTAGTATAGACTTATAGATAGATGCAGATTATCTTTACATGTTTGGATTGAATATCCAGTACAATACCTAGGTGTAAAATGGAAATTGCCTTTTAAAGAATTCTCACTCTAACATGTCATAATCCTTTGTTGTTCTGTATCGACAGGAATGCCCAAGGAAAAGTACGATCCACCTGATCCACGGAGGATGTACACAATTATGTCCTCAGAGGAAGCAGCCAACGGAAAGAAATCACACTGGGCAGAGTTGGAAATAAGTGGTGAGGAGCTGGGGAATGATCCTCAGTTAAGGTTTCAGTGCATTGTAAGAGCAGCCTGCATGGTATGAGCTTGAACGAGAAACATAGGGAGTATGAAACAGCTGTAGGAAAGAAGTTCTAAGCTCAGTGTGGTACATTCAGTGGTAAACTGAAGAAGCGATTACAAACTGAAGCTTTAAGCTGAAATTTTGATTAAATAAGGAATTTCTTTAAAAGACTGGCATTTCTAAGTGGCTGTTCAATAGAGAAGTGTATAGAAAGCAAATAGGACTTCTAATTGTGAAGACTTTCCCTTCCAGATCACTGAATCTGTGTCTTGCTTCAAGTGCCACATGTCTTTACATGTGAATTTCAGTACTTACTCAAAGGTTACAGATGCAGAAACCTAGTTAAATGCTGCTTCAAGAAGCATTAATTTAAACTTGAATATCCGCTTGGACATCTGCTACCTATGCATAGGAAATGCATTAAGTAATAGCTCTTTCCTTTCATGCTTTGTGATCTTACTATAGTCTGATTCCAGCCAAGAGAAACATAGGTGGTGAAGAGAATATATAAATCCTTTCAGCTCGAAAGGTTTCTTTGATCACAGTCACCTGTTTGCCTTTAGAGGCTAGGAGAGAGGGAGGAGTTGTTAATGCAGATTTTAAAAATGCAGAGAAATACTGATTTGTACTTAAAAACCTTTCAAAAAAATTATTAATGAGCATCACAGGAGAATGAATCCTTGAAGGAATTGTATGCATTTGCCTTGCAAAATAAAATGTGGCAGTGTCTTTGTTCCATTAATGATCACACTGTCTTTTCCTTGCAAAATACTTGGTCATCTGCTACAGAAAGCCACAGATGCTTTAATTGCTTTTATTGAAATCTCAGAGCTCTTAGCGGCAGGCTTTTGTGTCCTAGTCACTCTCTTGTAGCTGTCTGGCAATTACACCTGCATTAAACATTTTGTTACCACGGACTGCCTTCCAGATACACATGTATCAGTGTAGCTTTCCCCAGGCACTGAATGTGAGCTGTTTCCTTAAATAGTGTTCTTCATAATAAAAGGAATTACTATGTGTACCTGTCGGTGTATTTATTAACGATGCTGTTTTGAACGCTGGGTTTTTCAAAGGCTTTAGCACTTTTTTAACCTTAGAGAAACTGATGGTGATGCTCCTCCTTCAAGTTGGCAGTGAGGTGATTCTTGCAAATGAAAAAGGGCTCCTCCTGAGGGAAAAAAATCTTGGAGGGAAGAAATGTTTTGAGACCTTCTGATTATATCTCTCACTGTTTGCGTGCTGCAATGTAAGAGCCTCGATTCTGTAACGCAAATCCGTGTTTCACCTTTCAGTTTAGACAAAAATGATACCTTTTAAAAAATTCTCTGGCAGTGATGTATTCAGCTTTCAGTTGAATGCCAGATGGAAATCCGTGTTCTCAACCAAGCACTTTGGTCACTCCAAATATAGTATTTCTGCCTGTTCCTGGCTGGATGAATGCCACAGAACAAAGATCTTTGGTTTGAAAGATGTTCCACAGAAATAAGAGGAAAATTGAAGAACCATCTTATATCCCAAATATAAACAGTAATTGAAGAAATGTTTCTTAAACATCTATTAACTGTTGAGGGGATGGTCAGTCAGTAGGTCTGTTGTTCTGTATGGAACTTGAGAAAAGGCAAAAGCTCAGAACTTAAGTCTGCATTGCTTTTGCCCAATCAGTACAGCAGTGCTTTATTCTTTGAATCTGTAAGATCAGTGATTCGTTGATTTTATTTTTTTAATTTTTCTCTCTTTACCTTCCTTCCACAGGGAAAGTGAGAAGCTTAAGTTCATCGTTGTGGACACTGACCCATTTGACAGCTTTGCATCTCAGTGACAATTCCTTATCCCGTATTCCTTCAGACATTGCCAAGCTTCATAACCTGGTGTATCTGGACCTGTCCTCTAATAAAATCCGCAGTTTACCAGCAGAGCTCGGAAACATGGTGTCACTCAGGTATGTGAGTTTTAACAGGAGTTTATGTTGTTCAACTATTATCTTTGTAGAAGTAGCTTGGGTTTTGGCGTAACAGAGATGTTCTAGTAAGTGAAAAGCATAAACAAATTCCCTCTTCCTGATTTTTTTCACTGTTCTCCTGTTCTGTGATACCCTCTTCTGATGTATGGCATCGTATATCTGTAAAGAGCTCTAGAAGTGCTCAGTTTGACAGCAGTCTCCCATTTTATGACTTTCCAAGTCAGGTTTCCATTCCTATGCATCTCTTTCTAAACTCTTTTACAAATCTTTCTGGAGTTATCTAAGAAATACTGATACACAGAAAATTGCCTTTATTGCAATGTAGGAAAAGGGTCCAGTTAAACATTCACAGTTGTACTAACTACTGTTTTTCCTATTTATTCATTATTCCTAATAATATTAGTTTTTATTTTCTGGGTTTAATAGCGAATGCAACTTTTCTAATATCATCTCTTTCCCACCTTTACTATATTACATTCCTATGGAAATTAAGGAGGAAGAAATATCTACTGTATGCAACTTTTTCACTGAATTTTACAATGTTTAGCTCCTCAGAGTTTTCATGGAATGATACCTCCTTTTGGAAGTGAAACACAAGTAGTAATGAGTATTTGTGTTGTACTTAAGACTGCAACATTTCATTTTGTTTGCAGAACACTGTTATGTAAACACATAAATGACATATAAAGGTAAATATCTACAAGCAATAGACTTCTGCTCTTGACCAGAAAAAAAAAAAAAGCCTTATTGTTAGGTTTATATCCAGCAATTTACTTTATTAATTATAATTTTGAAGATGTTTATGGTCAGCTCTGTTGACCATAGACCTCTGAGTCTAAAAGTAACTAGAATTTTATTGGAAGTAAGAAGGAGTAATGGACCACCAGCACAGCTTTATGAAACTGGAGGCCAAGCAAGTTTGCACATAGAAATATTAGTCGTTGAATTTTATTCTACTTTAGCAAAGACCACTTTGTTGGGGAGGATTAAATTAGCTGATGAAATTGGAACCAAAAGCTCAAATTCCAAAGTAGTTCACATCTCAATCTATGATAACTTTCTTCTCTCCTTTATCTACTTTCAGATATCGTGATCTAGCAATCCTAAATTTACTGGTACATTCTCAAATTCATCTTTGTATTTCATCAGCATCCTTTCATTTTCATCAATCTTTTTCTCTCTTTCTACAGTGCTGCCATAAAATTAATACTCACTACCTGAAGTTAACTTACCCTTGCATAGTCATCAGTAGTGTCAAAAGATACAATGCCATCTTCGCAACACTTTCCCGATTTATTCTGGCTCTGGAGGTTCAGCTCTGCCAAGTCTTCGACCTCTTTTCAGTAGAGAACAATAAAGCTCGTGAATGTGAGATGTGTAGCTGAGGCCTAGGGTCAAACTAGAGTTCTATTTGTGACAAAAACGTAGCACTGAAATCCAGATCTCTAGACGTGAAGAACTAGTGCATTAATCCACTGCGCTCTCTCTGTCCTCAGTAATTGCAGCTGATCCATGATTTCTTTTCACTGTGGTGAAAGTGAAGAAAAATCCGTAAGTGCATCCTGTGTGATAGCGCTCTGCAGGTCTCAGCTGTGCTGTGCTGTTACGTTTCAGGCTGGCTCTCACTGCAGATGCTTCCCATAGGTTCTGGGGAGTCGTTCAAACTAACGGTAATTCAGCACGGGGCATTGCTAATATCCTGAGCCACAGAAACAATTTGTGCTCTCACACTTCAGGATCGGTAACAGGTCGTACAGCTCCCACGTCTGCAGAGCGGTTTGGGCTGCTGGCAGAGCTCGTGGCATCTCCCTTTTTACTGCAGGTACTTGAAGGAGGAGGTGTCAGGGGGAGCAGTAAGATGTCTCATCTGTGAGGAGAGAGGAGAAATAACTGTAACATGCTAGCTTGGAAAGCTCGGATCTAAAACAGATTCTCTTGGTACACTTGAAAGAACTGGCGGAATTTGCTGTGATCATCTCTTCTGTACAGCAGGGGTTCCATGCATGCATAGATCATTAGAGAAACAAATTCTTTCATCCAAGAGAGAAATGGTGATGATACTTACTACTCTGCCATTCTTCCTTCTCACTCATTTTCCACTAGAAGATTGAGAACTATGGTTTTTTGTAATTCGTATATAATTTTTTTCTTATTATTTTTATTTTTTAAAATTTTTTTAGAGTTTAGTAGTGCTTTGAAAAGCTGTTGCAGGAAAAAAGGCTTTCCTAAAGAATAAATTAGGGGCCTTTTAACATCATATGGAATGTTAAAAATAATAATTAAAAATAATTTAAAAAAAAAAAAATTGTACCTATTTGAATGTTAAGTGTTTATGGAAGTGCTGAGAACTGTTGGGAGTGTTGATGTTTTCAGATATTTTTTCTGTAAATAATATCATAATATCTTCTCTCTTTTTTTTTTAACCTGCTGTGTGTCTTGTTCGTACTTAAAACCCCAGAGTGACACAGTGGGCTTCTGAGTTAGGCTGAAATATGTGTTTTCAACTGTAGGATTTTCATATTCAAAAGAAACACCAAAACAACTACAGACCAGGTGTTAGGTGTGTTGTAGCCTGTCAGTTAGCTGAGTACTGGCTTGCCACTTCTAGACAACCAGCTGATTAAAAACAATCTCCTCCTTTATCTTCCACTGCTCCACGCCACTTCAGTATTGGTGAAACGAACCCCTCTGTTCTTCGCACCCTTTCTAAATCTTTGGAAGTCAGTGCTGGGGAAGGACCAGATAGAGCTGACTTTTGCAAGGCTAGAAGAAGAGATGTTTCTTTCCTCTTCAAATGCAATCTCATGGAAATCTGAAGGAAGCAAATTTGATTGGAAATTGTGAGCAAAGTCTTCAACTTAGATTGGGATGATTCTAAGAAATTGGAAAGCTTGCTGAGTAGTCCATTTTTCTCTGCCCAATTGATCGGAATGTCAGAATTCCAGGCATAAATTCTGCTTTTGTGTTTGTTCTGCAATTTTGGAAGTTAAAAAAGGTGTATTTTGTGTTATGAAAACAGTGTTGGTGAGAGACTCTTTTTTTTTGTGTGTGTGTGTGTGCCTGGAAATGCGTACGCAGCAGATCAGTGTGCGCTTTGCTTGTGAGACAACTGCAAGCAGCTTAATGGAGAGAATGAACTACCTGGGAGGCATGTACTCTGCTTTTTTTATGAAGTGTAAAGCAGTGTTCTCAAGAGACCTTAACCAAAAAGAGCCGTAACTCCCTGCACTAACACAGTAATGTCCAAGCTCTAGTAGTACTACCATGGTCCTGAATTTTTTGCTTACTTGTTTTCTGGAATATAATTTTCTTTTAGTTGGCCTTTAATCACAGCTGAGCTGTTTCACGGCCTGGTTTGCCAGAGCTTTTACTGCTTGATCACTGTAGTTACTAAATGCTTTAGTAATTGTTGATGTTTATCATATTTCTGTCTTGTTAAGATGAGCTTCCCATTCACCTGCTTTCCTCCTTCCTTCAGTTGATACCCATTCTGTCTGTGCATGTGTGAGTACAGCAGAATCCCCCTAATGCTGTTCAGTGCTCAAGTTTGTTTATTTTTATTTTTTTTCTTCCTATGCTGTGGTTTGTTAGTATGTTGTTTCTCTTTTAGTAACTTGTACTATAGGCTGCTGAAGACAAACCGAGGTCTGTTTTCAGCCCTATATGATTGTTACTCTGTCTACAGGGAACTACATTTAAATAACAACCTGTTACGAGTTTTACCTTTTGAGCTGGGAAAACTGTTCCAGTTACAGACTTTGGGTCTGAAAGGTATTACTACTTTTTCTTGGTATCTGTGCTTTGTTTAATGATGTCTCTCCTGCAATATAAGGGCTGTAGACTGCTAATTCATGAATATTTCTGAGCAGCAATCCCAGATGTAGCTGCTCACTCCGCTTTTATAAGCATTATTTAGTAATTGTTAAAGAGAGGAACAAGAGTCACTTGGGTGAAATCCTCCAAGTGTAAAGAAGCTTCTCCTCTTTCTGCAGAGCGAGAAGCTTTCTGTTGCTTGTGCAGGAATCGGATAAGGTGCTTGTTTCAGTAACAGGCTACATTAGCATTATTTTGTGGGATTGAATACCTGAGATTTGAAGCTTGTTAGATAATAGATATAGTATTCTTTCTCAGTGATGCTGGCTTTTAACACTGATAAGTAAATTCATGGTGGTTCTGTATCCTTCATTCAGCATTTCTGTAAATGTGATTGCAGGAAATCCACTCACACAGGACATTCTGAACCTTTATCAGGAACCAGATGGGACACGAAGGCTACTGAACTATTTGCTTGATAATTTGGCAGGTACTGCAAAAAGAAGTAAGTGATCATTCTTAGAAGATCTATTCCTGCTGTGTGAAATAAATGTGATTATCACTTTTGTCTCTACTTGAAAATATTTCCATAGTCTCAACAGAACAACCACCTCCAAGGTCTTGGATTATGTTACAAGAACCAGACCGTACCAGACCCACAGGTACTGTAGCGCTTCAAGAAATTCTTATTCATTTTATATCAAATGTTGATCTCTATCTGCCACTAAGACCTTTCATGCTTAAATTAACCAGTCATCTGCCCAGTGCTGACAGCCAGTTAGTTGTAGCAGTCCCATCCTACCTAGAACCTCTGCTTCAGATTCCGTTATAATTTCCTTTTAATTAGCATACTCTTCACAGAAACTGAAATTACTGTCCAAAGTGAGTGAGTTAGTTGAATTGTAACAGGCTTAACTGAGCATTTGTTGAAGAATAAAAAATGGAAGACCATGATCGTAATGCCTCAGAAAGGTAAAGATTTTTCTTTGAAGTTCCCTATGTGTCATCTGACTCCATGCTTTCTTGCTATTTGGTCTCAGGTTATGTGTAATTGTTTACTAGTTTCTTCTGCATGAATTGTTTAAAATAAAGCCTTTTCTATTTACTAAAATGCAGCTTTTTCTATGAAACAAAAGCAAATATGCTGCTGGATTACCTGTAATCTTGCCCCAGAATGTTTCATTATATCCCTCCCGTTCCAAATTAATGCTGAGAAGTAGATTTTTCTTTTTCTGTAAATTGTAAGGTTTTTGAAATGGAAATAAAATTGTGTTATTATTTTACCTATACTTGTGTTTTGTGGGAAGGCTTCCTTGCCCTAACTGTGAATCTGTGAAATTATGTGGATCTGTTACAGTTGGTGGTACAAATTAGGATAAATTCACTAGCTAACCTAAGGTATGTAAAGTCCTCAAATAGATTATCTAAAATCCATTTGAAACTCCTTTTTCAAGGCTTTTCCCAGTAATGCAACACTTAACGTAAAGCACATTTTTCTGCTGTATATTGCATTAACCTTATGAAGAGTTGTTTTGATTTTTTGGTTTCTATGTATATGTTAGTAAATGGCTGCCAGAAATCCCAACCTGGAGGTAATTTATCCTCCTGGAAGGACTGAAAGATGCTTTTACAGCGCAGGTGCTGCGCTTTGGTTGCAGGACTTACCAATTCCTAAGTCTGCAGAAGACAATAGAGAAGATAATTGTATGGTTTCTTGTTATTAGTCTATCAGTATGTAAGCAACATTATTGTTCTGCAGCCTTGTTCTCTGTCATGTGTTACAACGTGCTGTGTGATAAATACGCTACCCGGCAGCTGTATGGCTACTGCCCGTCGTGGGCGTTGAACTGGGAGTACAGAAAAAAAGCCATTATGCAGGAAATCCTGAGCTGCAACGCTGACATCATAAGTCTTCAGGTAAAAGATAGACTGTAATTTTGTTTTCCCTTTCAATTCTCACCTGCTTGTTTCTCTGTATTAAAAACGTTTGCTGTAAGTGGTGTGTTTTCAAAACGCTCTAAAAATAAAAGGAAGAAAAGGAGTGGTGTTCAGAGCAGTATTTGCTGTTTGACATCAAAAGAATGCTTTTCAGCCCACACAGTTGGAATGTGAACCAGCAGCTGCTGATCAAAGAAATGTATGTGGGGGTGTCTGTGTGTGTGCACGTGAGGGTATAATTGACACGTTTTCCAATAAAAGGCTTAGGATAATCATAACTCTGGGGATTACAGAAATTCATTTATATTTTCTTCTTTAAGTACAAATATTGCTCTCAAATTTGTATTCTCCAGTGTACTTAATTCTTATGTGTGTTTTTTTTTTTTTCCTTAAATCTAATTTGGAACTGATTTACACTTCTGAAGAGTAAATAATATCAGTCTTGTGTGTTTTGGTAATAGTAGATTCATGGTGTGCTGTGTTCTGACTTTATAGGAGGTTGAAACTGAGCAGTACTACAGTTTTTTCCTGGTAGAATTGAAAGAACGTGGTTATAATGGATTCTTCAGTCCAAAATCTAGAGCTAGGACAATGTCAGAACAGGAAAGAAAACATGTTGATGGTTGTGCAATATTTTTCAAAACAGAAAAGTAAGTGATTTGATTTATAAAGCCTTTCGTTGTGTCTTGCTCTTTTTCACACAATTTCTTGGGTCATTCTAAAGTCAAAATGATTTGGCATTGCTCACCCCTTTTGTAGCTGTTTGGTGTTAACAGGTCATGAGTTCACTAAATTATGCTTCAAATACAGCCATTAGGCATTAAAGACATTTGCGTTTTAATTCTTATTTAAAAAAAATAAAAATCTCAAAGACTGAATTAAGGCTGCAAGCCATGGTCATGGCTTTCCTTCCATTCCTCTGTGTCCACAACGATGCCACAAGCAAGTATTTAGTTGCTATTAAACTTGCAAGTTTGAGCTTGAATCTTATATGGAATCAAAATGAAGCACTTTTCCAGTAGGTCTTCCTTCTTTTTACAAAATAAATCTTTTCATTAAAATCAGCTTGATATCTTAAAAATAACTAGAAGAGTATCCTTTTGGTTTCAGTTAACGATGTCTATGAAATCATAGGATGGGCTGAGGCTTTCTTACCATAAATGTGTTTGAGCTTTAGTTAAGAGGGGAATTTATCTAAAACATTTCCTTTGGTAACTGTCCACTGAAGAAAGCGTATCTGATGTTCCTCTTTCAGATTTACTTTGGTTCAGAAACATACCGTTGAGTTCAATCAACTGGCTATGGCAAACTCAGAAGGCTCAGAAGCTATGCTGAACAGAGTTATGACAAAAGATAACATTGGAGTTGCTGTGTTGTTAGAACTGCGAAAAGAATTGATAGAAATGTCATGTAAGTGCTGTTTAATTTTTGAATGCACTGTATTTTATCAATGAACACAAAAAGCCAACTGTGTCACCACTTGAACCTACACCTTTTCCTCAAATCCTCTTTGGAAATAAATTTCTCTGGGCTTGCAGTGTTTAAACTTACATTCACCTGTTAAATCCAATTTCCTTTTTACTGTAACTTTGTGCTGAAAAAAAAAAATCTGCAGTTTGAGGGATTCTGCTTGGAGATGCATGAAGGTATCAGAGAATGAGTTGGTATCAGATTATTCCTTGTGCTTAGAATCAACTAAAACACTTAGCACTTAGTAGTTACAAGAGGAGTTGTGTAGCCTTCTTAAACTAAATGCTAGTAATTCTTTTCAAGCAGCTGGTATTCTTTTTTCTCCCCTCAAACGTCTTGTTTAAAATTGAACACAATTAAAGATGACAGTATTTTCTGTTGCTGACTCTGCAAGGTAAATATTTAATTTTAAATTTTAGCCGGAAAGCCGCATCTGGGGATGGAAAAGCAGCTCGTTCTTGTTGCTAATGCACACATGCATTGGGACCCAGATTATTCTGATGTGAAGCTGGTTCAGACTATGATGTTCCTATCCGAGGTAAAGAACATTATTGATAAAGCTTCTCGTAGTCTCAAGCCTGGTGTTGCAGGGGAACTTGGAACCATTCCACTTGTACTGTGCGCCGATCTCAACTCTCTGCCCGACTCTGGTAAGAGTACTACTCCTGTTGTTACTCTTTTCTCAGACTGTTTCAAGTGAGTGACAATCCAAATGCTAAGGGCTCAATTTTTAAAGGGATTTTTAACCCAGGGAATATATTGTTTGATGTTACAAGGGCTAGAAGTGCTAAGAAAATAAAAAGATGGAACTGCTTCTTTTGTGAGTGACCTTTACTGCCTGTGCAGTACTATAGCTCAATTTTTGTTTTTCAGAATCATTTTGATTGTTATCTCAAAATACAGGAATGGAAAAGAAGAAAATGTCTTCCAAAATAACTTTCTGTGTTACAGTGCTGCTGATGACTGTGGGTTGTTTTTTACGATTGGTTTTAAGTGTGAAAATACATGTTCTTCTCTTTAAAGTTGCAACCATACGATCATTTTCTTCTGCTCAAATGTTTTAGGACTTCTAAAACTCAATACGTCTCCTGTGAGAAAAGAATTCTTCAGTGCTCCTCAATAATGTGCAGATTTCTTTGACTGTAGCAAACTACAGAATTCAAGAGAAGAGCAGATTCAGTTTAGCCCTTCTTGACTCTTTCCCATTTACCCGATTTGAGTGGTGGATTTGAGCACCATCCTTCTTTCTTGTTGATTACTATATAGTTATCGCCATCCCCAGTCGACCTTCCTTTTAGCCTCTACTTGGCAACATCTTAGCCATTGCTATCAACCCTAACTTGATGCTATTGCTTAGCAGTGCTGGAAAAGGGATTCTCTTTGATGCAAAGAGAGCAAGTATTGGTGGTGCTTATTGCAGCGGGCAGTTCATGTCTGATTGTGCCTTCAGAACACTTAGTCCCTTCTTTTAAATCCTGAACCCTAACACAGCTGTTCTGAAATTAAGAGGCACAATCATAGATATATTTTTTTTAATTTTTTTTCCAGGCAGAATCTGTTCTGCTTTGTAGCCTCTTGGATTCCAAGAGTCATTTTAGCCAAGCAGTGTTGAAAGCTGAGATTTGTGTGTGAAGATAAGAAGTGGCCTATCAAGCACCTATGGAATTTCACTTCCATCTCTTTTATCTTCCCCAACCCTCTCAAGACAGTCTGTTCTGTTTAATTTTCTGGTTGGTTTTTTTTTCTAATTAATGAATCAGTCTTTGTTCTAGGTGACATTTGCTCTTGAAACACATAGACACTGTCTCACAATATCTCTTTAAGATCAACTGCTGACTATATTGTGTGTGCTTAAATAAAGCAGAAGATTGCACATGCAGCTCAAAGTAATCCATGCACACTTGCTGAATGCTTGTTAATACCTTATTGTGTATCTGCCTCTTCTGATAGGTGTTGTTGAATACTTGAGCACTGGTGGAGTGGAAACAAACCACAAAGATTTCAAGGAACTGAGATACAATGAAAGTCTTACTAACTTCAGTTGTAATGGAAAAAATGGAACAACAAATGGAAGAATCACACATGGTTTCAAGTTGAAGAGTGCCTATGAGAATGGTCTAATGCCTTATACAAATTACACGTTTGACTTCAAGGTAAGGACTTCGCTTAGTGGAAATCCAGTTAGTTAATTGTTTAACAAAGAAGTTAATGTTTAGGTAGCTAACAGTAAGTTCACCAAGTTCGTTAAAAACACTTAAAGCATTTAGCAAACAGAATGCCTAAAACTTCCATCTCTTAGAAATCAAGCTTTCCTTTCTCATATTAATCTTATAGTAGTTCTGCAAGATCAAGGGCACTGTTATCCTTCCCTGTAAATAAGGTGATGTATTCTAATAATCTAAGCTAAATGGAATAGTGGAATTTGGACAGTTAAGCTGCCAATTTCGAGGAAATAATCCATGCTACTGCTGGAAAAGAAAGATGGCTCTGTTCTTCAAATTACATTTCTCTGATTTTGAAGCTTTGTAGGAGAATGGAAATGAAAACCTCCAACAGGAGAGCAGGAGTGATGTGGGGTGGAATTTTCACTTGTTTCTCTAATCTGTACTACCCACAGGACAGGAAATAGAAGTCTCCTAAATTGAAGATAAACTGCAGCGAAGGAATGATAGCATTGCAGTTATTCCTAATACTGAATTCACCTTTTGTTTAGCAAAACAACTCGGGTAAAGATCATGTACTAATAATGCTATTTCCCTTCTTGTTTTAGGGTATTATTGACTACATCTTCTATTCTAAACCTCAGCTAAACATACTTGGCATTCTCGGACCTTTGGATCATCACTGGTTAATAGAGAACAATATAAGTGGTTGTCCACATCCACTCATCCCTTCTGACCACTTCTCACTTTTTGCACAACTGGAGCTTTTGCTGCCTTTCCTGCCTCCTGTAAACGGAATCCATCTCCCTGGCAGGAGGTAGTTAAGTACATTTTAGAGGGTAACCTCAATCAAACCTGTACAATTGTAAAATCTGAATATAGAGGAGTGAGGTATGGCCAACAGGGATTTTTTTCTTAATGATCTTAATCTTAAATCTAATTATTTGCTAAAGACATAGTAAAAGCCAGGTGCTATCAACAGACATAATTCTGAGCCCACTATACTTTGTATACAGTCGACAGCGATCGGTGCATTTGCACCTTTCTTTAATACGTTGCAGTTCACCTTCCTGTTTCTTTTATCCAACGTGACATTTTCATGCCTTGAAATAGGGAATTGTTATACAGTATATTCTCTTTGCACAGTTATCTGTAGCACTACTTTTTTGAGGCCAGTAGGAACATCCACACAACATTCTTCCGTACTTCACTCCCTCCTTTTTCAGACTTGTTTGTAAAATATAGAATTTGAATTTAGCCTTTATTGATTGTATATGAACAACAGAAAACCTGATTTATGAAATTTTGTACTTTAAAAAAAAAAAATCAGATTTGGAAAATGATTGTATTGTAAACTAAGGCTAAATTTTTATCTGTTTTCATGTGTTACAAAGGCCAGCTCGTAAAAGAGGTTGACACAGGTTTTCTCTGCTAACGATTTGCACTGTTAGGGTTTTGTGAGCCCTTTTGTACTACTTCTTATGTTCAATTGAGAACGTTGCTTTTAAAATCCAAATCTATAAAATCTCAGTATCTTACAGAGGACTAAATACATTCTATTGATCTCTGATTTAAAAAAGAGAAAAGCACGGAGTTCTCACAGAACATATAAGCTAAGCAGTGAATATAAGTAGACCTGTATGCATTGAAAGTTACTGCAGATGTGTATACACTCAGATATTTTTCTCATCTCTAACTTTAGAGGTAAAATGTAGGGATACTTGTGTATAGCTTCCTCATTTCTGTTTTAATACCTGTCCTATCTCCACTGTGCCTGCTTAAATTTGTTCTCAACTAGCACTGCCTGTGCATGCAGAGAGAGCCTGTGCATCCTCTTTTATTTTTTTTAAATAACGTTAACACTTGTGAAAATTTTATGAAGATACTTTTGTATAAGCTGTGGCATCTTCTTTTTTTCCTTTGTGAAGCATTGGGTATCACACTCTGAACATGTTCGGGTTATGGGTACACAGTTTCTAGCTTCTAATCCCGTGCACTGCTTCTTTCAGTGTCATTGCACAGTGCTCTGTTTCCCACTAAGAATTATCATGTGAATTCTCCTTAGTTTGAGTGTGTTCCTCAGTTTCAGAGTATAATTCCTTGATGAAGAAAATAAAACCCTTACGTTTTCTATTGATGAAGCAGTGTAAAAAAGAAACGCGTTTTCAAAACAGGTCCCAAAGACAATTCTTCAGATCATTTTTAAAGTGACCAAGTCTTATTTTTAAAGTGTCAAGATTAAAGTTATTGTGTACCCTCAGTGCCATTTGTGTCACGAAGCCAAGTATATAAAAGCTTACAAATTTGTGTCTTTGTAAAAGAGAGACGTTATCACCTCCTTAAACTAATACCACAGAAATAATCAATGTAAAAAAGAAAATAAATGGAGATAGAAAGCTTGATCTTAAACAGCTTTTGTTTCAGCTGCGGGCAGGGAAGCAAAAGGACACTGAGCATTAAGAGAACTTTCTAAATATTAAGAATTTTTATATATATGGGAGAGTGGATTGGTAATAATGATTCAAAATTTTATTAAAAATTAGTAAGCACACGAGTGTGCTCAGACCGTTCTGTTTTAAGCTGAAAGTGAACGTGACAAACAGTTCGGATATGTGAAATGTACATTTTTAAACTGCAGTAGAAGAAATTCTGATCTTGAATCCTTGTCTGGGACCTGATCTCCTGGGTTGTTTTGTTTTCGTTTTAGTTGTGAAAACACCAAACACGTCCAGTTTATAATCAGTACATTGAAATGCTGGTAGTATTGCTGTAGTAGATTTAATGCGTAGTGTTATTTTTTTCTCGTTTTTTTTGTTTGTTTTGCTTTTTGTTGGTTATTATTACTTTCTTTTTTTTTTTTTTTTTTGTAAAGTGTGAATAAAAAGTGTTTTACTCATGTTTCCTTAATGATGTCTTGGTAATGTACATCATGACCATTTCCAGTGAGGACGAGTGGATTTAGCTCGTCCAGCTGAGCAAACTGTTTTTCTTTTCTGAGGATCTGGATTGTGTATTGAGTCCAGAAAGCTTTACAGAAGGGGAAGGGAAGCACTTACTCATTTTGTATTTCTTAGAGGGGGGATAATTTTCTTTAATAGATTCTGGAGCTTGAGTGCACTTGTTAGATTGAAAAGGTTTGAGCTTTATCCAGTATGTGTTCTCCTATATTTCTTAGTCTTAAACATGTTTGAAATTATTACATCATTAAAATATGGCCCGTGGTGCTTTTGGAGAGACAGCTGTCCCTGCTCACCTGGCAGTCTTCAGGGTCCATTTAAGTAACCATTTCCTTCAGCTTTTGTACTAGTCTATCAGATCCCAACTAAAGACCCACTGAAAACATTTAAGGCACTCCTTTGACTTCACTGGGTTTTAACTGGACTACGCTCAGAGTGCATGTGGTCACTCGAGAGAGGAGGGAATGAGAAATACTTTGAATGCAGGGAAAGAACAGAAGGCACCAAAACGGAGCTGAGATAAACTTCTAAAGAAAATACATTCGTACGTCAAACAAATGTAACTCAAAACTCTCAATTTCCAGCTATAGCATAGAATAAGGCAATAAACCACGTCTTCACACAATCAAAACATTTGCTTCATAGTTTTTGACTTAAAATGATTATCTGCAGTATTTTATTGGAGGTGGATTTGGACGTTGCCATAATGTACCTTCAGTGTTCCTGTTGTAAAAGCACGTACTGCGAAAGCCACAGAACATCAGTGGGATTCGTTGAGGTTTGAGCAGGCTTTTTTCCACTTAAAATACGGTCAACCATATCTTGTCTACTTGTATTTACATTTGCAAAGAATTCTGGGAATCAAAATGTTAAATTGAGCATACCTTTAGCTAAGAGAATTGATTACAAGATTGATTACAAGGTGAATCCACAAGCTACTGCTTTAGAATGGCATCAATGGGGAGGGGTGGAAGGGAAGGCGCGTAAGTCAGTGTCAGTGCATTTTGTAATTATTTTGTCCTTTTAGCTTTAAATTTGGCCAACGCTTGGACAAAACTGAGTTTGTTTAGAACGTTGTACGTAGGCATCTTTGGTGTAACTTTAGTAAGCCTCTCAAGTTCGGGTGTTTTGTGGTTTTGTTTGGTTGCTTTTGGTTTTCTTGAGCAGACTTAGGTTATGGTTTGCTTTTTCAGCCACAAGCTAAAACCTGTATTAAAGACAAAATGATTACGATGTCATTGGAAACGGCGACTAATTACACTGTAAAACTTTAAAAATAGTAATAATCAGTTAACTGCATAAGTAGCAAGCCTTTCTCATCCAGCCGGTCACAGTATTTGTTTAGTATGTTAACTGCTCTTCTTTTCTTTTGGTTGCATAAATTTGTAACACTTAAGTGTCTTGGTATGTTTAAGTAGTGTCTAAAATAGAATATCTTAGTCTTTATTCACAGTACTTCTGTATAACGTGTAATGCACTGGACTAACTCTTGTTTACCATTCATGTAACAAAAACCAGCACATTATCTGCACTAAGCTCAAAGAATGTTGCATTTGTCTATAGGCAGCTCTTCAATAAGATAAATGGGAAACTGAATATGGTCTGATGGTAAACAAGGGCTTTTACTGTTCTCTTCAGTGGAACTTTCTTCTTGGTCAAATTTTAACTAGTTAGTATTATATTTATATACAGGGTCTTCTTTTTCCTTACCAATGTATTTTCCTACTCATAGCTGACCAATAAATCCAATATCTGTTTCAAACCTTCTTGAAGTCTAATTCATATTTTAACTTAATTCTGAAAGCTTTTTTTCGAGGTACACATGGCCAAAGTCAATGAAGGATGCCAAGGGTAAAATGGAAGCAAGTAAGCAATCCGATAATCCTGGGAAGCCTTTCCTGTACTGCGTAGAACTGAGGACCAAAAAACTTTGAATCAGTTGGGCTTGGATTGCAGAATCAAGAAGTGGCTAATAATGCCTCCAGACTTTGTGGAAAACGTGCCCAAACAAAATACGAAGCCTGTTATCCTCTGACCCGATTACACTGTAGCTCTGTGTCTTCATATCTAGCCATCCTCTGGCCTTCGCAGTAAGGCGGGTTGTGTGGCAGTGCAGGAGCCGTGGGTTTGCTCTGTGACCCATCTCCTTCCTACCCCAGAAAGCCCAACTCAAACCTGGGATCTGGCAACAGGAAGGAATTCAGAGGTTTCTCTTTTCATTAATGTCCTGCAGAAGAGGAACAAAGCGAAGATTTCTTTTACCTTTCTTTTCAGAATGAGATTCAAGGTGACTTGTGTCCTTAATTCACGTATTTTCTCCTGCATCAGAGTGTATGCAGGTTTTAATGGCCACAAGGGCTTCAGTGGCCAGAAGTGTGGTGTTTTGTTTTCTTGTTCCCATCACTAACTGCAGAAAACAGAATATTTTTGCTGTGTAAAGCACTGAAGCACAGACATCTCACAGACACTCCTATGTCGTTTCAGAGCTCGTACTCTGTGCTGGCCCTGCTTTTGACATAAATGGCCATGTTCAGTGTTTCTATGAGTGCCGCTGACTTGTTTGTATTTTTAAAATTCAGAGTTGAGAAGCAGCTGTAAGTCCTTAGCAGAACCACGAGATTTCTGCAATGATTTCGTATTTGAAATTCTCACCAACACGTTTGCTGTCTTGCCACTAGATGGTGCGTGCAGCACAGGCTTTACGTGCACAGGGAGGCAGAGGCATGTTTGAGAGCGGCACCCAGAAAGTGGGGCTTGTGGAATTATTCTTTAGAGTTCTTGCAGAAATTCAGGCCCAGGAACTAACGTTTTTCAGTTGGTTTGTTAACGTCCATGGCAATTTAATACTGGTTTTATAAATACAGCTGCTACGATAGGAATTAAAAAGACCCACTTTAATTACAGTTATTTTAACACAATGGAGTGCCAAATCTGGCCAGATTCTGAGTTACTGTCTCATGTGCACCAGCTCTTCAGAGAGGGTACAGAGTTATTTTATGGTGTGAACTTTCTAAAATGGTGCAGGTGAACTCTGCAGGGCATTTCTTACCTACTGCCATGGGTGGTGAAGATGTCTTAAAACATCTGGAGTTGATCTGGGTGAGGGAAGGCAAAGAATCTGAGAACAAGGTAAGTGCGAAGGACAAAGAATATGGAAAAATCTTACATCCTTAAAGGGTGCGTTTTATACTTGCTTTCTTGATTTTCATCTTGCCTCCTACCCAGAGGCACTAATTGTTCATTCTCTCAACATTCACCTGCATGGAAAGCAGTAAAGTTAACGAAGCAGTGGAGATCTTTGGTGTGTTTGAATATTTTCTTTTTCCAAAATAAGCCCTGTATTCTCATATATTTCCAGTTTTAAAAAGGTAGGAAGCTATGCTCTAGTTAAATCTTCTGAATGTGTCTGTAGACAGTGTTCATTTATTATAGGAATGTTTTGTGTTTATTGTAATAAACATACATTACTTAAAATAAAAACCATTGAGTTTTAATGGCCATGAGGGTTTCAATTCTAGCTAATTTTTGATGGGATGCTTTTTTCTCCTTCCTTTTTTCTCTTTCTCTCTAGTTAGAAAGAGCATTCAGAGTACAGGCTGCTCCTTCTGGGTCAGAGTAGTGAGTTAATGGCACTTTCTCTGCAGTAGCTGATGGTATTGGTGGCTCTTCAGAGGTTGCTCTTACTGGTTTTATTTCTTCTTCAAAAAAGAAGCAGACCAGTTAGTAGTCTGTGTTTTGGCCAGGGACACAGAGACTTTACCTCAACCCCTGAACCAACCTGGTCAATGGGTTTGCCCACTCCAGCATCAGGACAGCACAGAGATAGAGGTCAGCTGGGGGAAAGTCTGTGCTGCTGTTTCTGACCTTTGAGTACTGACTGTAAGCCGGGGGAATGGGAGAAACAGCTTAACTTACGTAAAATATTTTTAGAGTTCTCGTGGGCAGAGGGAATGCGTGGTCAGGGAAAGCATCCTGCTTCACCTCATGTCTGGCAACGTGATATCCTATGGTCAGGCTGTTGTTGCTAACATATTGAACATCAGGCAAGCCCAGACCTTTCTTTCTCAGTTAGCTGTTGTCTGCAGTGTTCTGGGCTCTGTGGTGATGTGCTCCAGTTCCAGCTGGCATGTAGGAGAGCATCACCCAGCAGTTGTGGTGTTTGGATGCGAAGAACCATGTTCTTGTTGCCAGGGTTGTGCTCTCAGAGGTCACTGGGAGCACATGCTGCCAGTAAATAATAGCAGCTATATTCAGCAAAAAAGGCTGTACAGCACTCAGTGAGAAGAACAAGTCAGATGTGCTTGGCTTGCAAACAGCATTTGAACCCACAAAAACCCAACAGATAGGGCGAGTGTGTGTGCAGAGGTTGTGGCACTAAAAACAAATTCAGTGTGCTGAGTTGCTGTTGTGGTGTTTATGTTCCTCATTGGAGCCAGTCCTGAGCCTTTGGCATGTCAGTACCATTTAATTAAGTTCTCATTTGAGGGTGTCAAACCATGGTCCCATCCAGTCACATAACTGCCAGCAGCCAGCCAGCTGTGTTGTTACATTGGTCTTTGTATGACTCATGTATTGCAGGAAATATGCAATGAATAAAGAGGAGGAAGGTGCCCAGGGCAGCAGCACGTGCTCTCCTGCCTGCAGCACAGTTCTTTGCTGTCTGGAAGATTAGAGCCACTGCCACTAATCTTGATCTAAATGTTTCTTCTTGTAGGTCTGGCTGATTTTACAAATCCTCCTCTTCCCTTAAGAGTTGTTCCCATTCTACACAAAAGTAACTCAAAAAAAAAAAGCCGTAACTCATGGGAGGTCGTGGGTGTCAGTGCTGCAGAGCAGATCGTGCTGCACTCCCCAGCTCAGCCTGCTCTGTTGCCTGATCCATAGAGAATACAGGTCTGTGTTTTCTGTGGAAATGAGAAGGAGCTGAACTAAGTTGCCAGCAGCTGCTGTGAAGCAGGGTGCCAGGAGTTGCAGCAGACAGGAAGGCAAAAGGAGAACACAGTGCAATTTTGCAACATGCATCCTTCGTTTTGGAGCAGACCTTGGTGAGGAAGATTTGCTTCCTTGATTTTTGGCAGCAGTTCTCATTCCTTTCAAAGATAATGGGCATCCTCTGAATGAGACTGCATTTAAAGGTTGCCATGTTTTCCTTTCTAACTGATACCATTTGCAGTAGGCTGCAGGGAGATGGTTTTGGTTTTGTTGGTCAGATATAACCTCACCTGGTGTTCTAGTTTGTGGTGTCATTGTTCAACAATCTGTTTAGTTAATGATGTTAGTAAAAGGGATGCACTTTGGGTCATGCTTCATTTGAGGCAGAAGCCAAGAGTGACTTAGCAATTTCTGTCCTGGCAGGAGGCAGCATCCTTGTATTTCCTACATCCTGCAACAGGAGGCTTCCTGTTGCAACCCAAGTCAGTGCACAAACAACGACCACGTTCAGCTCATGAAATGTACAGAAGAAAATGAGATGGTATTTATAGAACTCCACATTGTTATTTTGGCACTCAGAAGTGATGTTAAGAGATGTCATAGTGTATAACTGATGAATATACAGATGTTATAATTATGAAATAAACCAGAGAGTTTAGCTAATCAGGTTATACAAAAAGAGAATAGATAGAGTGCTTACCTTTGTCCTGGGCTTGCTGTAAAACTCCAAAGGAAGGATCTCTAGAAAGAGGTCCTTCCCCACTGGTAGTCAGCTCTTATAAGGGTCTAGCAGAGGTGGAGCCAGGCTTCACCCCTTCCAGCAGCACAGATGAATTGCCTTCACCTGTGCTCCCAGGGCTGACTCATTGCTCACCTCAGGTGATCAATCAGAGGTTCAGGCTGTGATTCAGCAGCTGTCATACAGGTAGGCAGTGGGGTCTCTGGTCCTGGGGCTTGGTGCTGTCTGTGTAGGTCATTTTTGATTTATACTAAAGTAGAACAGAAGGGTTTGCCAGCAGTGAAAGTTTCACCTGGAGTAACAACGTAGGCTTTAACCAGGAAAAGAAAGTAAATTCTGCACCACCAGCTTGTTTCTCCAGTTACATAGCAATCATTGGTTTCAAAATAAGAGCGTAGTGTCTTTGTGGCCTCATGGAAAATATTTTCATACAGAATTTTAGCCAGCGTGAGTAAGTTTTGAGAACAGCAAACATCTCTGAGCTGAAGCCTGGATCCAAGAGTACAGCTCACCCCGAGCACAGCAGTACTGCTGCATGTGGTGGGCCCTCTTGGCACCTTGCTGGTTGCCTTTGGCTGGGACCTTGGGCCTTTGGGTTCTTCTTCTGGATTAAAATCCCTGCAGAGACTGAGCAGTTGCAGCTACTGATCAGCTACAGCCATGCTCACAGCTTAGGAGAGGAGATAGAAGTTTCTCTGCTTCACCCGCAGGGGCAAAGGAACCTGTTGGACTTTGGCTGCAAATGCTGCTGAACTATTGCAGTGTCTTTTCCCACAGGCTATGATTTTTGATGTAGAAATAGTCTCTTCTGTAGATTGATAAGTTTGATTCTTCAACCAAGATGTTAAGCAGCAGCCCGCTCCCTTACATCTCCCTTCTTGGAGCAGGAGCTGAGATCTGACAAGGCAATTCTGCCAGACAGAGGAAAAGCATGTAAGAATGCAATGCTTTACTTTGGCTTAAAAACAGACCCCTGGTGCAGAGGGGGCGATGCTGTGTGCTCTCTGCAAACCCCACACACAGGGCTGTGAAGCTTCTCCCACTGCGCTGCAAAGTGGTGCTCGGTTTTTGTAAGGGAAGGGATGAGGCCTTGTGATGGAGCCTATTGTTGGGGGTGGTAGATGGGGAGGAATCTCCTCTAAATCCAGACAGTACCAGCTCTGCCCTGCAGGCAAGCACAGTGCTGGACATCTCCAGTATTTCTTTGACCCAGTTAACAAAGCACAAATGTTCCCGATCACAGGGCTGTCTAATCCTGTAGAATCCTGCTGAGTTTTGTCTCGCGACCGCCTCCAGGAGCAGCCCTTGCACAGCAGCAGGCAGGGCACGGCCTGTCCCTGGGAATCAAACGCCTTCGGCTCTTCCTGCGCTGCTGTGTGCACACAAAGCAGCTCTGAGGAGCAGCAGCCGCCATGTTGGGCTGCCCCACGCTCAGGAGCAGGCTGTGCTTGTGACCTCATGGCTGTGTGTCCCGGGGCCTGCGGGGCCGGGCTGGGCCTCCTCCACACTCATCTGGTCCTCAGCAGTATCTGAGGAGGTTAACGTTTGGATAACAGTTAAAATTTCTTCTTCCAAAGAGTGGTCAGGCTGCCCAGCACGTGGTGCAGTCACCACCTCTGGAGGTGTTCCATGAACGTGGAGCTGTGGCACTGAGAGATGTGGTCACAGGGCGATGGTGGTTGGTGGGCAGTTGGATGAGGTGATCTGAGGGGTCTTTTCCGTCCTCAAGGTTCTATGATCTTAGGATTCTAAAGGCCTTTCTCAAAGCTGTGAGGCAGTGCTCTGGTGGGTGAGGTGGCAGGGAATGGACATTGTAGCTCCAGCATAAACCGGTCTGCTCTCCCATGTTCCTGTCACCAAGGAAAAGCAAAGCAAAAAAACCACAACCATTCAACTGAACTCAAATGACTCGTGTGGTCACAGTCCAGCACCAAACTCACTGTGGCAGCCTCCCTGCTGGCTCCTGCTCTGCCAGGCTGCACAGCCCTCGCTGAGCTCACGGCATTTCATGAGGGCCTTTTGGCTGAGTAGCTTAAAAGCAAAGACAAGGAACGATTGACAGAATGCTAACGCGTGCAAGTGAATAAGCTAATAACTTCATTTCCCTCATCAGCTGCTAATAGAAATCTGTGCTTTAATTGCAGCAGAAAATTGTCCCCATTATGAGCCCATTCCAAAGCACTTACACTCCCTTTGGTTTTAGATGGCACTTGGTCAGATGTTATGTAGCAACCAGATAATATTCCAAAAATGCCTGGGTTTTCTACAGCTCTTTGCAACAGTTCCTGGAAGTGCTGCCTCCAGGAGCTTTATTTCCAGGAAGGGTGCGATTGCCAGGGACATTGGATGTGAATTTACACAATGTGAATTTTGCATCAGCTTTATCTCGTGTCAGGCAAACTCAGTTACTCTTGAGAAGTCCAAAGCATGAGAAAAGACCACAAGACCAAGATGTGGTGTTTCAGGGTTCATTGCTGCTATCAGCTGTGATTTTGATGCCAGCCACAAAAATAAACTGGGAGCTGTGGTGAGCAAGGCAAAGGGCCGAGCCTAAAAAACCATCTAACGCACGAGGCTGCAGGCTTGTTCTTTTTGAGTTGGTATATCTGAGGTAGGAGCAGGAGGCCTCTGCCTGGGTACTGCAGGATGTGTCACTGATAGTGCAGTGACAGATGTAGCACTGCCTCCTGCTGCCAGCAGGACAGAGAGGCTACCCTGCTCCTTTCATCTGTGCATGCATTTGGCTGTCGTTTTGGATCTGCTTTATGCTCTAGTTATTGCTGCAGATGCAAAACTCTTGGCCATTAATCACGTTGCTGATGGGACATACAAGGCTTTTTTCTTTGCTTTTTTTTTTTTTTCCAAAGCTAAGAGATTCCTCCTTAGTCACTAAGTGCAGTTTAACTTAATTGTACACCATTTATCATTGCTCTCCATTTGTAGAGGCTCAAAGTTAGCTAAAAACACTCTCAGTGAGCATTAGGCCAAACCGTGGCATTTCAGGGCAAGGGGAAAGCTTGATGCACAGTCCACACAGCTGCTAACCTATGTAGAGGGACCCCATATCTCACGTCAGGCTTAGATCTGATTCCCCGAAACTATGCTGTGTTTTCTCTCAAAGCTTTCAGATTTTGATTTTTTTTTCTTTAAAAAAGCTGCTTTTACACAACTACTGTGTTACACTACTGCTACACTAGTACTCTCATTTAAACTTTTCAGAAACCAGCTTTGTTGACTTCACACAAAGGCCTCCTGCACAGACCTTCTCCATTTCCCATCCTGCCATTGTGTTCTCTCTTTAGGACAAATGCATTCCTGACCTTTTCTGTTTCTAAACACATTGCATTGGTTCGTGTTTTAGTTTCTGATCAGTGCACTCTTTCTATCTGCAGAGAGACCCTACCTGCAGTGCATTAGCTCCTTGGAGTGCTGTGGCTGCTCTGCACTGTACTGATAACCAGATCCTATTAGCCAGGCTCTCAAAGCTGTTGCTTCCTCATCCTTGTTCTGAGCTGATGATAACTGTTGTCCTGTAAGGCCCACCCTTTCTTCTGCTGCTGCTTCTCTGTGCTAATTCTGTTGAATTCACTTAGGGCTGGTTGTGGCATTGATGAGAAAAGAAGGGGACAGCTTTGTTTCTGCCTCTCTGACTCTGGTTTTCTAATTTTAGTCATAGTTTTCTGTGTCCAAGTGCTTTCGTTGCTTGCAGCAGTAAAAGTCTGCACAACCACATGAATGAATTTGTATGTGAGCCTACAGATTGCCTGTGAAAATGTTGTGAAAGCTGAGACTGAAAGCTACAGGCAGATTTGGATGCCAACATCTCCTGAGCTTGTCTGTGCCTCTCTTTGCTGCACTCCAAAGCTTCCTCCCCCCCGAAGGTTTTAGGTTTCTAGGGAGCTCTTCTGGGAAAGTTTGAGGATTGCACCTGAAAGGTCGCTTGTGGGCCTGCAAGAACAGAGAGAGCTGATTGGTGTAAGGATTTTATTTGCTTTCTTGGTCAAATACGGTGATACATGCAGTTGGCACAAGAGTTGCTAGGCATTGGTGTCTTAAACATGGACAGAAACCGAAATGTCTGCATAGCAGTGAGGGCAAACATCACCTCCATCCCTACACAAACCCAAAAGTGAAGGGCAGAGGATGGGGAGGCAGAGTCCATGCAGCCCTCGTTCAGCTCAGGCTCTCTATAGGCCCTAAAAAAGCTGCAGCCGCTTTCGCCTTTGTTCTTGCTGTATGGTTAGTCTGAAAATGGAGATGAGAAGCAGTTCGGCTCCAGAGCATTAGTGAGTTTCAACAGGAATAAAAATATTTGAGGTAAGAGATGTGAGAATGAGCAGTTCAGATTCACTCCCCTTTTGATCCTTGAGTATGTTTACACTTCTGTGGGTACTGAGCAGAAGTTGCCGTCTGATTTAATCTACTCAAGGGTGTTTCAGAAATCACTTGCAAGCACTTCTATAGTGGCAGCTTTGCAGTGGCATTTCCCATCCTGGCTGCAGTTGAGCAAGCAGCCCGGTCCTCATGGCTGCTCCCTGCCAAAGGATTGATTTGTGGCAGCGGCTGCAATAATTGCACTAGCGTTGCTTAGCAGTTTTCTCACCTGCTCCTCTTGCAGTGCTGTGTGCTGTGGGACTGTGACAGTGAGTGAAGGTTTCAGGAGACAAAGCTGTCTCTGTGTGGTGGTTACAAGATGACCTGACCGTGTGGCTCAGCGTGCCGGGATCCCACAGCAGCACTGCTCCTCCTGCAGCCATCCCTGCAGCATCAGCAACAAAGGGCTTGTCCTGAGGACTTCTTATGATGGTTTTTGTTTAATTCATGTTTCAGTCTCACAGCAGCAGGCATAGAAAAGTCAGTGTGACCAACTGGGGGAAACTAGAGAAGCACACACGTGAAGGGAAACAGACACAATTCATACGTGCACAGAGCTTGCTCAGCTCCCAGCTCCGCTCCCACCCAGCACAGACAGCTGTGCAGACACCGATGGGAGCAGAGCACTGGGACCCTGATTTCTTGCAGGGCCAGGGCAGCAGCACCACACCAGTGTTCACAATGCTCACCCAGAGCTCCCAGTCATCTCCAACAAGGTTAGGTTGAGAAGTGAAAGTCATACATTTTTGCAATGCTAAGAAAGGGGAAAAGTCCCACCTGGAACAGTTTCAGTATTTTCCATGTTGTCCTCTAACAAATCCTCATCACAGGCTTCTTACAGCTATTAAAAATATTCCTTCACATGAAAGCACTAACGGATGACTGACCCAGTGATATTCTGGTGTTGATGCAGTGATCTATGCAGTGTGTCTCAGTGAATGCATGTGTCAGTGAGGGCATATTTAGTCCCGTCCAAGCACCGTTCAGAATATTTCTTTCAGAATAACTGTACCCAAGCTTGTGTAACATCTGGCTGTTTGGCATCTGCTGTGAAATAGCAGTAGGTGTGTGGGTTGTTTTTTTTTTTCCTTCAGATTACTTCTTCAAAACAGATGGCTCTTCAATTTTCTCCATGCTCAGGGCAGTTCAAGGCAATAGGTGTGGGGCAATGCTTTATGAACCATTGCCTTTCCAAAATGAGAATTAATTGCTGCTTCCTCAGAGGACTGGACTCCGAGTCGTCCATTTGCCCACTGATGAGGGGTAAGATGGATCACAAAAGGTTTTCTGACTTGCATGCACATTCAAGCTGTGTTTTCCACATAAGGACTCCAGGGAGAGCTTCTAGAGCACAGGGTGGTTATTTCTCGCAAACAACATTATTTGGAACAGATACTTTTTCACACTTCAGCAATGGCTGGGAGCAAACAAGCTTTTATCTTTGCTTCTTTCCACATGCATCTGTGCTCTGAAATCCAATTATGAATCACGGCTTTTTTAGCTGCCTGGAAGCACTTGGAGTATCTCTGTTTACTGGGAACATCACCCACTGTGTTTTTGTCACAGTGAGAAGTTTCTCTCCCTTTTTCATCAGCACCTGCTGCCTCAAACAAACCCTGCCTCCTTCCAGAGCAGTGCAAAACCCGATTTCCTAGTAGCTTCCCTCTGGCTGAGCACAGCAAGAGCTCTTCAGCGTTAATAAACCTGGGAGCATCTTCTTTCTGACTGTGATTGCTCCCTACAACTGCTCCCTCATCTTTTCTGAGACACCTCAGCTCTGAGCAGAGCGTTTCTTTCTGCATTGGCCTTGGAGAGGGAAACCTTGGAAAACTGAACATCCGTGAGAAATGTGTTCTCCCTGGGGCTTCTTCTTTCATGGCTGGGGGACGAAGGGAGTCCAGGTGGCTGGAGGAGGTGCACTGTGAGGAGTCAGTGCTGGAGCTTCTGCTCCACAAACCTTTGGAGGAGCAGAGATTTCCTGTGTGCCTGTAGATCTGTGCCAGGGGGTCCTCTTTGGACCAGAAGTCGGCTTCTGCATCATCAGGAGCAGACGTAGTTTTTCCTGGCGGCATCACAGTTGAGATGAAATTGGTCAATTTACACACTGACATTTCTTGCTGGGATGGGGACCATGACATGGCTTCCAGAGTCTGCAGGATTCTTCTGTCCTGAACCCTATGGCTGCTTTCAGGAATGCCTGGGAAGGTGGGTCTGGCGAGGTGGCAGATAGATTGAATGTAATCATCGCTAGAGTACAGATCTGGGTTAGTTGAAGTGTTTGCAGTGTGCTTTGGGTTGCTGGTTAAGTCTTCCATTGCCTCCTCATGGGTTTCACAGATGGTTGGGAGAGGCTTTGAAACATTCAGTCTTATCCGAGGAGCCATGGCTGCAAAGACAGACAAGGTAAGATCAGCAGGGGAAACACAGCCATGGTAAGGAAATCCCGGGGTTGTTGCTCTGAAATCTGTGCTACTAGATCCACTCAGTATTTCTTTATGGCCTAGAGAGGTGTTTACAGAAGCACCACTCTACAGTGCTGGCAGGATTTTTATATCTATGATTTCCAGAAGAGCCTATAAGTACAAAGGAAGCCATATTGTTAAGTGCAGTAGAAAATAAAAGGTTCATTAAAGATATTTGTGGGGATAAGCAACTGTGCTCCCTTCTGAACTAATGCAGTTCACCAGCCACAGCAGTGCTCTGATCACCAGCTTGTCTCATGTCCAGCCTGTAACCCCAAGGGACATCTCCTCTCCCTGTTCAATCCTCAGCTGGCCCGCTCACTGACACAGGGCTCTGGTTTACACTTGGTCTGGTCCTGCAAGAGCTGGTCTCAAAAGGTGGGGAGCACTGTGTGGCTTTGGCACAGCATTGCAGCCAGTCTGCTCTACAAGCCTCGAGGCGGAGGTGGCAATGTACAAAGGCTTGGTTTTGTCTCTACCAGTGGTTCATCAATTTAGTTACAGGTTTCTGGAGCCTTACCTAAAAGCTGATGTAGCTTCATGTCCTTTTTATGCATATAGCAGTCCTCTACTCTTTTTTGTCTGGCCTTCCCTCAGACTACTCCCACTGGTCAGGTAAAGCCCTTTTTTTATAAATATTTCATCTTGCACCAGATGCTTCTATGGGGATTATTTCATTTATATCAAAACAGTCTTTCCTGCGCTTTGTTTAACTCACATTCTGGCAGAAATGACCACATCGCCTGAATTCTTTTTTGGTTGTTTGTGGTTTGTTTTTTTTTTTTTTTAACTCTCCTATCTCCAGTGGAATTCGTATGTGAATAATCTGTCAGCACCATCCAGCCTGGCTGTGTGATTGAACACAAAAGTGCTCTGCTCGCTGTTTGAATGCCTCACTTGTCAATGCTGGAAGGAAACCTGGCTTTGCTGAAGCTCCGCAGGGCTGCAGCTCCATGCACACAGGGAGCACCCAGGTGCCCAGCCCTACCCGCACTGCTGCTCCCAGCTTCCCCTTCAGGTGCTCCTGGCAATGCCAACCAAGGTGAGCTTTGCTGAACTCAGAGCGGGAGATGCTTCTTTTAAATCTCGGGGCCTGTTTGTTACCCTTTCTTTATTCCATACAACGCTCCTTTCCTCTCACCTCTCTAAGAACCAAGGGAAGGCTTGTCCCCCCTCTCAACCCAGCACCAGGACCTGTAGCACAGGTGCCCCGTGGGTGCCTCATTAGCTCAGCCCTGCTCGACTCATTAACAGAGCCCTGCCACCACCTCCTTCCTCCTGGAGCAAACAGCTACTGATGGATGAGCAGCACTGTGCTTCCAGTGGGATGGAATGGTTCCAGCCCAAACGCCACCCTTGCTGCTGCCGCACCATGCAGAGGTCACACCCCTATCGTCACCTGCAATCACCCACTGTCACCTGTCAGCACCTGCTGTCACCTGCCATTGCTCATCATCCCCTGCCCCCACCCACAGCCTCCCGGCCCCCAGTGCCACCTCCCAGCTGTTCCCCGCTCCCTTCCCACCTGTGCCCATCCCGGTCGTGCTGGGCACAACGCTCCATGACCTGATGCCCTTACCTGAGCCGCAGCCCCTGCGGGTGGCGTGGTGTGACGGGGTACCTCCCAGCTCCGTGCCCTGCTCTCTCTCGCCCTGCTTTCCGCGCAGGATACGTGCTGCCTACAACTACCCCGTGCTCGCTGCGCCCAGTCAGCTGATCCGGCTGCCTGTTTTGTTGTTGCTGCTAAATATAGCCTGCCGGAGCCCTTCCCGCTGAGCCCTGCTGTGATGCACGCAGCCGAGCAGCAAAGCAGCCGGGCGACAGGAGCGCACGCGGCTCAGCTCCGCGCTGCATCGCTGCACGCTGCTGCTGCACGGCAGACACGCCAACGCACTGCAGAAAACTGCTTTGTGGGGAGAGCTGGCAACGCCTGACCTGCAGGGCCGTCGGGCTCCGCAGTGAGGGCTGGTCTTTGTGTTCTGCTTCCATGCGCTTCTTGTGTAACTCCAGCATGTCCTCTTGTGTGCCTGGTGCCCAGCTGAATTGTGATTTTGCAGCAGAATCCTCCCTCTGCTTTTATTTTTTATATTTATTATCTGCTGTCCTCACTCTAAATGCTGTGAGCGAGCTGCACTTCAGCATCCCTGTGCTCCCTGACCCGGCTGCTCCCTCACCTGGCCTGAGCTGCTGGGAGGCGTGGGCAGAAGGGCAGAAATCCTGCGTTGGAAATTGCTGCTTCAGTTTTAGTACAAATGTTCTTGGTGTGGTTAGCATTCAGGCCAGAAGCTGCTCTGGCAGCCAGTTTCACCCAAGTCTGTGCCCATCAGTCAGATTCTTTCGTTCTCCCTTGTGCAGAGAAATAAGCTGCTCCAAAGCCTCTTGCCATCCCTCCAGGCTGTGCTTCCAAGCAGAGATTAGCTGTTCTCTGCAGCTGGCCGTTACTTAGCATTTAATTATCAAAGGTGTGTGAGCTTCAGCTGCTTGTCTCTGTTTCTGATGCCACACAGCTGAAGGAAATGAACTTAAGCCTTTCTGCACCAGTTGCCAACAGCAGTGCCCAGCTGGGTTGTTCTCCAGTAACAATTCACACTTCAACTTTCTCCTTTTCTTTAGGCTTCTCCAACAAACTGCCAAGAAGAAGAAATTGGGGCCCTTGCTGTGTGGGGTCAGGTGAGGGGCGTTTCTCTTTGACACCAGGCTAATAATACAGCCTTACAGTAATCATCTCTTCCCTCTCTGGAAGCAAGTTTCTACAGCTGTCTGGGCTTATGCTGAGAAATTGCATTTGTTTGAATGCTTGTTTGTTTCATCTCAGAACTGCCCGGGGTTTCCTCCAGTGCTGCCAGGTGCTGCTCTGATGAACCCATCCCTCTCCTGCTCCTCCCCAGGTGAGCACAGGGCATCGGTGCTCCTGGATGTGTGAGAACCAAATGGGATGAACAGCAAGACAGTGAGGGAAGCGGTGCCTAAGCTGCTGAGGGAAACACACAGTATTGGCTTGGTTGTGTCTGAGATCTGGGTGATGTGGTGGTAGTGCTTCTCTGGTTTTCTGTCATTGGCTTTTTTCAGATGTTCTCATTCCGGGGGAAAGCTGTCTTAAACAGGCTCAGCAGTAGGAGGTGCATCAGGGTAAATAAGCAGCATTCCTTCAGGCATCTTTGAACTCTGTTGTGTGGCTAAGCTGCACTATGCAGACTGTGCATTTCCAGTGCTCTTTGATAGTAACTTTTCCTTGGACTGTAGCAAGGAACTTTTGTTTGGATGGAGAGAAAACATCACTCTCTGTTTTTCAAAGCAATGAAAGAGGTAAGAAAAAGTAAAAGAGGAGAGGCCCCTGCGGATTGGTGTGGCTCACTGATGCCCACATGGGTGCCAGGCAGCCACACTGCCCGTGGGAATGGGCTGCAGGTAAACATGGGGTGAGGGGCTTGGGCACGGCTGGTAATGCTGCCACGCTGCTCCTCTGCTAAAATTGTGTCAGAGTGTCAGGAAAGGAGCACTCCTCAGCAATCAGAAGCCATGGCATAGAGAGCTGCTGCTTTCTTGTGTCTCTGTCATTAAAATTTCAAGAAAGAAAAGGAGTTCGACCTGGTTTGTGCCAGCTTCCTGATGATTTGTGTTCTCTAATTACATCCCCCAGCCCCTTCACCTCCCATGTGTTGCAGTTGCTATGGTAAGCAGCAAAGATTGTCCCATGAAACATTAATGGGCTGTTTTCCTATTAACTTGATGGAGCTGAGTTAGAGATGTCGTACCCACAGTTGTTGCCTTGGCTGCAGCTCACGCAGGAACCAGCAGCGGCTGCTTGTGCAAACACCATCACTGAGGCACAGAGATTGTCTGGAAATTACCAGGTATTTCTTTTGCAAGCAAGGAACCGTCTGCTGCACAGATGGAGTGTTGCAGGCCCTCACCAATTGGTGAAAGGCTGAGCAACCTGTCTGTTTGGAAATGTGGGCACACTCATTTCAGAAGGCCTTGCAATGGCTCTGAGCAGTGCAGTGCTCACCTTCCCTGGGATTTTGGCTCAGCCTGGGAAGTGCCCCCTGGGAGAGCCCTCTCAGAGCATTTCCACCTCATGCCAGGCTGTGCTTCACCTGCCCAGCACGGAGCTCAGTGCCACTGTGCACCCCTGGGTGCCAGACCTCTTTAATGTGCTTTGGTGGCTTGGAGAGTGCTGACTCCCGCTTCCCCTGGAAATCCAGCACAGAGGATATTTATTAGATAAGATATAAATATTGGTTTATTTATAGCATTTCAGTTTGGCACAATGTGGTCTTGTACCTTTGTATGTACGTGTTTTTCCATACCTCATTTAAATTTCAGACGTGTACCTCCATGAGGAGTCAGTTCTTTCTCCCAAAGCTAACAGACCAGGGCAGCGGTTCCTGCACGGACTGTGAGGTGTCCCCTCCGCACACTGTCAGACACAGAAGGCAGAGTTTGCACAGAAGCTGAGGCCTCATTTTGCAGGGTGGTGCATAACCTGGACATAGAGCTTATAGCTTGCTTTCGCTGTGTACACCACACGTGCTGGGTTTGCTTTTGTGCAGATTTGTGCAGCCAGATGTGGCTTTGTGCTCAGAAACAGGCAATGCACCAGTATTTGCGGGTGCCGTGGGAATAGGATCCTGAAAGGACGTTGTCCATGCAAACAAGGCAGAGAATACTCCCATCAGTATCTTTAAGGATAACATTTAGGGAAATGAAGCTCTGCAGCTCTGAAACCTGCAGGGGCTACAGCAGCTCCAAGGGAAGAGCTGCAGGCCCTGTGCTGGTGTCACTGAGCTCCTCTTTGGGCCCCAGGTGCTTCTCATGTCTCAGAACTGGCACAGAGGGGCTCAGAAGTTGGCACAGGGTGGGAGAGGAAGAGGAAGCTTCTTGAAATTGTCAGGTTTGGTCTTGGTGACACAGAGAGGAAGACTGCAGAAGGGCAGCATGCTGGATGTGCTGGGAATTCATTGGGTGCCTCTTTCTCACATGGAGGTGGTTTGTCACCTGGTTATAGATGCTGGGCACTGCATGGTGCTAACAGGATAATCAAGGCAAGCAGGGATCTTTCAAATCCTCAAGCAACAAAGTTCAATTAGATGGAAGAGATTCAATTATGCTTAAAAAGAAACCTGGCTATAAGCATGCAGGATAGGGCAGGAAGATGTATGCAAAAGCATTTCATGGAAAGGTAATTATTCTATCAACAGGACTTGCAAAGCAAAATTGGCTCATCAGTCCCAAGAGGAAATCTGAGTAACTGTGGTTAAGGAGATGATACATGGACCAGACTGGATTCCAGCAGAATGCAAAGGATGAGAGCCTCAAGCAGCTGTAAGTAAGTTTGATTGATTTCCATGCAGTTTTGGGCTTCGTAATATTCATCAAGATAAAGTCTTACAAATCTGAATTTCCTTTGGGTCTGAAGATGCTGTTTCCTCCTCCCTAGCATCTCTGTACAATGTAACTTCAGTAACAAAATGCACAGGGAAAAGTCAAACACTTTGCAAAAGAACACAGACATTTGAATTTAATAAATTATAAAATTAGAGATTCTAATTTGTATATACACTTTTAATATACAAAAAAAAGGCTATTTATTGCAATTTTCTGTTAAGGTATATGTAAGTGAATGGAAGTTGCATATAGATACTCAGATGAACATAGCTAATACTGCATTGTAGGTGAGTAAATACGACATTAAATGTGTTACTAAAATAAAACATAAAACCCTTTGAGTACTGGAAAAGCACCATTCATAAAGTTCTCAAAATATCTGAAAGCATTCTATGGAGATGTTGTGAGATTCTAAATATTGCATGGATATACGAATACAAAAAGTGATGCGTTCATAATGGATTACAGAAATCTGTAAAGGAATGTTGGTGGAAAAATGGCAGTAGATTGGAACCAAAGGCAACAGAATTGGTTTGAGATTATTATTTTTTTTCTGTGTGTGAGGAGGTAACACTTGGATGTTAAGCTTAAACAAGAAGAAAAATGGTAACTTAGAGAGTTATGTATTGTATGGCTCGGCAAATGCATATCAGAAGTGCGTTGCTTAATGGGAGTACGTTTGCTTTAGTTCTCAGAGCTCTGAGACAGTCTCTGCAGGAGTACAGATCAGTTTACTTTACGTTTGATCGCTTTAGTTTCTGGGGAATGAGTTAAAATACTAATCTGCTCATTATGTGTCAAAATGCCATACTCAGGCAACAGCAGAATGGTGAAAGGTGACATATGCCGACGATGCTCTTTCCCAATCGCAGCACTTTAGGAAAGAGGATGCAGTTGTCAAAGTTCAACCAACCAATAAATGACCAAAATTTTCACTGTGTGACAAGGAACAAGTACCAGCTTACCCAACCTATTGACATGTGCTGCTTTTTCTTTCTTAAAAGAGTTCTGAACTCTCTGCTTTCCAGTACAAGAGTGGTACAGGTTCTTAGGAAACTACCATCCTAGGGAATTGCTGAAAAACATCTTCTGAGATATGCATGTCAGCCTGAAATGAAGGCCTTTTTCCCAGTACAGAGATTTTTTTTTTCCTTGTACAGCAAGACTGTAAAGAGGAGGCAGCTGGTGCTCCTGCTCCAGGAGGAGATGGGCCAGCCTGTGTCTGGGCAATCTAGACTGAAGCTGCTCCTACAAATGTCACTTCAGTATTCCCCAAATAGCAGCTAGGAAATTATTCAACAGAATTAAAAATAGCAAGAAATAAGAAGGTGAGATTGAAAGAGGAGCGAGACCTTCCTGAATGCAGGTGGCACCAAGCACTGTGTGGAGTCCCCTGCGATCACCAGGTGGAGCACAGCACTGCACCAGCTTTCTGGGAGGCTGCCCCCCATCCAAAACAAAGCCAAAGTTTTCACCTTATCTGCAAAATTGCCCTTGGTCTGTTTGCCTGGGAACAGAAAAGGCAACGCAGCTAAGTTCCCAAATTTGAATCAGCTTTCTGAATCCTCATTGCCTTTGCAGAAAGGTCACCTGAATTGCACCAATTCCTGCCCTGCTTGCTACTGAGATGCAACTGTAAAGTCCTTTGGAAGGAGGAGGCTACTTGTATGGCAGCATCTGAGCTGTGGGTGCTTCCCCACATGCCATTTCTTCACACTGCCTGGCTGCCTGTGCCTATTCCTGATGCTAAGGAAGACCAGAAGCTATAAGGTGCATTACCTCAGGCTTCTGTAGGCTGGCAACATGGATCTCCACAAAGTCACAGAGAGGAAAACAGGCACCAAGCAGAGAGCAAACTCCTCCCTCCCTCTTGCGTAAGTCCAAGCCCCAACCCTTCTCCATCCTTGGGTTTGGTGGGACTCTTTCCAAAGTTTATCATATGCTTGGATGTACTTCTATGACAAAGCCTGGGTTTGTTGTTCTTTTTGTTTTGTTTTTAATTTTCCATGGACCTAAAAGCAGGACAACAACATGAAAGGGAAGAGATGAGTTTAACAGCATCCCTGTAAAGGAAACATGAAATGTGAGAAATACTCACTATGGCCACCAGCTGTCAGCCCAGCCCCAGGTGTGCTCCTCCTGGGGCACTTAGCAGGAAGGATCGCATCAGCCCTGCTGTGCTTCCCGGCTGGTGTCCTTCTGTGCAACTCCCACCTCTGCACCACCTGTACGACTTCTAAACACTCACCAGTGCACCAACACAGTTCTCATACGAAGGGACTCAATGTCACACCTGCTCAACACTTCCCTCCTCTGCTTCAGCTCCCTCCGCCAGGCTCTTTTCCTAAACCAGCCTCTTGGCCTTCCGAGGCTTCTTATGACAACCAGCGCTGCAAAACCTGCTCTTTCTTGACCCTTTTCCAGCACATTCGGCCACAGTGGTTGGATGAAGCAGGGCTGCCCCAGGCAGGGTCACAACGTGTACAGTGCTTCTGAGGTTCTTAGGCAGCAGTAAAGTTTACAGACTGTTTGAAATCTGACGTGTCTGATGACATCCATGTGGCTGTGTAGAGGCTTAGATCTGCCTTTGCTTCAAACTTGGAGCAGCTGCAGACACTGCGATAGCTGGAGGATGGGGTCTTATTCTCAGACTGGAAAATCCAAACCAGGGCAGAATGGTAAAAGGAGGATATGGGGAAGCTGAGACTCTGCAGGAGGCTGACCAGCAAAGAGGAAACGAAGGGAAGAGTCCAAGCTAGGGGACATCAGAAAAGCTGAGCTGCCCCCTGCAGAAGGAAGAGCAGCAGTGCACGCTGCTGGTACTGGGAGAGTCCCGGGCTGGGGAGAAAGGACCATTTCCTCACCTACTTCTGCTCTCCACAGACCCTGCACGGAGCCTTCAGTGCCTGATTTCCTTCCTTACTACACTGTTGGGATGGCAGAAATAATTCTGATGATAGATGCTAGAGGCTGGTTCACACCGACCTCCCCATCACCCAGAGTGCTCCCAGAACCAAACAACTGATCTGATTTTGTCTTCTGATCTCCAACCAGGAATCTGGAATGACTGGTGAAAACTATGATGACCCTGAGGGGAAAAGAAGTACTCAAAGGGTTCTCAGGTTCCACGTCTCAACGTTTCCAGCAGACCTGGTACTGCATGCACATGCATGAACATCTAGATGTAGGGCACAGGGAACGGTTGTTCACTTCTGTGCTAATAAAGCTGTCTGAAGGAAAGGAAGAGAATTTTTTAAAAAATTATTTCCTCAAAAATAACCTTGTCCTATGGGAGAGAAAAAAACACATTTTCCTAGTAAAGCACCAAAGAAAAGGCAACAAGAATCCAGTCATCTTTAACTTAAACAGCTTGTGGGTAGAAAAAAGTCAGGTAACAAAAAAAGCACCAACCAACCAAGGTCACTGAGGCTGCTGCGTGATATGAATGGATACCTGTAAACACAAAGAGCGGGCTGCCAGCAGGCCAAGTTGGCCGGACCTGCCCTAACACAAAACGCCCTGCATGTATATTCAAACTTTTAGGAGAATCCTCTGAAATGTTTATGGAAACACATAAGCTACTGGTTGCCAGTTTTTAATTTACACATAAATATATGGCTACAGAATTTTCTATATATTTTCTTACAGAGTCCTGGTTAGGAAAGCTACGTAAGTACGTGCCCAGCTGCAGCTTTGCCTAAGGCAGCTGAGCGTGGTGTGGCTCGTCCTTAAGCACCTTCCTGAACCGGAGCTGGGTTAGCGCCTGGCTCTGCGCAATGCGTGGAAGCATCACAGGATTGCTGACCACCTGCTTGTCAGGATTAAAGGGGTTCTTAATGTCTCGGGACCATTTTCCTCCATCCTAAATGTAACTCGCATTACCGCTCCCAAGAAGTTTTACGCAGCCATAGAAGACATAAAGTAGCCCATAAACAGAAAACCTGCTAACCTGACCTAGGTATTAAGGTTTGTTGGGATTCAGTGAAATGCTGTCATGATATTGCACTAACAGTCTCCTGTACCCTGGAATCCTAGCCGTCAAAGTGTTCAGATTAGCACTTACAAAACAATCTGTCCTTTCCATTTATAGTAGGCTTTAGACTTTGGCATCTCTGCCATAGCACCACTTTGATTTTTCCCCATTTTCAGTCTCTATGACATGGGCAATACTACGATGTTGGTAACATCTCTATAAGAGAAAAATGTTTGTGCCCTATTTCCATTTTAGTTTATTTTTCTGAGAGTCTCTTTTTTCCTTTTCTCAGCAATCAGCTCCTGGATCCTTTGATTCCTCGTCCTTTCGTAAGGTATCCTCCTCTGTGTGATGATGTTGTGCTGTGACACTTCGTTATCCAGCCCATCGATTTTATAGGGCACGTCCACCGCGTTAATTTCGGGGTGCTCGTCAGTGGCATTGGAAGGAGGCACGTGGGGTTTGGAAACAGGAGGAGGACTGGTGGTGGCAGGTTGTGTGGTGGAAGCTCCCGTGAGAGGGCTGAGGGTTGTCAAGAGCTCCTCCTCAATGACGTTATTCTTATTTGCGTTAGAATCTGTTGCGTTGCCTTCCTCTGTTACGTTGTTGTACATATTACAGGACTTGCAACAGAGCTTATTGTAACCAGGGATTGAACAGTACCGAGAGAGAACTTCCATGCGGCAAAACATTGACTTGTCTCCTTGACAATGATCTTCTGAAAGAGAAAAAGGGAACAGATAAATAAAGAGCTTTTTCACATTAATTGGTAAAAGAAACACAGCTGAAGCTTTGGCAGTGGGCTGAGGGTTTGGTATTTAACGTGGGCTGGGAAACTGGCAAGTGAGCCTTCTATCAGCAAAAGCAGACTTTATGCTAAACCTAAAGCTCAACTCACTTGCAGGGAAGCAAAACCTGATTTGAACTCTGTGCACTGGCCCCATCCACAAAATAGACCTGAGTGCCAATTTTTGGCTTTGTGTTCTGCAAGTGCTACCCTGAAGACCGATGGCAGCATTGCCTGAGTATGTTCCCATGCTTGAAAAAGAACTGGGGTATTTATTCAGCATAAGGTTTTCCTCCTCTTCCTAGACAGGAGCTGCCAACAAACTCCAGTGGGATGGAACCAAGCCAGCCCATTGGCCACTGGGAGACTCAATAAAAAGCTCTGATTTTTGTGTCTGAGTGAAAAATAAAACATAACAAAAGGGAAAGAATGGTGATTGACAGGTCCTAAACTGTCAACAGCTACTATGACCACTGTTACATTACAACATCACAATACAGGTTTCATGCCAGATCCTGCTCCTGCTGAACTGCAGGTGGCATGCTGTAGGTTAAGGAGTTAAAGTGATCATACTGTTTTACTGCCTATAAGAACCTCAATGAAAGTCCATTCAGAGATGGCTCAAGCTCATGTGATTTCTGCTCAGAGGATCTGAGGACTGGGTAGATTGGAAGAGGACAGATGGGGCAGGGTGAGAAGGCTCCACGTCAAGAAAGCTCCCTGTGCTCCGTTCTACAGACAAGCTCTGTATCTCCCGTGCCTCGAGGGTGAGGTGGTGGAGCCAGGACCTCTGGAACTGCAGGGAAGGAAAATCCCAACACACAGCGCAGGCAGAAAGAAAGAGGAACCAGAGGGCTCAAAGGAGAGGACAGTGCTAAGCAGAAAGCCAGCCAGACCAATGCTTGGCATCATCAATAACCAAGTATGTTCTCTGTGACCACAGTGCTGAGACAGACGAAATCACTTCTGCTTCTCCCCTGCTCTTACTGAATCTCTACCAACTCTTACGGTAAAAGATGAGTAACTGCAATTACTTGCCTTTATTCAGAGCGCATGTGGTCGCTCAGCACGTTTCTGGAACTGCCATTTTACCATCCTGCTAGGAGCACTGACTTACCCTGCCAGCAACCTTACAGCAAAGTAGAGAACCAGAGCAGATGCAGAGATACCAAGTGAACCCCGAAAGTCTAGGCGTCGCCTCTTCATTCATTCTCACTTAACAAAATAGGGCATTATAGGTGTTTAATTGGCAAACATATCAGTCTAAAATAAGCTAATAAAGATCACTGCTGCTTTAAAATTCTACTACTGACAGAGAAGGCTGAAAATATCTTTCTTGCATTGTATTTATACCCCAGTTGTTGTTTGTTGCAGGAAAAACAACACTCTCATTCCTGTTTTCAAATGCGTAATTCAGTTTTCAAATGCTGAACTGAATAGGAAAAAACCTACACCTTCCTTAGGAACCTAAGGATAGTACTTTGGTTTGGGACATGTTCTCAAACCTGTTGACATCTTTTCAAACGTGTTTCCAGCCTTTAAGAACTAGAACAGCTGCTGTCTGCAGGCATAACCCTGCACAAAGGACTGCACGTGCCTGCAAAGCTTTACGTACATTTTAGGTACCACATAGAGTTCCCTCTGAGCGTTCTGCCTTGTGTCACATCAATCTGATACAAGCATGCATGAAAAAAATGCATGAAAGTGCATTAAGTGATAAGTGCAGTGACATCTGATAAGTTACATAAATAAACTTGGTATCTTACGACTGCTAGAATGAAATTGTCGTCCACTATCCAAACCAAAATATCTAGATTTGCTGAACTTTTATTTATTTTTACTTGCAGTATGCATGACAGACTGGAAGTATATCTCCAAAACATCAGTAAGAAAAAAATAAATCAGTTTCACAGTCACTTTGGTACACATTAGTCTCATAAAAAATATTGAAAAGCAAACTGAATTGGCACATCTTTAATATTATGTTAAGTACATACAAAACACTAATAAAATATCCCTGATAAACCAAAGTGCATATAGACATAGTGCACAATGCCCAGATACCTTATTGCACCACTCTCTATAGCCATCCATCTCTTGAAACATCACTAAACATTGTCTATTTAAAGGTAACAGTCATGAATATATTTATACAGTTAAACACCAAATTATTTTACATAACAGTATTCAGTGCCAGATACGTGTCTTTGCTTTTTCACCTTGTCATGTAAATTTTTAACATGTTTCAAGAAATTATCATATTAACAGCAAAATTTAATATGTGATCACATGATAATGACAAGTTGGAAGTGCTACACTGTTGAAGATCCAAAGATTCAGAAATGCCACTTTTCTAACGAGCATGATCAATGCAATACGGCAGCAGTTTGCTCCACGACTGCAGATTGAAAGTTGATACGCTTTCACTATTGTTACTGACTGTCACAAACAGTATTATGACTTTTGAATTCCAAATCTTCAACACAAACACGTACAGTGAAGCAACAATGCCACTTAAATCTCAGTAAGTCAGGTAACAGTCCTGTCTTCATGAAGGTATGGATATGCACTGTGCAAATTAACCTCGGATTAAATTTACTGCCTTCTAGTAGTTATCGTTCAAGTAAAAACCCTCCATATGAAGATCAACTCAAGATCACCTGTTTATATTTAAAGCTGGATCTGGTAAATTAATGCCATTTACATTTCAACATTAAGGCATTTTTCTAAAATTCTTCTAAGCAAAAAAAGCAATAAAAATTGAGGTAATTCTGTAGTAGTTCACACTGTTATGTTTGCCAGTTGACACGTCTATAGAGCACACACACACACACACACACACGCACAGCCGTACCACTCACGTCAGACATGCACATGGTGAAAAAAGACCAAAGAAGTAATGAGTATAAATAGCTCCTTGCTGAGCAGCTGGAGATGTCAGAGTCAATGAAAACATCCTATTGCCTCCCCCAGGTAAACAAAACCAACACCACACAACCTTCAACATGGACCGCGCCTGTTTTGCTTTGTTTTTGTCTCTAAAGTGACAGTAAACAAAACTGGCAACAATTGTGTGATGGGAAAACATATGCAGCTTTTCACGAGGAAAAATATGTCAAACCACCAACAGGAGGTCAGCAAGAGCATCATAGCAGCACTCAGGTACCTGCAGAAACCAAGCGCCTGGTACCTGGACCAGCACCCACAGCTCACAAACACAAATGTTGGGGACAGGAATAAAAAAAGGAGCAGCAAAGGTGAGTAAAGCAATGGCACCACAAAGGAAAATGGAATGGATAAATTCTTTCATTCAACAGGCTACCCTGTCAGAAAACTGAAACTACAGAGTTATGAGATTTAGGGTCTTCAGACAAAGGAGAACTTTAGCACTACAAGGTGTCATTATTGTGATGTGATCACATTCACAATAAGTTCTCAGTTTTGCTATCAAACTGAACATCATGAACCAGTAAGAGCCTTTTTTCACCGTCACCAAGCAACAAGCAAACTGACCCCAGCTCCCCTTCAGAGGACTGCAACATACCTTGGAGATCCAACTTCACACATCCAACACTTCAAGACCTCCATCACCAGTGCTACACAAGCTCCAGAGAAGAAAGACACCGAGCACCAAGTGCCTGGTGTGAAAAAAAGATTCAGCCCAAGATTTAAACTTGGCCAACTCAAGGGAATTTTCCGCATAGAGAGAAGAAGAGAGCAAAAGGCAAAGTCCACATTCTATGTGGCATGCATTTAAGGGCAAAGGCAGAGTTATAAATGGGTCTTTTACTTGAAGATATTTTCTGGATAGGGTAGTCTGGATCAGGTCTCGACAGCCATTGTATCATGTAGGTTTTCTTTGAAGGATCAGAAATGTTTCCTAGAACAGAGGAAAAAAAGATACAGCACAGTATATATTAGCACTAACAAGCTGATCTGTCACAAGTGGATAAACTAGGAGAGTGAGCAGGCTCAGGTAGCAAAGGAGCTAAAGGGTGATGGCCAGGCTGTGTGGTTTGGGGCAGGGGGCTGTTCTTTCAGTTTGCTACAACTTGTGCCCAACACCTGACAACAAACACTGAGAGCAGCCTGAAGTACAGCTTTCCAGCAGTACTTCTCACAGCACCATTAACCATCTCCTAAGATACATCCAGTTTAGTCTAGTTACACTGTCTATTCTATTTAAAATCTGTGTAGTGGAGATTGTAATTGGATGCTTGGTTCTTAATTAGGAATCAAAGGCCACCCCAAGAAACGCTTCAGGGAAAAGGGAAAAACAGGAATTATCTAATAACAGGAGCATGCAAAGCAATCTCACAGCTGTCATTTACAAACAGCAGAAAAAGCTGAGAAGGCAGAAAGGCTAGAAAAGCCAAGTGCTTACTTGGACACGGAGGTAGTCTGCAAATCCTTACGTTCTCTGGTTTAGCTTCTTTGCAAAGGCCGATGGCGTTGTCCCTGGTTCGGCACAGGACCGGGCGATCCTGCGTGCCATTGCCACAGCTGACAGAGCACTGAAAGGATATGCATCAGTTAGACCCCAATTCATCCTTTCAAAACAATGGATTAAAAGTTATTTTTTAAATTTTAAGCCACTGCACTTGATTTGAGTCAACGTGGTACATTATTTGAACCAGTGCAGTACCTTCAGCAACTACACAAGAGGCAGCGTCGCTGATTTTTGTGGCATGCCACCACCCAACTCACTTTCTGTGGCACTAGCAGCAGTGGAAGCCATAGACCCTTTGTATAGGTATCAATTTATCATCTTAAAGCACTTGAACAGAAAGCACAGAAGAAACTCACCCCAATTTCCCCCCTTGCTTCAGAAGAAATAAGCTGCTTGAGACCCCCAGGAAGAGACTGACCTGTGACCAGGGTCCTGTTCTCCACTGTGCTGGACAAAGCTCCCTGTTGCAAGGCCTCCTGCCCTCTGGGCGGTCGTTGTTGCAGTACTTGGTGTGCACAGAGCGATTCGTGTTGTCGTGCAGGGGTTGGATGCATCGCACGGATCGCACTTGGTATCCTGTTTTCCCACAGCTTTTGCTGCAAGGCTCCCATTCTCCTGTAACCCATCTGGGGGAGGGAAAAGAGAAGGATAAGTAAAATTCTCTGTCTCCTATAACTTTTTCATACTGCAGTCAAAGCTGTTTACCACGAAACTGTAATAGATGCATTTACCAATTGAATTCCATTACCTTTGATTTAATGTTACAGCAGATTAGCCGTAACATACCTTGAAAAAACTCATATAAGATGAAATTTGCATTTTTTTTTTAATGTAAAGGAAGCCTAAATGGTCTCAGACTGAATATAAATGGCCTTCCTTACTAAGTCTGAAAATACATTAATCCCATTGGTGTGAACTGAAAGAAATGTGTTTTGCTGAACACTTATGAAAGCTTTAATCTCACAATATTTTGCCTTTCTTTCAATCATTCAAAATACTTTTTCCCAAACACAAATTTAATACTGTTTAATTTCCAACAGAGAATTGCACTGCCTGGTTTTTTTTTAAAAGGAAAAGTAAGGAAGCATTACAAAAACCCTAAGGAGCCAAGGCTTTGAATTTACCCACTGTGAAATTTCAGCTTTGTAGACTGAGTCACCATTGTAAAATATCACATTTACACTGAAATTGGATCCAACTTGACAAGAGCTTTTTTGCCCTACGGGCATCTGGTAGAATATTGCTCCAGTTCTGCCGTTACACAGGTAAGACGAGGGTTTGGGCATGGCTCTCTAGCAAGAAGTCCTTAGCATTTTCCCCTTCTTTCCTTTTCTTGCATACAGTTTTATGTGTTATCACTGTAAGATGCTTTACAATTGTGACAGCATGGCAGTCAGTCACTACTGTAATTATGTCAGATGGTTCCTGTGAATATCTGCAACATCAGAGCTCCGCTGAAGTACCACAGTGCAGACAAAGCCTCTGTTCATTCACCTCAGAGATAAGCATCACTCTTGCTTTGCTTCATTTACTTTCATTTTAAGCTGCCCCCTCCAAGACTGCGTGTAACAAATCAGACCAGATTTTTATGTCAGAAGCAGCCAGCCCAAGGGTGCTGCTGAGCCCCCGGCTCCTGGCGAAGTCACCAGCTGTGCACCAACCATGCCCAGGGCTGGCTTCCCACAGGGACCCACAGGAGGGAATCCACATCAAAAATGTCTGGTTTTGAGGAAGGAATTCAATAATCATTAATCAATCTGGACGCTGGAAAATGTCACCTATAGCTCATTATGCAGTATAGATGAACACTTCACTAGTCATCAAAAGTGGCTTAAGAATTACAGCTGCACATTGTAAGGAATTTAAGAGAAAAAACAAGGACAGACAGGACTAGAGGAAATCCAGGAAGCAGCCTGAAGGCTTGGTTATAATCAAGTACAGGAAGATGTACAGCACTCTGTAAATATTTACAGAATGCAGATACCCACAAGATGGAAATATTGCTCAGTGTAAACAGGATCCATGGGATAAACCTCATGAAAAATATATGTAGTACGGAGAGCCATCCTGAGTTTGAAGAGATTGTCCTAAAGAATCCATAAAATCCTAGGTTTATAAATAGTCAAAACACCGTAGGCACAATGAAATGCATGAAATTCCCAAGTTAAGCAAAAAAGTGGCAATTTTATCCAACTTTCTCTTTGTAACCAACTGAAGTTTCACAAGCTGTGGAGGAAGGAGACAACTGTGAGCCCAAAGCATGAATTCTAAGACCATTTCTGAGTCAAAGATGCTTTTTTTTTTCCCATTAGCAGTGAAAAAGCAGCACATTACTGTGTTTCTGGGTGCTGCAGAGCTTCACAAAATCTCTAAATTATTGCCTCTCCTGTGTGTGAAATGCTTCAATGCCATTCTGTGGAAACAGGTGACAGAAATACTCAGGAATCCAAGTACAATTTAGGATCCCATAGAGTCTTTGTGGTTCCTGGGTCCAATTATATTTGTAGCTGAAAGAAGAGTACAGTCCTTTCCAGAGTGTCTGAGATACGGTCATTAGGTCATTACTTCAAGTTCCAAAGAATAAATGTTAAACCCTGACCCATGCTGAGTTTATGGGGTATAGTTTCTTGACTTTTCTCCTCTTTGAATCTATTTTGAAAGGAAGTTAGGAAACATTGAGTGATACATTCTACTTACTTGCTGTGCTTTCTGGCATCCAGACTGAGTCCCCAGAGGTAAAAGCTGAGATCAACACACTCCTTCCTTGTTGCAGTAGCAACAAGAGGAATATGAATCCCACATATAGCAGAACAACCTGCTGCCAGTCAAAAAGCACATGAAATTTGTGAATAAAGATATTCACAACAATTGCAGGTACACCAGGTTTACCAGTGCACCATACTGCACAAGGATAGACAGAGAAATCAACCAAGCCAAATATTTTTCCCTGTTCATGTGTCCAAAAATATGCTGTTGGCTTAAGGAAGGTTTGGGTTTGGTGGGATGTATGACATTGGTTTTCTTATGTAGCACTCTATAAATTTGTTCTTACATGATTAATTCACACTGCATAAAGTCAACTGGTATAAACTGAATTTATGTCCATTTTTTATTACCTCAAGATGGTGTGAACACAAACGTCTGGATCAAAACTGCACTTTTTTTCTAATCCAACTTATCTCAGAAGTAATAGGAACCAGCAGTCCCAGAAATGGTATTTCTACTGGCAGAATACAGCATCACACCCTCACAGCCCTGGGTCTCCATAATGGTGCAGAGGTTTGTAAGAGCCCTTATGTTAAAGCGGCCATGCATCAAGTTGGAAAACAGAGACCAAGCTGAAGTCACCTTCTTTCAGCTGACAAGAGCCAGCTGGGAACAACACTCCAGCAGCTGTCACTGAGCACTGAGCAATGCTTACATGGGCTGTGAGCACTCCTGGAGGTTGCACACCCTGCGAATGGGCTTCGGCTTCTGGATGAGCTCGCAGTAACTCCGATGAACCATCTTGTGGTCCGTCTTCCTCCGGCAGCCGTACTTTGTGAACTGGAAGCCTGAAGAAAGACACTCACTTTTAGGACTGGCGGCTCTTACACAGGACCTGCCAATTACACTGGATAAACACTTGAATTCATGTAGATGTAGCACCAAAAATTGTTCAACTCCTTTGTTTTTCACTAAGGCTGTAATGCAACAAAACACCGCCTGGTGTTTCAAGCCGTGTTAAGGGGCTGAAGCTCACCCATCATGCTGGTGGACATCATCAGGGTCCACATCTGACAGCCAAAGCAAGGATCTTCACGTTGTGAGGCGCACATCCCATTGAAGGTCTGGCCCCAACTCACCTTGAAGTTTAGCACCCCTATGCCTCTGAGATCCTCACCTAAATCCTGCACACCTGGACAAGTCTTCCAGTTTAATTGTTAGAAATGAGCCATCCCAGATCTTTCCCAAGAGCCATTTCAGTTTTCTCTTAAATTATTCTGAATGCTTTGGGTTGATTTTTTAATTATTATTATTATTTTTTTTTTTTTACCTCCTCCACAAGGTCTTGAACACTGGGACCACTTCTTCAGAGCCCATTCATACGATACTGAGTCTTCTTCCAAAACATTATTGTTATCTACGTTCAAAGAATCTTCATGGATCATGTACTTGTAAGTCAGAGATATCTTGGAACCACCATGGGGAATCACCTAGGAAGCAAAACAGATGCAGGGGAAAAAAGATTTAAAGACTGATACCAGAAGCTATGTGAGGTGATGTGAAATAGCAATCATCATGGTTCAGATCTTAAAACATTCTCAGAGGGATTTAAACCTTCTAGCTGCACTCAACATGTTTTGTTTTTTTTTTTCCCTAATGAAAAAGTATCTATTTCCTTGTGACACAGAGTTTATAAACTGCGTATTAAAGACTGTTGTTGATTTAGTCTGATTTTTCTTGCCAACACTGGACTGACTTCACAATACTAAATTTTTTCCATATCCCATCATAAAGGAAAGGAAATGTTCTACTAAAACGATGATGGATAGTTCCACTCAAAGAAAAGGCAAATTCAAATGCACCGATAACTGAAAGAGGTGAAGAAAATTGCTCGTACTTCTGATACAACACAAAGATTCTTGTGATAATTCTGGGAATGCTGTAAGACTTGTTACTTAATCTTGATAGAAGTGTAAATCATTCAGAGTTTTTTGCTATCACACTGCATCCAGACAAATGCAATAGAACATAACTCAATGTGAATAACGTGTAAAATAATGGTCCTTTGAAAACAATTTTCATTCCTCCTGTAGCGTTCAGCTGGTATAGACTAACACATCACAGCTGCTGTAAGAGGTGTTCTGAATCAACCTACTCCTACTTATGGCAGCCACTTGCTATTTTGCAGTAAAAAAAGAATACAGTCACAAGGGTTTTGGAAGTACAGAACTGGCTGTGCCATAACAAACTGAGCCTGGAAGTATGAGAATCCTGCACTGGACTTTGCAGAATATGTTTTCAAAACATGGACAGGAGGATATGAACTGATATGAACCATTTTAGTTTTAACTAATGCTCCCATGACAGATACATTAAGTGGGCTGGAGAGTCTTTACACAGTGTCCACTTTCTTGGCTAGCTGCAGGAAATAATCAGGAGAAATGGCTGCCCAATACGTTACCCTGCGTTACAACAATTCATGTACGCAGCAACGAAGGAGAAGTAAGGAATTAAAATACATCTTCCATTGTCTTGTAAGCGAAGCAGATGTCTTCTTTTAAATCACAAGAGGAATCTAAAATATATTATAGCACATTACGAGTCTGTAATCCTGACACTGTGGAAGATGGTTTTCATTTGACTTACCAGAATAACTATTCCATTACGCAGAGGCCCCATGGTCTGCACGGTTTCTCTATTATCGTCATTCCGATATTCCCACTCCACACCCATGTCAATAAATACTTTAGAGTCTGGCACGTAGTTGTCTTCACTTAGAATGAATCTTCCTGTATCACGATTTTTAATTGCTAGAAACAACATAAGATATTTGAATAGCAGAGGTTTGCTTCTCATCTCTGGGTTTGTTCTGCTTTTGTCCCAGTGGGAGGAGCAGAAAAGGCCACGCACAGCAGCGTGCATTTCCCTCTCTTCTCTCACAGGTTTGGAAAACCTTTTTCAGGTGTTTCACTGAACTGCCAGTGCTTTCCTGCTCAGCTCCAGGAACATCAATTGTTCTTTTTTCTTCTTTTTCTTAGCCTGCCCAGATAGAAACAAGGCCAGAACCACCACACTGTGTCTGCCTGTTCTCAGCTGCTTCTCATCCCATTGGCCAAACCCAAGCCAACGATGGCCACCTCATGGTCCCACGTTTCTCAGCTTTCACATGGGGTATGACTGCCCCACAAGAGAAAGCCTACAGGGCTAATCCACAGTGGTCCTCAATGCAAGAAAGAGAGAGGCTGGAATGTGTATTCCTTCTGCTCAGGTACAGCCTGATGGCTGTCCAGAGAGGTTGTGGGTCCCTGGAGGTGCCCAAGGCCAGGTTGGGTGGAGCTTTGACCAGTCCTGAGCTGGTCAGGGATGATCCTGCTTGTGGCAGGGATGGAACTGGAAGGACTTTAAGAACCTTTCCTACCCAACTATTCTGTGATCCTATGAAGAACCTTGTCTGGCCCTGCGAGCAATGGCTCACATCCCACAGGACAGAATGGGAAGCATTCACTGGTGAGAAATTCGACCAACTCACAACGCAATTTGTAGGCCATTTGCTGCAAATGTACTTCCAATTAACAACAGCCCAGTAGGCACTGCTTCTCATCAATTACACACACTGCAAGGAGAGGATTTCAATTAACTCCTAAGCTGTGTGATTGGTTGGGCAGCCTTGCATCAGTACTGCTAGCTGTGGGGCAGGATCTGAAAAAGAGCGAATGTAATCTTTGCTCTTGGATGGAGCTGAGTAACAACAGGATGGGAAGCATTTTGGAAGATAATGCACTGCAGCCAATAAAGCAATTCTGCTCCTCTATCAGCAACTTTCACACGTGCAGGGATGTTCTTGTTAGGACTCCAGGGAACACAGCACAGGGAAATCGAATTGCCAAACAAGTTTCCTAATTTAACATACTTGAAGGAGGTATGTGGTGTGGGAGGATAGTGGGTAAACAAATGCATAAACATATTGTGAGGCTCCAAAGATAAAAATAAACAGATGAAAAAATGTTCTGACTGAAAATTTGTCCCATTTGTTGCACACTTACCGAGATGATGACTGGTGGCGTCTGATTCCTGTATAAGTAAATGTCTTGCCCCAACAGGAATTTCAAACATCTTAATGTGCCCTTCATTGTAGTATTTAAAAAGATAATAACTTGTTAGTATACATCAAACAGGAAGAGTCTGGCTTAGGTTTTAAACAAACAGCATTTTCTAAAGTCAGGGTGCATCACAGAAGCTGAACCTAATCCAGCATCACTCCCACTCCTGTTTCTGTGCCAGGTGATGGAGCACAGCAGGGACAAAGAGCTCGAGGTCAAAAGAAAAATGCCTTATGTGCAATTTGCTTCAGAGTAAAGTGCACTTCGAGTACCATACACACCCACAGACACTGTGTAGGCTTGCATGTGACAGTGAGCAATGATGACATTTTTCTGCAGCATTCAGGTGGAGCAGCCAATGACATCAGCAGAGCCTGTGGCCATGAAATGAGGATCAGTGAAGGCCTCCTCTATCCATGTGCAGGCTCTAATATCATCAGACTTGCATAATCACTGGACAACAGTCTTATTTTGAAACTCTAGATATGTCTCAAAGTAAAATGCAGAGTTGATTGCAATTAGTGGTGCTGTGAATGATTTGCAATTGCTTTGGTATTTTTCAGGAAACTTTAAGTATCAGGAGAAATCAAATGAAGACATCCTGAGTCCCCCAAGACAAAACAATGAATGAACTGACCTTGTTTCTTTGGTACTCTTGAAAACGTTCCTTTCACCACTTTGCAGTGGGAATTATCTCCTCCGCAAACACCGCATTTGTCTTCCTGCTTCGTGGATCCTATGACCCTGTCACACCCAACTTTCTGCGCACAAAGCAGAAAAACAGTCACTTTTACTTATTCAAGCTTCAATTCAAAGGAGCCTTCAACTCAGATACCAAAACCCGGACTTCAGCAAAGAACAAACTGTAGTATTTTCCTGGAAGTTCAGTATCCAAACAGATTTTAATACTTGCACTTCCAGTTCTTACACAGCTGTCAGTCAGGTGATTAGATTTTGATACTGTGCTTCAAAGCAGTCCTCGTGCCAAAGGAATGCAGCACTGTGAAGGACAAGCTCTTCAGCCTCAGCGTATCCTAAAGCAGAAGGTTAAATCCTGGGAGAATCAAAGCGTCGGTGGGAGGGCAGAAGCCTCCAGCAGTACTTTGCCGAGTCAGAGCCTCAAGTTCTGCTGAAAGATGACCTGAGGCAGATCCCAGCTCGGAGGAATTACTACTGATTTTTTAAAAACAGCCTGATCAATTATGGGGAGAATGCACACCAGCAGTACCTTAGCACCACCTTCCGTGGGAGCTACAGCAGGTTTGTATGCTGTGCATTCTGCCTCCACTAAACCTGAGCAGGAAAAGCTTTCATTGAAAAGCTTTTGCTGAAAGCTAATTGTAATAGCTCTTCTTAAAAACCGTGTCAAATATTCCCTGTGTAGGTAGGCGCTGTTGGAATTGAGTCACATGCAGTGTGATGGCAACTGTGAATATCACACACAATATTGTGACAATAAGCCTAATGAAATCTCCTTAATACCCAAAGTGTTACTGTATCTACTTAAAAACACATTCGTGTAGAGACAAACTCAAGCCACCATTTTAGTTGTTCACTGTCTCTGAACCAAGGCATCAAAGCTTACCAAGCATTCTCCCCGCACGCAGATGCTGTAAGCGTCTTTGTAGGAGCAGCGGGTCCCATCGTGGACCATCCTCTTCATGTACACAACATCCCCTGTTTCCTTGGATTCGCAATACAGGTGGCACCTTTCCTTGGCTGCAAAAGAAAACAGTGCTTGGCCAGCTCTAAAGGTTTCTTTGCTGAACTTGGTAGTATGTGACACTATGCTTTTTGAGGCGAAGAAGAGCATTCTGTTAGATGGAAGAAATATTCTGCTGGTTTAACATGACCACATCTTAGGCACTTTTCCCACCATTTAGAACAGTAATGACCTTGCAATTATAGCAGTTCAATTAAAATAAATGTTCACAGGGCCATAGCATTCTTCCCTTGTGCAGTTCCATGGCCTCTTCCCTCTTTAAATGCAGTTCTTGTTATTGCTCTTGGCGTCTTCGTGCCCACTGGGTATTGGTACATCAGAGACCTTTGTTACTGCTAAGCAACAAAAAATGCAGTGCCTGGTCTACTAAAACAGGTAATTTACTTTTCTTATGCAGATCTTTAATGGGGAAGTCCTAAGTTTAAGACAGTGATGTCAGACCTAATGGATCTGCATATATTAGGAACATTACACTATGCACAAGGCATAGATGTGTACACACACACACTGTGCCTCACCCAATGCATACCATACACTCATTGCAGCAGATAAAAAGAAAATACCCAAAGGTCTGAGCAGATGTTACTGGCTCTGTACAAGGCTTTATTCCCACAGCTCCACGAGAATGGTAAATTTGCAGCTGCCATTAATTGGAATTAAATGCTCCCCCCAGTCCCCACCATAGACAAATGTACCACATGTGCCTGATGGAGCTGCTTGTCAAGTGCACGGATTTATGTCACTTCTGAGTCAGGGCTGTGTTATCTGCACAGAGTATGTCACTGCTATGCCTTGCCTGTACAAAAGGCAGTTTTAAACACAAAAGCCCCTGTAACACAGATATATAGAACCCCAGCAGTGGCTAGTAACAGTGCTCAGATCAGTGAGCCAGTTTCTGACCCAGAAGCCATGGAATTTAATAGAAAATAGCTGATTAGTTTCAGCAGACTCTGTGGCAGACAGCTCCAGAGACAAAGTGAAGGTCTGAGCAGAATCAAAGGTCTCTGGGCCACGGCGTTCCTCCCCATCTCCATGTGCCAGCAAAACTATTTCATGAAATTGAGCTGTGAGGCTGCATCTGCTGCTCCAAGAATCCCAGATTGCACAAGATGGCATGAGAAGAATGAGGGGACCCTGAGAACTCTTCAGGAAATAAGTCAGACAAATTAATGACAAGCTATTTGCCATTAACTTCTGACAGTAGCTCCCCTCTGGAATGTGAAAGGATTCACCTAAGGCGATCCTTCCCCTCCCTGAGATCTGTGCTGGGCTGGGCACAGCTCCGGGACATGGGCCGTGTCACTTGTCCCCTGCCACACCAGCCCTGTTCTCCATGACCTTGTTTAAAAGCATGAGCAGTCCACACTGCTTCTCACACAACTGGGGACTCGTTACCATCTGCCTTCTTCTTCGTTAAAAGCAAGGTTTCAGCACAACACAGCAATAGCATGGCAACAGTCTTCACGCCCCAAAACCAATTAGCTGCACTTCTGCTGGCATTTAAAGCAGAAAAGTTAGCAGTAAAACTAACATTTTTGTTTGCAGAGGTGATCTCTGCCAAGATGCTGTAACACCACAATGATCATGATGGTTCTCACCCAGCTCCCATCCAAACCAGTGTCCGGCCCCAGCAGTGTCCAACAGAATTAACCTGCTTTGGCAGGGGGGTTGGACTCGATGATCTCTGGAGGTCCCTTCCAACCCCTACAATTCTGTGATTCTGTGATTCTGTAATTAGCAGGAAGATGGAAGAACAAAACAAAACTGACACTTTCCTGTGTATATTCTTCAAGGAAAACTGCAGCTCAGAGTTCCTCCACATCATGGCTGGATCTCATTGTTTAGCAGCTTTTGGTGGATTATAGACCTTTCAAACATTTCCCTAAATCATTCTTAAAACTTCTGGCATCTGAAAACACCCTGTGGCAATGGATTCCCATTTAATATGTGCTGTGTGGGAAAATTTGTTTTCTTGTTTGTTTTAAATTTGTTTTAAATCTGCCACTTGATAATTCTATTTGATGTTCTCAGGTTTATGTTATGAGAAACAGTGAACAATCATTCTGCAGTGTTTGGTGCCAGAAGTCCCAACTTGGCCATGTCAGTGGCCACACCACGTCCCTGTAGGTCCCCAGCTCCAGCACTCCCACCCTGAGACACATTGAGGACAAGAAGTGGGACCACTCACCATCAACATGCTCATAGGGCAGCCAATGGTGCTTCGTGTTCTGGTACTCAAAGTATGGATCCCATTGCCTGCACTGCTCCTCTCTGAAATCCTCAAAGTCCTTGGGGCAATCCTGAGTGTTGCAGAGCTGGAACTCATAGCTCGGCCCTACGCACGTGCGGCCTCCGTTGGCTGGACTGCAGAGGACAGAAAGTAATGGTTACTTTGGTCATTAACACATGACTTGAGCAACTACCAAACCCTCTGAGACACAATCTAACTCCCAACCACGTCATTAGGAACTTGATGAAGCCAGTGATGTATTTCCAGTACTTCCTTCTCGCATTTTATCAGGACTTCATCTAGTTTAATGATTGCTCTGGTGTTTGCTTTCTGTTGGGAGGTACCTCTGGAAAGGTTTCTCTCAATATACGTCATTACAGCTGGGATAAAAGAAGCAATCATTTAAAAACCCGTCGTCGCTATTTCTCTCCCACAGAGCAATTCCTGCAAGTTGAGCCTCCAAGCACTTGATATAGAAAAGTTATTTTCTTGGTGTGGTTCAGGAAAGGAGAGCACAAGCAGGTGAAGCAACTCATTCACACTGCCTCCTAAGCCAGCAGCAAACCCAGCCTTTCCTCTGTGCAAATAGATTTTACAACTAAAATAGAGCCCACAATCATAAAAGTCACTTTCATGTTGCCAATGGAGTAAAGGTTGAAATTAGAACTGACAAATTTTTTTCTTAACGGAACAATTTCCATCAGAAAACATGGCTTCATCATCAATAAGATTATTTTCAATATTGAAGTCATGTTCAATCATTTCATCCTGTCAAAACATGTTCAAAAATTCTGTTTGGTGAAATCATTTAATTCTGCCCAGTGCTTCACTTCCTGCTGCCATGATCCTGATATTTCATGAAATAGGGATAATCACATATTTCATATCATTTGTACATCTTGTATACATTACATATATCATAGTTTCAGTGTTACTGAAATTAAGCCATTTTACATTATTTTGATGAACCACATATATGTCATCAGAGCACAACAATTCAACATTCTTAGGATTAACTTTGGGGAGGGTTCTGCTCTCTGGAGCTTTGCTCCAACTTGGAATGAAAACAGTTTGAAGATGTCAGTATATTCCCTGTTGTGAGACTGTTTTTGAAGTACTAAAAAAGTTGGATTAATTTAAAAAATGAATTTTTTAACACAATCCAGCAAATTATTGACATCATTTCATACTCATGCTAGAATAAGGCATACACGGGGCTCTGAAGTACACCTTTGCAATAACAGAACGGCACTTTCAAGATCCTTTTAATGGCACAACCAGCTCAATGGATGGATAAACTAGCAGATAAAGATGGCTCATGTCTTTGGGCTAAGGGGCCCAAAGCAGAAATTCTAGTGTACTGCAGGTGAGATCTAAGAGCACCACTCAGCAACCTTTACTGTGTTACCATAGCAGTAATTCCACAAGGGTTCTCACCACTCACTCACTTCATGTTCAAAAACCACGCAGGAGTCCCAGACTTACTGTGGGTTGTCACACTGCCGTGTCCTGTACTTCACCCCCGTGCCACAGGTGCGAGAGCAGGAGCCAAACTTACTCCATGCCCCCCAGTGCCCATCCTGTTTCAGGATGTCTGGTGTCAGCCAGATGCAGTGACCTTTGAAGCAGTGCTAGGAGAAAGAACGGGATAGGAACAGAATGAGCAGATGGGAGTTGGACTAACGGCCTTCAGAGGTCCCTTCCAACTCTAAGGATTCTATGATTCCATACTGCCCCATTGGTGCAACAGATTTCATTTTGGGCACAAATACTGGATTTTTTTCACCTCTCCAGAAGAAGGCAATGAGAATCGCTGCTGTACTGTGCCCGTGATCCCCAGCTCCTTCTGATTTGACAAACTTACACATTTTCAGTATGCCCATTTATGCTCATAGGAATAGAGACTGCCCAGTTTGTTAACACTCTGTCAGCATCACGTGCCTCCATCAGAGCAGCAGGGATTTCACCTTAACTGGTAGAAATCCATCTAACGGAAGTGGCAGAATCCCAAACCCTGCAGGGTAAAGGTACAACCCTGCTGCTGCCATTTCTTGCAGAGATGACAACAGCTCCTTCAGCAGCAGTAGCCCCAGTAACACTGCAGTGAATGTGGTCAGCAAAGCAGCACGAAATTAATGTCACCTCACATGGCAGACATTGTTGATATGACATAGAGAACTCTCAGAGTCTCACTGAAATCTTACTAAAGCTCATCAGAACACCAGAAACCCTTCACTAAACACTGCCTTGCACAGACCCATTCTGGAGCAGTTACTCCCCATCTACAGCTTTCTCATTTCCAATGATTTTCTCATTCTATTACCCAAATTTTAATGCAGTCGGTTCTACATGGAGGTAAACAGTTTCCTGAATTCTGCAAACCCACAGGGTACTTACACATTTCTTTAAAAGCCTTTGTCACCTCCATGCTTATATCCATCAACTTTAATGAGATCTTGTAGGATATAAAGCAAAAAATGCAACTGAAGACATAATAGTTTGCCTTTTCTCAGATACATAATCTGATTTTTGGGTGGTCTTGCATGGAGCCCAAAGTTGGACTCGATGATCCTTATGGGTCCCTTCCAGCTGGGGGCATTCAACAACTCTATAACCCTCTCTACTGCCTCCTCCCACTAAAGACATCTGCTACTGCTCTTCCACCAGTTCCTAATGAAGGAAGTCTTCCTTAGCTGAAGGCAGGATGAATTCTTCTCAAGGATCACAGATTTGGACTGTTTCTGCTGTTGCTGCTGCTTACATAAAAGTAATGGAAAACATTGCCAGCACTACCAAAGACTTTGCATGAAGCCATTGCACTCTGCTGCACTGGTGGCTGCCGGGACAGGGCTTCGGCTCACGTGCACAGATGGCCACAACAACAAGTGCAATCGGCCCCTTGCTTTCCTTAACATTCAAGTCAACAACAACGTTTTACACAGCTTAACGAGCCCTGGAATTCGGGAATTTGGCAGGCAGCACCAGCTGAGCATATGGCTGAATGCATGCTGCCAGCAAAAACAAAACCAGAAGATATATAACCAGAGAGCATTTGTAAGCGTGGAGCGATTAGCGAGCTGGAAGACGAATTTAAAAGGGATGGATAATCATTAATAATGCTGAATTTAAAGAGAGAATCATTAGTAAAACGTTGACAAGACACAGGTTTCCGATTTGCTAATCCGCTCAATGATTGGCTTTTTATTCATGCAATTTATTTTGCTACTGATTCGGTTGGACAAGGGGTAGAAAACAGAGCAGAAATTAGTTTTCAGCTACTCGTTACTTCTCATGACTTCAAATATTCAAAGTCAAAGCCCATGAAGAAGATGAGTTACCACAAAGCCAATTATAACAATCCTGCTCCAGAGTTGCAATGGGCAAATTTTTCTCATCTGCTTGACAGAACAAGAGATAATTCAGCAAAGCATAAAAGAAACACAAAATGTTAATATGCTAACTGTGAGGTTCAGCACCGTATCCCTCCAGGGATGATGCACTCCTGGCTTTGTAGAGGTTTGAGCAAACAATGTGAGCAGTCAGCCCTGAGTGGAATGGCACTATTGCAGCGATGCAGGGGAATATGTCTGCCTGGCAGGCCAGACTGCAGCTGGGCTTGGAGGAAGATGAACTGCAAGGGCTCCTGATCCTTGCTTGTTTCAGCATCCTTTTGTCAGGCTTCTGCATCCCTCAGATGTAAGATCCACACAACTCTGCTTCAAGAGCCACGTAGCAATGCTCCAGGATCCGATACTCAGCAGAGAGGAGAGGGAGAGACATGTGATGCTGTGTTTGCTGTCTCTTTCCCATGTTTTAGCCAGATGCAAAGGGATGTGGTTTGCAATAACCATGAACAAACCACCTGTTTGACACTGTGACTCGTTCCTGAACTGGAAAGCAAATGTGGAAAGTGTTATTGACTTTGCCTGTGTAAAGAAAGGAGCAGGATGGGTTTTTGCTGGAGAAGTCAGTCCTGCGCTGCCTGCTGGGAAGCAGAGAGCTATGAGTGAGTCACCGCCAGGCTGCGTCTGGGCTGTGTGCTCAAAGAAAGAAGCCTACATAAAATGAAGTGATTCAATGGCATCTTAGGTGCTGCAGATTGGTGCAAGAGGAGCACATGGAGCAGAAAGCAGAGATGGATCCGTCTACAGTGCAATAAAGGATGTGAGAGCTGCCCCTTCCCGCTGCCACTGCAATAACTGCTTAACTAAGTGGGAACAGCCAATTCCAGCCACTATTCCCTTCACAAGCAGGGCTTTCATGTAAAGCGTGAAGCATATTAAAGCAATCTTTCTTTTTTAATGAGGAAAAAAAAATGGGAAAGTGCGAATTGTTTTCTTACTGGAAGAGAAGATGACTTCTTGTGGTCTCGCCAGTTTTTCTGGCAAACAGGGCAGTCCAAAACAAGTGCAATTTCCAGGAGAGGAAGCTTAAAACTTGCGCAGTAAAACATTCCATTGCTGTTTTCAGCAGTTCTTTGAGACAACTGCTGTGAGGGCCAAAAAAAAAAAAAAAAGGTTCTGTGTTCCTGTGGGCTTCCCACAGCTGTATGGTCATTTTTCAAGACTTGCAGATTTCTCTCAGTCTCTCTACCTGTCGTGCCCGCCTCCCAGCCCAGCCATGTCAGTAAGCCCTGCTTGGCCTCATCGTGTCAGGACGGGGCTGTTGCGTTATTTCCACTTCCCATCGCATGCGGGCTGGTCCGCTCTGCTCCATCTGTTTGAGATCAATCAATTGTAGGGAATAACCCCAGCTGTAGCACACAGCTGTCCCGGGAGCAGTGGTGGTTCCTGGTGCAGAATGTGCCCTTCTTGTGCTTCCGTGGCAGCCAGCACAGCGCTCACCCATCTGCCTCCCGTGGGGTCTGCATCCCTGGTAGGAAACCATCCAGGTCGCTTTGAGCACACATTGGTGTTTTCAGAAACCCTTTTTTCTTCTAAGACCTTTTTATTTCAATAATCATTCTTCTTCTCTTCCTGATAGAGCAAAAACTGCAAGTCTCATCCATGCGGTGTGAGGGCAGGAGGACGAGCTGGGCTCAGGCTCTTGCACAGCTGCCAAGTTAACCAGGAACATCAGCTCGGTTGGCACAGGAGGGTACCAGGAGCTCACCTGACTCCAAGGAAAGAAATCAGGAGTGTGGGCGCTGCAGCCCTCTGTGCTCCTCTCAGCAGTGAGCAGATGGACTCAGGCATGCCATCGCCTGCATGAGTGGCTTTTTTATTTCTGCCTTCTGGAAGGCAGTCACCTGCTTCAGCTGATATGCACCACTCCCCAGAAGAGTAATAGCTTCAAAAAAACTGAACAAGGAAAACTGATGGCATATTTGTTAAGGAGGCCCGGGTTCCAAAGCCTGGGGCTACTGGTGGAGCTGACAGAATTGTATACAAGTAAATAAATCATCAGCTGAAAACATATGTGCTTTATTTTCCTAAACTGCAGAATGCTGTGCTTTTAAGCTTTGCATAATTACCTCTTGTCTGCATGTTTAACTATGAAAATTCACAGAGCATCTCTGGTTCCACATTCAGACTCCACTCCCCACATGCTGTGCTTCACACACAGCTCATTTCCTTGGGGCTAACGTGGCCACTTGGAAGTGCAAGGTGCTGCATCACTGAAGCTTCAGGAAATCCATTCTGTCTTTCCCCTCTCAATTCACTTAAAAACACTGGGTTGAGAGCTACATGAAGCATTCTATTTCCTTTAAAATTCCATAAAAATAGCAGTTTTGTCCTCTGGCTGGAAAGCCTTAAGAGAATAACACACATTTCTATCCCTAAACCCACCAAACTATTAGATTGCTGCCAATTAACGTGTCTCCATTTGTACAAGGAAACTCACTTAAAAATTCTTTTTCAATAGCAGAACATCATTCTTTTGGCAACTTCTTTCAAATGAACACTTGCAGAGAAAAGCTTACAAATATTTTCATACATTAAATGCACATCTCTATGTGTGCATGCATGCATACACATACAAATACTCTGGCACTATGAAGTCCAATTTCCCTTCCACTTCCAAGCTGCAGTCCCTCTCTCCAAGACAGCAGGGCACACAGAGACGTGGTCCTTGTCAGTGTGGCTGCTGACAATGTGCTACAGATCTCCCATCTGCACTAGGTGTTCTTGGCCCTGGGCCATCAGAGAGGAAGGAGGCAGCTGGACTTTGTCCTCTTCAACAGCATCTGCTGAGTTTGGCAAAGCCATCAGCTATCAGCCATCTGAACAGCAGGCTCAGGGCAAACACCTGAGCTCCGTACACCCTGTCAGTCTCCCAAACACTGCTTCTCTTTCTGGCAATGGGACATCTCAGCTGCTGCAAAGCCTGGATATTTCTTCAACACATCAGCACTGATTTGATTGGCCTCAGCTTAAAACAGGCACTGGGAATTAGTGGTATGAAATCATGAAAACTGCATGCCCCTAAGGCAAGAGTCAAATGGATCTCATTGAATCATCTTCTCTGATTGCTTGTTTGTGTTCCTTTCTTCTGGCATTAGCCCTAAATAGTGGTCTGAGTTTCAAGTTATTTTTGTCCTCCTCATACACCATGGGAGATGCTTCTCGGAGAAGACTGCCAATTTGCAACCATGTCCCAACTGCAGGCAATGTCCGTGCTGTAGTCACTTTGCTTTCTGCTGAGAGCCTCTGGTTCTATCCAAATTGATGAAGACAGTGAACAGAGAAAGACCAAATCAAAGGCATGGATGAAAAGGAACAGAAAAAATGGAAAAGGACTGATACGATGTGCCTCTGCTAAAACACCCTCAGCTCCTAATAAGAACACTGGTCAAATGCCGAGCTGAGAAGCAAGAACTTCACTGCAACCCTCTCATAAGCTACTGCTCAGGCTACAGGGCTTTATCTAACTAAATGGTTTTCATTTCATATCATTTTCTCAGGTTCTGCTGGAAGGCTGCAATAAGCTTATTTATCAAAAATCTGTGACATCTCTGGGAGTAAAACAGTTACACTCCTACCATCCACGGAATGCACACATCCCCTCCTGCATCTTCACTGAACCACCAGAACATGGCTGTCTGGGCAGCTTGCTGAAGCCTTGGAGCCTAAGTCCCAGTCCAGCGAAAAAAGTTACAGCGGAGTTGCATAATATCCTGACAAACTGTTTATAATGGAAGCACTGGACTGATCATTAACTGTGAGATTACAAGTTCCTTTTTTTATTCTCATTTCTGTCCAAACACTGATGAATGGATGGCTTGGAGAAGTAAGGGAAGCTGGAATACAGTTGTGTTTTTCTGGGATTTTCATGTGTTTGTTTAATATAAAATCAAGATGTGGAAAAATGTCTCAGGTGAATCCAAAGAAATTGCCTGAGATTGTGTATTGTAATTTAAAAATCTATGTATTTTCAAACATGAAACAGGGGTGTTATGAGATAAATAACCTAAAGAAGACCAAAAAGAAATGGCTTATTTAGAGCATGGCTTGCTAGGGAAGGAATTTAGCATTACATTATGCTTTCATTAAAAAAAAACATTTCAAACCACAACAGCAGTTGCTAATATGGTTCATTTATCACATAAATGATGTCATCCACTGGGTTTTACAAACATCCTTCCAAGTATCAACAACATCTTCCCCTCAGACCCTGCGCCCACAGCCCAGCAAAGCCAGGCATTTTTAGCAGACTTCAAAGGAGTTCAGATCCACTGTGAGCACAGCACGACCTCCCCAGAGGGGTAACTGAGAGCTGGAGCAGGCTGTCCTTTCAGGGCAGGAGCTGTCGGAGCCCTTGGCACCTTGCTCCTTCCCTTCACAGCTCTTCACGCCTCCCTTGACTCCCACCAAGCAAATCCACCTACGCAGATCTGCCCTTTTCTTCTGCTCATCCCTCCCCATGGTCATGCTGGCTCTCTCCAGCTCTCACTCAACTCCCACATCCGCCCTGTCCCTCAGGGCCAGCACTGCAGCCTCAGTGGGCTTGCAGTCTCCAGGACCTCCTAGCTCTCAGCCATGGAGGCCAACTGGCACTGCTACATCACTGATACAAACACAACACCTCGACCATGCACAAGTCATGGGCAAGTGAAAATTCCCCATTTTTGGCTCTACAATGACTTGCTGAGAATCCAAGGGCAATTCACAAATGTGCAGGTGCTGCCATGACTTGCCTGAAGACTGTGTTTCATAGACAGAGAGATGTCATGCAGCACACACCAGACCTGGTCCCTTCCTCCTTACTTGCATTCAGGAATTTGCCCCCCATCTCAGCTGACTTCAAGTTCCCAGAAGGTTTTTCCTCTGTTAAACTGACTCTATCTTTGGACAAAATGGGACTTGGGAACTGGTGAGTTACAATGCAGTTCACACCCAGACCTTCCCCGAAGCTATATGGAGGAGACAAATAAAAGTCATAAGCTTTTCTCTTTACACCCCCTCTATTATATTCTCCAGTCATCCATTCCCTACATTTCTAAAAACAAATTGAAAAGACAAAAACCTTCAATTCCTGTGCTTAATTTGAAGGACAACAACCCCAGCTGCACACACACAGACTCCAACATGCACAGCTCCAGCTCCCACCTTTCCTGGTGCACACATGGTCCCGTCCAGCGGAGGCCCTTTCTTTGTTTTGCAGAAGTAGGGGTTCTCAGGATGGCTACACCACAGCTGCTTACAGGGATCAAACGTACGAAACTGAAACACAAAAAAAATCAGAGTGGGTGATGCTTTGATGGAGCTCTGACTTCAAACTCTGAGCAAAACTGTAGCGTGGGGCTCGATTTTCCTTACCCAGCTCTCAAGTGTCAGCTGTGCTCACTAATTCCTGAGGAACACTGTGAAATAAGTATGACTGAACATGCAAAAATCATCAGCGATTCTGAGGTGAGACCCTGCCTGCAGTCAATAGAATAACATTGGACAAAAACGGCTTGATACCAGTGACTAAAGGCAGATTGAACAAGGAGTAAACCAGTTCCCCTGCCCGATAAGGCACACACTGCCTTTTCTTACAGCTTGTCCAAATGGCATTGCTTCATTCAACAAACAGAACAAACAATACTTGAGTACCCATGGGAGAGGGATGCGAGCTGCTCCTCTCAGGAGGGCGCAAGATTGACCTCAGGCCCAATGAGTAACTCATCATTTCACCTACACTACAAGTGCTCGTAATGCAGAGAATGAGAGCCACCCACCACAAAATATAATAGACTATAATGTCTGGACGTGCTCTTGACTGTTCTGAACAAAGAATAGAAAGCCTCCCAGGCTCCAGAGAACAGATACAAGGAAAGACCCTGTTTGGCAGGGACATTCCTCCAAGGCAGCATCAGCGGGAATGTGTCAAAACACAAAACTGCAGCTGATGCTTAAGAGGTTTTCATCCATTATCTGGAGACACTGCTCGGCACACATAATCCTACAGATGGGAATGAAAGCAGCAATGTTCTGCATTACGTTAGCAGCTGCCACACCAGCTGAAAACACGTCGTTCCATATAATATTTGTGTCCTGCTTGAGGATCCGGAGGTGGGAGGCACAGCCCTGCTGCAGAGGCTGAGGCACTGCAAATTGCACCAGTCTTGCCTAGCTTATATAAATTTGGGCTGTCTCTTGTTTTCCCAGTGCAACAAGAGCCAACCATAGCATCAAGAGCCCTTGCAAGTTGTTCTCTTTGCTGTCACGCTTATTTTCACATGCTAGACATTAAAACGCATCATGCTTTCCACAAAACCAGAACATAAAAGCTTTCTGCCCTGTGTTAACACTATGAGATGTGACACCAAATCCATCTCCTTCTCATCAGGGTGGGAGTTTATAACAAAATAACTAGCTGGCAGCAATAGGAGGCTCCACAATACAGCAAGCTTGCTTGCTTCTAGTCTAGAACTGTTCATGAAACTACAGCATGGCCATTTCTCTAAGTTCAGTTTTTTGAAGAAAGCACAGAGGTTCTTAAAATAACATATTTGTCAACATTAAGCTGTTATTTCTCGCTCACAACCAAGTGGGCACATCATCCTTCCTCGTGGGCTTCACTGTGCTGTCCCTATACAGGACATTTCAGAGACATTTACAACACTCCTGGATGAGAAAGAGCAGAGACTGAACGTAAGTACTCACAGCTGTGCACATCATGTAGCCCAAACCAAAATCAAAACGGCACTGCTCATTCATGGAGTAGTGAATTCCTGGCAGCTGTGGAAGGGAAGGCCAGTCATGTTCGAAGGGATCATCGCGCAGACAATCATAGGAACTGCAACAGGCAAAAATTACAGTAACAGATGGGGCTGTGAGACTCACAGAGTGTTTGTGGTTTCGGTGCCTTCTCGATCCAAACAAAATAGAGCCTACTATTCCTCAGACTCTGGTCACGAAGAGCAGCTAATATCGCAATTATGCTCACGTAAACTTTAGCGTGATGTATCCACCTCTAACATATTCTGTGTTGGTTTTTTGTTTTGGTGGTGTTGTTTTTTTGGGGGTGAGGGGAAAGGAAGGTTGGGAAGGGGAAATCTTTGGAAATCTGGAAATCTTTCCATTGTAACTTCCACACAGCTTGCAAGTAAATTCCTGTTGGTTCCCAGGTTGCCTATGGAAAAGGAACCAAAGGAAGAATCCACACAAGACCAAGAATATAACAATATTCAGTTACTTTTCCATTTGTGGAATTCCTTTCTACCTGCAACTGCATTTAGAGTGCAGCTTTAGAAGCAGAAGCCAGGGTAATCACCCAGGAGCAGTGCTGAGCTTGCCATACTCCTGTCCCCTGCTGAGAAGCAGTGACCCATCTATAAGCACCAGTACTTTCCAGCCCACATTAAATGCTCAGGATTATTCCCTCTCTCTGTTTCTCCTGATACCTCTCAGCCCCATCCATAACCTGCCAAGTTCCCTTTCCGTGTGATGAATAAGGGAGATTTCCCCATAGGACAAACTAGGACCACGTCTGACTGAGGTGCGTAGAAAACAGAGGAGAATAGCACAGAATGGTTAACTGTATAATCACTGCTTCATTCACAAGCCAACACCATAGGCAGTATCTCTGAATTGTCCCCAAGTTATCTAACAGACATGAGGACACCATACCCAGCTCTATTCTGGCTATCATTCAGGCTGCCCTCAAGATACCAATAGCTGAAAGCAGAGTGCTGAGGTTAGATTTACTTCAAAACAAATCACGGTGTTATAAGATATTCTAAAATAGCTGTATTTAAAAGAATGCAAAGCAGCCATCTAAGCCAGATGATTTTCATTTAACTGATAATGCTCTAAAGGATCTTGCTAATTAAACAATCACACATCTCTCACAATATTTCCTATCCTTACTGCCATATCTAAGGTACATAAAATAATAAAAACATTGACAAAAAGACTGACTTCTGCTTATTTTGTTGATTTTGCTGCCTTCTTTTCAACTTATTTTCAGTTCTTGCTGTGTATCCTAGAGTTTCACTGCATTTTTCCTATACACCTTGTACATAACAATAAGGGGGAGATCCATTCTATAAGAGCTAAAACAGGATCATAAATGTCAGAGTTTGTCAGGGAACCTGAGTGCAGCTCTAATGCAGGAAGGACTCATTCTAAAGAGAAGGCAAGGGAAATACAGGAGCTGTTAAAAAAAATGGAGCATTTAAGATATTTAAACGAAAAGACACCACTGAAAAATTAATTCCAGAATCATGTTCTTTCTTTAGAGATCTATTAGGTCCAGAAGACCTCTAAGAACTTATAAAGGGCAGAATTCCATTTTTTTAAAGAGCACCATCTCATCATTGACAGTCATCATAAGCAATCAACAGCTCTTGAAGCCAAATCTGGTATCTGTAAGATAGCACAGGCATTCCTGCAGCAAAAGCAAAAGCCTACGTGAGGGAAGAAGGAAAGTCAGCAAGGAGGTGAGTACCAGTGTCTCCCACACACTATCAACAGTCTGGAAATGAATACAGAAGTAAACTAAATGAACTGAAATCAAACTCATTGACAATTTGCTTTATTATTTGCAATCCACGAGAGCCATCTGGTTCCCAGTAGGCTGGGGGTGGCTTTCTTTGCTTTATTCAACCCCATTCGAGTAAGTAATGAAAGAATAAAGCACAAACGCTGCACGAATGCTAAAAGCAAAATTGCTCTTAGAGGTTTCCTAATCAAAGCTGAGAGGCAGCTGAACAGCTACTCACTGGAGGTATCGATTCAGCTCCTGCTGGCTGCAGCGGGACCAGTGGAAGCGGTGGAAGGCAGCTTGCACAAGGGGGGCCATGATGCTCCCCAGGCGGACCTCGTCCCCACATCTGTTTCCTTGGCCATCATGCTCCATGCCTAAACTGCCCCGGCACAGGAGAGAGCAAGCACAGTCACACTGCAGACAAACTCCAAGTGACCAAACATTTTTGTACCCCAAATGTTGCCATGGGTGATCACAGTCACACTGTTATACCCCACGTCCCAGGTACTGGCTCTTAAGATACTTTCATGGGATTAACTCAACATCCACTTTTGAAATAGACTGAAAATCCCATCTTTGGACTTCTGTGTGTGCATACGTTTCTGAATAACTATGGCTAAATGAATCCATTTCTGGATTAAGGATCTGGTCTCCTCTCCAGCAGAATAAATGAAATTTACTCATACTCCTTTCTGGAGGCATTTGGAAATTCCTTGATTTGAATTAACCTGCAATTGTAGCCAAGTGGGGGGATAAAAATCCACACTGAAAGCTAGTTACACCAGCTGCTGCTACTGCCCACTGTAGCAGTTCCACACTGTGGATCTTGGATTGTGTTTTTCTGTGCATGCTGTTTGATTAACATGGGCACTGTGTATGTTACCAAAGTCAAATGAGCAGATCAGGGCTTAATGCAATTTCAGGGATCACAAACTATCTCCAGTGATCTCTCTTCTAGAGCTCAGTGTACACTCTTTACAATCCTAACTCAAAAATTCTGGAACCCAACACCAGATAGGCATCAATTCTATGCTCCTGTCTAATTTAGATACATTTGCAGTGAGATTCAATGAACTTTGGTGATTTTTTCATTTAAAGCCCTCCATAATTTCTAATAAAACAGACAGAACAGGACCTGAAGGCCTTCTTAGGGAAAATATAATAGATTAAGACTGTTCAGAAAAGGCCTTCTGGGAAGTGTTGTTCTTCTTGAGAGAAAATGGGCAGTCAGTGGGTGTCCTCTGCAAACAGAGAAACTGAAATGCTCTGGGAGAGACCAAATCAAGTCACATCAATAAAATGATTATGTTCTTATATTTTTATATAGTTGCAATTTCAGTGCTTAGCATTTTTTTTTTCCTTTGCAGTATTTTCTCCTTCACCAGCAGTACCATATCAGATGTGCTGATTTAATATGGAAGAATCACGTATTCCATTAACTTAAAAAATTCATATTTCATCCCAATGAGTATTTTACATTTTCACCAGGAGACTATAAAGCATCATTCAATCTAGCTTCACAGCAGTCCTGGGAGGTATTTTGGTATTAGTTCCTTTTTCCATTTGAAAAACACCTGAATATAAAACTTCAGATCATAAATAAAATCTTGACAGAGCTGAGATCTGAAGCGAGAGCTAATGACATGTGGACATGGACATGATTTCTTCACATGAACTTCATTGTCCCAGTGTCACAGCTATCTCTCAGCATCAAAGACATAGGATGAAACACGGGATGTCCAGGGCTCTACTCACACATGTCCAGTTTCATGAGCCACCACAAATGCAGATGAAAAACCATCTTCATGATTGAGAGTACAGCTTCGAACAGGATGGCACATTCCTGTGACTGGAGCATAGCCTGTGAGAAACACCACGTTTCAGAAAAGGAATAAGTATGGAAAAGTGACGTGAAACTCCAGGAAAACAGTCTTCCCCTTTGCAACATGAATTACAGGTAACTGGTCCTCTCATAGATAAAAAGAGACCTCTGTCCCCAGACATTTAATAACGTGCTCTCTCATCCATGAAACAGATGAGATCACACTGTTAACCAACTGAAACTATATTCCTAGCTCAGTCAGAAGGTTGTTATCACATCCTGGACCATTCTGCATTTGCCTTCTCTGAGTACACAAGGCAACAGAGGAAAGGGATACCACACAGTGCTGTGCAGCTCCTGAGCTCGGTGCACTTCCAGCACCCAGGAACACACGAGCAAAGCCCCCGCCCTATGCTGACAGCAGATCTGACCAATTCAAAATGAACAGGAGATTTATCCCCTCCAGTGAACAAACCTGATCTCACAAAGAGGCAGAACCTGAAGGAAAGGAAAAAGTGCACAACACTTGGTCCTGCTGTTCCAGACTTCTTGGTGACAGCATTTCTTGGCAATCTTTACTGCAACAACTTTTTAAACACAAAATCTATTCCTTATCTTTGGGCATTTTCAGGATTGTTTACATAGGGATCTCAATTGCTTGCCTTCAGCTAGAGCAAAGAAATGATCCCATAAGTAATCCCATCAGTTAGGATGCAATGCATGAAACAGTTACAACTGAAAACGGTCATGTGCAGAGCGTTTGGGGAAAGAAATTGTTGACCAAAGCTAAGCAAAATTTGAACTGCACAATTAGCTTTGCACAGTGATAAACGCAAATGTTGCTCAGAAGTTTTGCCATTTACCAAACAAAACCTGACACACGTCTTACCCTGCATGCCAGATGGACCAAAATCCTGCCTCGTGAGGAAGATAGCGTGGTCATGATATTCTGCATGCCCGGTGTCTGGCTTCTGTTGCAAGTAGGCCCAACGACACACGTTCTCCAGGCTTTGAGAAGGGTTCCCAATCTCTATCAGACTCATGGACTGAGCGTGCCCAGAAGAAAAGACAGTAGCAGTTATTTACTGAGCGAGGGTGATTCTTTCCCAGCCTACTTAAGCACTAGAACAAATTTTCCACTTCCACTAGAACTCTTAAGAAAGAGATTATTATGCTTTACGAACAAATTTTACTGAGACAAGAAAGTAAGAAAATAGTTAACATTCACAGGTAGATCGAATATGATTTCTGTGGCATACCCATAAAGTGTAAGACACAATTAGAGAAAAAAAAGCAACAGGTATTTTCAATATTGTATTGTGCAATGCACATTAAAATCTCTATGCCATCCCAGCACCAGCTGACACCATCACTTCAAGCCTGGAGATATTGTTTCCAACCTAACACTACAGGATCCCTATGGGATCTGCAGTGGTGCCAGGCCCGCAGAGCCTAGCCCAGTGCAGGGAGGGCAGAGCCCAACAGCCATAGCAAGGGCAGACTGCAAGCACCCAGCCCTGGCTCATCAGCCTCCTTTGCCACGCACTCAAGACTTCTGAACACCACTGGATGCTCTACTGAGAATAAACACTAATTGTACTTTGTCCAGCTGTACTTGAGTCATAACTTGGAGAAACAGATGTTCCCAAAGACTGTATTTTAAAACACTTTCTCTTTAACCCATTCTGTATTTCACAATCATTCAGAAAGAAGACTCTGTCTTCCCAATGTGGTACACCTTTATTCTGCCTGTAAGCCACACATTACATCACTGTTGTGTTGTCATGACTTGGCTGATTTGAACAAGCTGATGTGTGCTAAGTGGGTGCAAAGGACAGTTCCCTCTAATGAGAAAGAAAAAGGTGCTTTAAAATCCAGCTACTGCATTTACCTTATTTTTTTTCCCCAATAGTACTTAAAAATTTCCAGCTAACTCTTGTTAATACTGTGCATTAAGTCTCAAAAAAGCACATTATATGTGGGATGTTATAAAATATATGACTAATTGACCCACTCCAGGCCTTCCAGGACTTGTAAGAACTACATATGCAAACCCTGGCTTTTCATTTACAAAAATTATATTACCATGACAACATCGTAATCATAACACAAACCACTACAATTTAGACACTGTACTGTACTGTAAGCATTTCTAATTCCCAGATAGATAGTTCACAGCAGAAATAGCCAGGGCCAAAAATAAGAGAGAAGTAACATAGTTCCTGTTTAAATACAGATGTGTTTGACATGTCCTCTAATTGAGCGCACGATGGAGCATGCAGAGTATTGACTGCATGAAAAAGAAAATCCTCAAAGGGTTGTGGAAGAACAACTGGAGTTGATAAAAGAAAAGCCTGCCAAACTGAGGCCTGATTTTGGCAAAAATGGGATATTACAACTCTGTAACGTTCAGAAAAACAAATTAATAAACCAAATAGAAGTACAGTTTGGAATCTGACACCACTTTGGAATGAAAAGGTTGTAACACAACCCCAGGCTGGATCATGCTTCTTCCAGCCATAATTCCCTTGGAAACAGAATAATAATCATGCTGAAATGGTGAGAGAGTAACGACGCCTTTACTGCATCTTCATGTGTTTATTAGAACAGACATGAACAAACCTTGAGTGACTAACACAAGGAAAGTCCTGGCTCTTCAAGCAGAAATCCTATTCAGCTAAACTAAGCGTGACCGTCAGCGAGGTCCTGGGCAGCATGTATCAGTGGTTCAAGAGCAAGTAACTATCTACAACATCTCCACCTTCATCTCCCTTCTGCAAAGCTTCAGAAGAAAAACCTGTCCCATAAAGAAGTCCAGTGAGAAATCTTCTACAAGGTTCAAAAAGCAAAGAACATTGTAACCTGAAGCTGAAAAAATTTAAGCCGTGAGTATGATTGAAAAATCGTTTACAAAGTGCACTGTAATTCTTTGTCTCACAATGATCTCTTTCTATACCTTCTACAAAACGAAAGTAATTTCATTTTATGACTGATCAGAAAATAAACAAAAAGTATCAATTATCAACATGTGCTTTGGTTGAGGCCATCTCAGTATTTGCAAAGCCATCTCTGCGTGATCAGCAAACAAGCAAGGAGTATGAAAAAGGCAGTAATTTTTAAATAACCACTTCACAGTTTTCTCCTGTCTTGAGTCATCCCCTCCCTACCTCCTCAACTGCAACCTTTGCCAATGAATCCCAGTACAAAAGCAAAATTGTGGTGTGAATTAACAGCAGGACTTCTTGAGCCCTCTTCTGATGAAGACAGTCTGCCAGAGATCAGATCAGCCTGCTGCAGCAGCCCCCATGGTTTGGGCATTGCGTTGGCTTTTGGCGTGAGTTGACAACAGCTTTCTTTGCATACAGAAGCCCATTCTGGAGAGCAAAATCACTGCCTTAGGCCAAGAGAATCTCAATGCCTATTTACAACAACAGCTTTTAGAGCATCTCTCCAAGCAAATGAAAGGAGAAGTGACTGGCTAACATTGAGAATTGTGCCTTTTTTGTTGTTGTTGCAACTGACACACCAGGCAAACTGAAGGAAAACCCTCTGCCATAAAAAGGGAAACAGAACATGCAGTTCTGTAAATGTATTGCAGCTGACAGCCCAACTTCTTCTCCAATGACACGATTTTAAATCAGAAATGTGGCAGGTATAAAATTGACTTGTTTACTTTAAGCTACGAAATGAGACATCCATTAGGAAATCCATTCTTATAGATGCCTATGTGCTACTGGTATGAACAGCAAGCCTCCTACATCAGTAGGAGGGCTGCCAGAGACTAAGAGGAGAAACTCAGTTATACCTGCTGTACAAAAAGTATTCAAGATCAATGAGCATTCATATCATTTCTTCACTAATCTTCCATCTTTCTTCACAGTAATATAGATACCTAAAAAGAAATCCACTCGGTTGCTAGCAAATTTTCACCTGAATTTCCACTTTCTGCAATTTGTCAAAGACTTCCAAATGAGAATGCCTTCAGCAGTACTAATAGTAACCTTGGCACAGTGCTGGGATCTTCCTGTGCTCATGAATTCTCAAATAAACAACAGTTCGCTATTATTTTATCCAACACTAGCAACTGATGGCAATGGCTAAGCAGAATGTCAGTGTTTTTAGTTGAAGCTCCCAGCTCCGTCTTGAGTCACGTTTCATTTGGAATTGGTGTGATCACAGAGTAGGAAATATTGTATGGGTGAGAAAATGCTGATTTAGGATCCGATTAATCCCTACTGTGTTTTGCACAGACCTGGTTCAGGTTTAAGGCCCATGGAAGCCATGCCTTCTCCTGATGGCAGATGACAGGCTGCCTATGGAGGATACTTACAGGACCCAAGCATAGTTCGGTACTTCCCTCAGATAACCTCCAATTGCCCAGTGGTTTTTGATTCAGAGATTTCCTGAGACAGATGTGGCTTCACAATAAATTTTTATTCTCTCTTGCTCAGTAACCCTGACTCCAAAGATAAGTGCTGCTGTCCTGCAAGAAAGGTGTGTAGGAAACCATGGGATGAGGCACAGCTAACAAGGGCAGATGCAGTATGTTTTGGAAGGGTGCCGTCTGGGAATTTACTCTTGCAGAAATATGAGATAACACTTGATAATACATTCTCTCTGAAATCAGTGGGCAGCTTTCATCAAACTTAGAAAATCCCAACCCCTTATTAAATGGACAAAGTGAGGGGAAAAGAGCAAAAGAGATGAACAGTGTGCAGCAATAAGGATTGCAATTAAAGCAAAATTCCCTCTCTGTCATGCAGCAAACAGTCTGGGGGCAGCAGGCTGGCTGTGCAGAGGAGGTGGAGGTGTTACTGTTGGCCTGCAATGGACCTGCACTGCCAGGAACACGTGAGCCCACAGCTGGCTGAGGAGCAGGCTTGGCCAGGAAGGACCTCTTTCCAAAGAGGACAGCAGGCCTGTGGAGAGCATTACTCAGCTGATCAGCAGGAAGGCTGCCAGTGGAAAGAGAAACTTTCCTTCTCACTGCAAGAAAAGCAAAAGATCTGTGGGCACTTCAGAGAGCTGCTGGTGGAAACAGATGGATGTTTGCTCCCTTGGCTGGGAGCGCCATGTGGGGAGACACCATGGAGGGCTGTGAGGACAGCCTGCCCAGAGAGACAGCTGGGATCCTTGCTCTCAAAAACCCAGCATCTGCTGATGCCTTCCAGTTGCCTTCTTTTCTGATTCTGGATTCACATCTTTTCTGCTCCCCTTCCTTTTTAGAGAAATTCGGCAGAAAATAACCACAAATAGAAGAGGAATGAGTTGCAACAACTATTAGTACAAGAGTCAAAGGAGGGCAATAAGAAATGATTCTAAGGTCATTGCTACATAGATACAGGTTTCTTTGAGCCTTCTAAGCTATTCACTCTGTCTTTCAGGGAGTTATCAGTGTGATGTTCAATTCTCTGTTATTAAGACACTGAAGAACAAGTCAATCAGTACTGCAAAGCCCTGCAAGTACTTTTGAAAGGAATTTGGAAACTGAGAAAGACATCAAATAATTCTTTGAGAATTTCAAATACAAGGTTTTCGTAGAAGAAAACTTCAAATTTAGTCTATATTCAACCCAAACTTTCCAGAGCCTTCAGTTTGCCAGTATGTGTAAAAAACACACTGGTACCACCAATACAGTGGCAGCTTTCATTAACCAAGTGCCTTATTTACCTGCCATCTGCAATAGCTGAGTACAGCTTTGCAGCAGTGTAGATGAGTGAGTGCTTACTAACAGGGTCAGAAGGACCGGTCAGAAGCTTGCTGGAAAAGCACCTTCCCCTGCTCGTCCATTAGGTGGTGCTCCAAGAGAACCAACGGGGAGGGCTCTGCAGCTCCTCAGCAGCTCCAGGAGCAGAGATACGCTTGCACTTATCAGACTCCAAGCTATGGCAGAAAAGTTGGAGCGTTCCTGGGAGACAAAGTATGACTTTCCCTTCTTGAACGTGTAACATCTCTGCAAAACACACCACTTACATTCCTTCTACTTGGCACTTCTATTGTTCATTGTACACTGGATTAAATCTTTTATATTCTTCTCTTACCCTGAACAAGACAAGCAAAAAATAAATAAAAAGAATTATCTCGTGTCCATGGTAACCAAACTAACAAAAATAGCTCATTCAGCAAACTGTCATTTTGCATTCAAAGGATTTGTAAAGCTTTCTTATGGCAGCAGTTTGTAAACATTTTTCAGTCTCTAATTTTGAATAAATACAAGCAGAACAGGAATACAAAGCACTATTTATGCTATCAGCCAACTTTACACTCTTCAAGGTTCCAACAGATCACTGTAGGAAATTATTAGCTATGTGTCTAGTATCTAAATAAGGCAATCCATCAATTCCCACAGATAAAATTAAGAGGGGAAGTATTTTCACTCATCTTCACCCCTGAACTAATAAAAACAATGCAAAAATAAGAACAGCAGCTAAACTTGTAAATAACATGGAAGTTCTTGCGTCGCCACTAAGCCTGTGCAGAATCAGTCACTGGAGAAGGCCAGAGACTGGGACAAGAACTTCATCTTCTTCCTAGTTTGTAGACAACATTGCAAGATCAATGCTTGATTCCTGCTGACACTGCCAGGTGTTCCATAATTTACATAATAAATACCATTCATAAGCAAGAAAACACACATAAATGGGTTATCATTCTCAACCAGCAAACATCCATCAGTTCTTAAAACTCTTTCTAAGAATTTTCTGCGCTCCCAGGCTCAGCTGTTCTGTGACTACAGTTAATAAAACTGGTGCCTTGCTGGGCACAACTCTCAGCTCTCAGGCTGAGCCTTCACCCCTTCCAAGGACAAGCAGGGAGGAGGGGAGCTCTGAGCCTTTCCAGCCCAGGTCACTGAAGAATGTGAGGTCAAACACCTGAGTTAAGTTAGAGAGCTGGCTTGTCCTTCCATCCCAGCTGCACCACCTGTGCTACCCTGTGGGAAAGAGAGAAAAGCCTGGCTCAGGCTGGACTGATGCTTTCCAGCCAGGCTGAACCAAGAGCATCTTGCCCTCTCACACTGAGCACAGCCCCATAAAGGTCAGATGGCAGAGAAAACACCTTTTTGTGAAAAGATAGTCCCATGAAGATGAAGGCAGCAGGAGTTCTGAGTTATCTAAACACACAATTGAAAAACCCTTCTCAGTTAACTGTCCTGCCCTGTGAGATGGCAGGAAGCCAGCTCATGTGATGCTCCTACTGACTCATCACCTTAAAACCATTTGGTTCTTTTCCCTCCCCTCATCTTTCTGAAAGTCTCTCTGCCCTGGTGGTCAGGTTCCTCTTCAATCTGATGACATTCACATGGCCAACAACCACTGTTCTGGGGCCAACACGGATCCGAAGCTAACACAGATCCTTCTCCCAGGTTTCCAGCTCAGCTGAGCACAGAGCAGCACTCCCCAGCCTGTCCCAGGCCGTGCAGGTATGCATCCCAGTGACCAGAGTCATGCATGCTGCTCCACAGGAAAGCTCAGAGGTGTCCTGCACAGCCACGTCCAGATTTCCCAAGAAATAACTCTCATAACTCCTCAGGTAGCTGCATTTATTGAAATTCATGCAGTTCCTGTGAAAGTCTTAATGACTTTTTTTTCCAGTAATAACTGGCTTAATCACTCCCTTTGCAGCGAACGCATGCTATTCTCTGCTGCTGTCTAAGGGTGGTTCATCTACACACAAAGTCACCATTGTGGATGGACAGAGCGTGGGGCTGGAGCCAGGAATTTATGAGCTCTTATCCCCAGACTGCCAGTGACCTTCCGTGTGGCCTCCAGAATAATGCTGAGCGCCTTTGTTATTTTAGCTGTAAAGTGGGAAAAATAATCTTTATTCATCCACCTCAAAGAGGTGATGAGAGGATTTTAGGCAGTGTTCAGGGTTTAAAAGCTTCAAAACAAGTTTTATAATAGCCAGTCAGAGCTTCCAAGTCCATTCTCAGCTCATCTCTTGCCACCTCCTTCGCACTCGGTGATGGTGGTTCTTTGGCTATTTCCCTGCATGCTGTAGAGCTCACAGGGCTACAGAACTGTTACAGTCAAAATAGATGTTAATGGAAGACTTTGCTAAAACACTGAATAATATTCTTCTCAAGTGATTCTGCGTTTTCCAAACTTTGGAACTGATCTACCTACTACTGAAGTCAAAAAGGAATAAACAAGCCAGCTCTTCTTTTTCCCTTTTGAAGAAAAATGCACGGCATGTGCTCTGTTTACTGATTTGCAGCATCCCTGCCATCGTCTCAGGAGGTCAATATAAAAATGCAGAGAAGTGCACAGCAGCACCCAGATCTACACAGGTACAGAGCAGGATGCAAAACCTGCCCCAGTGCCCCTGCATGTCATTCTGTGCCAATGGTCTCAACCTGCCACAGCTTCAGCCTTTGTCCAGAAGTGACAGCATACACAGAAGTATACTACAGTAAAATGGTGTCAGATCTTTTGAACTTGCCCATGGAGTAATTTGAACGTGTTGTCACCAGAGAACACCTATTTTTTCACCTTACCAAGGCAATTAATGCTCTTAATAAAATTACTGAAACTTTCGAATGTACAGCTCTGTTAGGTTGAAAATATTAAGAAGTATGCTTGAAGGAATGGAGTACCTCCTAGCAAGAGCCACAGAAAAGCTGGTTGCTATGCAACTCAAGTATTGTCCACATTATTCTTATCAAAAGATGACATTGTATAAAATAATATAATCATCTTCTTCTTCTTAAAAAAAAAAAAAAAAAAAAAACACAAAACCATACACAAAAAACCCAACCACAGTACAGTAAAAGGCTGCTTAAGGGTTGAGAATTGGCAATAGCTCAGAGTGCTGTCAGAAATCTGACACTGATGGTACATACTTCATCAGTTACAGAACCATAATGTAATTATTATGATTATTTAAATGGCACCCTTGATAATATATATAAATTGCCTTCAATAAAGTGAGTGAATCTGAAGATATCTGCTACACACTTGGAAAATAAATGCTTATTCAAGCAAGACTGGGATAATATTTTCATCTTGCAAAGCCAAGCAGGCTGCTTTATGCACTGGCTTAACTTGTCCACACACCATTCCTTTTACTGTGTACGTTGAATATATACTTCAGAAAAATGTTAATGCTTGCGTGTTTTAGCAGGCTAATAAAATATTGAGGGCTTTGTTCTAATTACTCAAGAACAGGTTCTGAAAATAAGAACTATCCCAACTTTTCCCTCTGAGCAAGAGAAATTTTCTTCATGGTTATTTGGGTTAACTTATTTGGAACTGTGTTCTGCTGAATCTTACAGGGCAACTAAAACATGGTCTGCTATGGATTATGGGTTTAGAACCCATTAATGACAATCCATAAGCAGATCATACAGTGCCACCTGCAGCTTTTCAGTGATGTGTCCAAAGGCCCACCAGGAAAGGAGGTGTCCATGCTCCACCAACTCCACTCTGTGAAGCAGATTAATGTCAGATAATAACTTTTAAATAATCAATTGGCAATGTTTTATTTCTGATCTTCCATCAGAAAATGCAGCAGAAGCTGAGTTCACACCACTACCAATGCAGAATGATCGAGCTCAAGACGGGCAGGCATAGCAACTATGAAATACTTATGAAATTAGGACAGCAAAGAAGTGACCAGTCCATGTGGTGACTCCACGTGTTTCAACCACTGCTGCAATGAGATACTTTTGAGAATGATTGGTCGAGCTGCAATCCCTCCAATTGCTGTCATTAGTGTCAATAATCAGACACCACAAATTTTCGATCACAAAACAGAAAATGCGACCTCTTTTACCTTCGATTTTAGGACATACAGCTGACCCAAAACACTTACTGACATTGCTGTGTGTCTCTGCAAGAAGAGCAGAGATGGGTTGGTTTAGAACGTTTAGTTGAGCAGGGTAAGAGGTGACTGTCAAAGGAGCTTCACCACCGACACTCAGCCGGATTTGACTTTCAGCTTCTTGCATGAATATACATGGAATCTTCCAGCCCCCACGTTTATTACATGAGCATGCAAATACCAGCAACCCCGTCACAGAAAAAGCCAATAGATTTTAATGCTCTCCTTCGAGCAGCCGGATGTGCAGTCCTTAAACAAAAAGTTTATCAATGTACTTCAAACATCCTCTTCCAGCTACCGTGGAGGCTGATGTTGATTTAGTCTACATAAGTCATCAGTACTGAGCAGATTAAAACTTTTGGAGCCAAGTAGCATTTCATTTCTCTTTAAGTGAGTTTTGCCTGTGGAGCAATCCCTCCCTTAGAAACGGCAAGAAAACACTTGGAATTCTTGACTACAGACTCAATCTGCAGAGCTCTTGCCTTGTGGCCCCTATCTCTTAACTTTAAACACATGTAGTCCAACCAACCCATTTTAAGCACAAGGTGAAGTGAGTTCTTGGAATGCTCATCGTGCAGAACTGATCCAGCATGTGTTCACTGATACTTACATACTGCTCCACCACAAAACTTCACATTTCTCTAAGGAACCAAGATGCTCATAACATCCCGTGGATCATTTCAAACAAGTCTAAAAAGACAGACTGTCAGAGCTAAGTAGCAAGTTAAAATGACACAGGGAAAACACAGAACAAATAGTGGTTATTTTCCTAGTGTGAAGTTCAAATTGTAAGGAAATACCCATAAAGATAAATGTTCTTTGCATTCGTACATGATGAATCAAGTTCAGAGATCTCAACCTCCTCCATTTAACACAACCTCTCCTTACCTTGCCATAGCTCAGCAGGATTATTCTCACCAGGACTACGTTGATGTGAGCACCCAGGGATTCATCATGGTAAATTTCATTAACCTGCAAAAGAGGTCAGAGCTTCAGCCACAGTGCTGGCAACAGGTAACAGACAGCAAATGCTAAAGCAGCACCTTTGCTATGCTGTCATTAAGACAAAGATCATTTGTGATTATACATAAAATGGGCAACATTCCACTGATGCTAGAAGGAATTTTTTTATTTTCTAGCTTCTGAATAGGCCATAATTCATTTTAAATCATTTAAAAACAACATAACATTAGAGTCTTCATGCTAGTAGGAATTTAATCGCCAACCTAAACAGACTTATACATATGAGCAGTACATCATGGTGGATTCCATGACCAAGCTCCTGCCTCTGATGGAGAGCCCCCAGTCGCTGCCCTGCCCTACCTGAGCACACGGGCTGAACACAAACCAGAGGAGCTCCATTCTGAGATCACTCATGGGAATGGGGCTCCGGAGCAGAGGGGCAGACCCTGGGGCTGCCTCTGTCCCGAAAGAGATGTGCTAGATCTGCACCCTGTAACTCCTCCATCTGGGACTCATCAAGTGGCATTCTGACAAGAGGATACACCTCCCCCCAAAGGCCTGGTCGGCCACATGGACTGACTGCATTGCATGTCACAACCAATCAGCATTAAACTTTGCAAGCAGAATGAAAGCTAAAAAACACTGGCAAACAAAAAACTCTTTTTTCTTTGTTCTTTTTTTTTAACAAGACAGCTTTGTAACCAAATGGACACAGTGATACAAATCACCCTATAAACACTGAAAAGAGAATGGTAAATATTTACAGTGCAAAATGAAAGGGGGATGAATAAAGATGACTTAGGAAACACTGCCACAAGTGAGCTAGGCTAATATCAGCTGTTAAAGGGGCTGATCTGGATACTCCACGATGAATGGATGCATGAGACCAGGCCATTCATTGGCACCAGTGCGCTCTGCCAAACAGCAGGGGTTTGGCTTCACAAATCAGAAGAGACAGATGAGATACTGCCTGCAGGGCAAGCCTCTTCTTGGGAAGGATTGCACCAAACTGGTCTGCTCCATGGATAGAAACAAATCTCATTTCCTCCTAAAACACAGATTCCTTACTGCAGTCTAATAAGTAATGTTCAGGGTAACTTTCATTAGAAACATAACAATAAATTATGTACTGTTTCTTCAATCAGCTCTACTTCCAATGGCTCATCCTTCATCTGTAAAAACAATTAAAGCTGAATACACCAGCGTTGATTTTAGTAAGCAATCTCAATTGACATTTTGAAGTGGATTTAAATTCATTTTATCAGTATTTTTAGTATAAGAGCCTGATGTTATGCCTGGTAAGAGGCCAGATTTCACATCCTGAGCATCCCACAGTAATGGCTGTGAGCAGCAGCCCACCCTGACCTGCTGATCTGCTTTGTAAACAGTGGCTCTGGAAATTACATCACATGTTTGTGCATATAAATACTACTTCAAAAGACTAACTCTATATTCCTGTATCTAAAGATTACTAACTTTGAGAACCATTACTGAACACAGATTGTAAAGACGTGAGATACAAACATGCCTTCCGCATTACAAACATGCTTTCACCCAGGAAAAAGACCCTCACACGTTGTCAAGGGGGGCAGGGATATTAATTTGCCCCATTCTTTGTGTACAGGGAAGACAGCGCACACATCCGTGACGCGAGGCTGCAATATGCTGCAAATTACCTATACGTGAAATGAGTACTGAACAAGAACTCCTCTGTAGAAGACAGTAAGCACGGCATGTAAATAAGAATTTAATTAGTTCATAACGCATAATCCAAATTGCTGCAGACCACTCTCTCATTAACTTCCAGAATTTAACCTAAGCCTCTTCTAACAATGGCTGAGTAACAGAACAACCGTATCACTGTTGGGTGCCAAAATGAAACTTGGCATGAAAATGTTGATGGAACAGAATTGAAACACTGTTTGACTGTTCATGCAAATGACATCTAACAAACAAACTGTGAATGAACAGAAAAGCACAAGCACTGTAAAAAAGCTGCTCAGTTCTCTTGGGATAGTGGATTTTCTGCAGGACAGTGGGTCAATTCAAAACTCTGGCTCTTGGTTTCATTAAAGAGGATGAATCCAACCCCTCCTCACCCAGAGCTGAATGGAACCTCTGCTCCTTTCTCAAAGCTGCACCGTGACTTTCCCAGCAGCGTCTCACTGCACACAGATAATACACTGAAACAGATGCTTTACCTTTTTTTTCAGTATGACCTAAATTGCACCTATTTGTTTCAGGAAGTTATTAAAGAAATGAGATCCAAGTGACTGAGCGCTGCGCTCTCACGCACTGACAGGGGCCTCCACAAACCTGTGCTCAGTTTCTCCAAGATGCCACCTCCCAGCCCCACAAGAGAGCAGCGTGAAGCAAACACAGCCCATTATGTGGGGCACAAAGCAGCCCAGCACCCTGCGGGCACTGAGCTCCTGTCCAATGCAGGAAGCACTGGGCACTGAAGTGCTTCTTCAGATAACAGACATGGAATAGGTTTGGACATCTATGTAATAAACACAGACAGGTGTAAAAATGGTTACACAATACTTCTGCTCTATTCCTATGTATTTCTGCAGGGCATCCTGATTTATACCTACCAAAAATCCGAATAGATCTCTTGCCCTTAGATCAATAAGAGTCACAGGCTAAAACTGTGCTGCTGCACAGGGAAAGGAGAATGCACAAAGCTCATCACAAAATGACAGCCCCTGGACAGAAGCACAGATTTTTGCACTAAATCCCGTTAGATGTCCACAGTGATTCAGCATTTACAGAGGGCGATGCAGAATGTTGGGCAAAGCTGAAAGAATTCAAAGCACAGTGAAACACTGTAAAGAGACTTTCACAAAACTATTGTAGTTCACAAGCTATTTTGAGATAATTTTGTATCATGGTTTATTTTGGTGGGATATCTCAAACAAAGCAAAATATGCATTTCTATTTCTGCTTCTGTTTAGAAACCAGGTTGGCACAGATTGGTGCTGCTTAAGAAAACAAGCACTCAATTTATTATTTTTCCTTCTGTCCCTCTCTGCTCATTTTATGTCTTCTGCCCTAAGCAAGTTTGAAGCCAACAGAGTAAGTAAAAAACTTTCTTCTGTAAAAAACTTCTTCTGTTTCAAAAACACTGAAACAGAAAAAACATGAAAAAACACAAAACCCAACAACTCAAGTAAAGCTAAACTTTTGTGAGATGCACAAGGCTTCATTAAAGAAGCTCTGCAAGTTTATATTATTCAACAAAATGGGACCCGATACTATAAGGGAATTTTAAAATTGTTCTGATGCAAATAGTACCAAACAGCTGCAGCTCTGCTGGTCCTGATGCAGCGCAGGTTACCTGCAGCTGGTAGGATTTGTAGGGGAAATCCAGAGGCTCCCCAAGTCTCTAATTAAGTAGATATGCAGTAAGAGAATTGCGATCTGCATATTTTGGCAAGTCATCAGCAAACTCATTCATGCGGTTTGAGGGAGTTCTCCTCCCTGCAGAGTTTATCAGGGATCTCGGTCCCACTGAACCATGAACCATCTCAGATGAGCTGGTCCCCAGGCACGTCGCTGTGGCCCCATGCAACATCACTCGCTCGGGTGAGCACTGCGGCCTCGGGCTCACAAGCATCAGCACCAACAGCCATCAGATAGCTTCAGCCTCCCGCTGCCATCAGCCTCTGAGGGATACGGCCCAGCTGCAGCAGCCAACAGAGCCACATCTGGCCATTTGCAGAGGGCACCATACGAGACGCAGCTCACTCATCCAGCTTTCCAGTCACCGTACACTTGCTCACTCAACCCAATCAGATGGCCATTGGACGGCCCTTACATCCTTGTGTGAGCACAGTTGCAGAGATATCCCATGGCTACGTGCCGCGGGGCAGAGCAGGACCATGTGTGTGGGACAGCACAGCTCCTGGCAAGCCATCGCTAGAGCCCAGCCCGAGTTGCAGCTCATTCATCAGATCTTAATTATCTGCAGCAAAGCCTCAGTGCCTGGTGGGCATCCAGCGATTGTCTGTCTCTGTAAGGGATGGCTGGTTTGAATTACAGGCGAGGAACCAGAAATGTCATGGTGGATACTGAGCACAAATGTTTGTAATCTGACCTCTCCCAAAAGCACTCTCCTCCCGCTTTATTTTTATGCGTTCTCATTTCAAACACCACTATCCTCTTTGGTTTTCATCACCTCCTTTGTGTTTTTGAAGTTCCCAAAGTAACATTTTTAACATTCCCAAAGCTTCATCTTAATCCCACAGGAATAACATTACACCAACTCCTCTGGTGGATAAACTATGGTCACATAGAAAGCCAGCAGGCAAAATACGGGGCTCTCAGTTTCCCTTTTCAGGCATTTCCTCACTTCCTCAAAGAGGAACTTTTTTTTTTCTCCTGAAAATCGTTGAGTATCCCAGGGAAAAAGGAACAGTGAAAGCACACAACACATATACAACCTAAAGGTCAAACTGTGCCCTCAGATTTGGAAAAATACAATTCAGCTCAAAAACAGAGGCAACAGGGAGTTTGAGGAGTGCCTGGCAATGTGCACTACGAAACAGAGATCAGCATCTGTTGTTCTGTATCTGAATCTGTGTCCGAGTCCTGATTTACCTTCACTGGTGTGAGAGTGAGGAGATGGTACCAAGTCCAAGTTTGCTGCCTCTAATCAAAATGAAAAACATTCCCCAGAGCAGATGTGTTGGCAAGACTCAAGGTAGCTTTGTGTTGTGGGCCTCTATCTCGTGTTTGACTGTAAGACTGGTTTTAGAAAGGTCATAGACTCTGTTTTCTGACTGTACAACAAATTTATTTTTCTCAGTTCCTCCCTTAAGCTCTTGGAACTCCTCATTATTTGCCCACAAACCACTGCTCTGGGAAGTTTCTCCAAATGCTGTAAATTACATTTATGCCAAAAGACTCAGTATTTGAGTTCTGTCTCAAGATCATTCTAATAAAATCAAATCCAGTATCATAAAATAATTAAGCAGATTAATGTATTATTTTACTACGAGGCACAC